TATATATATAGATACATCATTATTTTCATAGCAATACATATATATATATAGCAGTATATATAGCAGTATATATAGCAGTATATATAGCAGCATATATAGCAGTATATATATATAGCATTATATACTGCATTATTTACCAATATATATATATATATATATCATTACAATGTATATATTTATATATGTTTCTCTCATTTTATTTGTTTGTCTCTGTCACTTTTTTTTATTTGTATCATTATATATGTGTGTGTATCAATATTCTTGATATATGTATACTATACATTTATAATACGTATGTATATATAATATATATATACATGTTTCGTTTACATATGATTTTACTCTCAAACATATACCGACTTCCACCTCGCCATCTTGTGTCTTGTTCCCGTACAAGGTGGTGCCACTTCGTTGTGTTGGTTCATAATCCCATCTAACTATGGCTATAAGCCCCATAAACCCAAGTGAATTTAATCATAAACCAACTTAGTGAGCATAAATCAATTCTAAATCACCATTTTTGTTGGTAAAACCCATGTTAAACCCCCCACTTTGGCACCACGGCACCGGTCTCCCCAAAAGGACTCCCTTCCTGGAGCGTTACGTCACCATCTACGACCGCGCCTTCCTCCGCGTCGGCCTGGCGTTCGCCGTGCACCGCAGCGAAGCCACGGGGGAGAGCAACGAGGAAGCGCGGCAGCGACTCATGGCCCGAGAGGCCCTCGGAGAGACGTGAGAGCCAGGTATATGGCGACGCAGAACGGCCTGAGGATTCCTTAGATGGGCCATGGAGTTAGTTAACTAGTTAGTAAATGGATTATTTCATTGGGATATAGAGGGTTATATCCCCAGTTACTAACCATTTAGCTAATCCCATGGCCCATCTAAGTATTCTTGTGATGTTATGACAATCCGTAGCTACTACTGGTTGGTGATTTGTTTGAAATTCCTATTTTCCCATAGATTGGGAAATTTGGGAATAATCATCCCAACTGACTTTCATATTTTTTCAGAGGGGCAGGTATACCACCAACCCGCAATAGCAAGCAACAATATAATATAATGATAGGAAACATGCAATGGTTGAGGATTTCACTTGGGAATTTCATTGTAAAACTAAGGCTCTGGAAGCTACCAGAGAAACGATGTGTTGGTATATCTCTTGTTAAATTTTGCAGATCCAGTCACAATTTGAGGTAAAACCATTGGTTCCACCAGAGGTACAACATTTTCCCACACATCGCGAGACATGGCGACTTGACACTCCCCTTGCGCTTTGTGCCCTGGGGGCTTCCAAAAAGACTTTCGCGCTGCTTGGGCCACTATAGACCCTCAATGTAGCCAGGTAGAACATGTTTCATTTTTGCGGATGGACATCCACATATTTCGGGGTAGCAACCATGGTTTGCAGTAGAGTTTCCCTACAAATCTATCCATTTGGTTTGAAAGGAAGTACGTTGAGCTTGTAAGAGCATGCTTACACTTAGTCAATGTGCAATTTTCCAGAACAGGCCACTGTGGGAGTGCGCAAATTGCAGCATTTCCTGTGCAAAGATCCAACAGCATATGGCGCAACCGGACAAAATTGAATTCCATTTCTCTCTGCTGTTCATTGGCTGAATGCACTATGTCATAGCAAACATTGCTGTACTGTAGTGTATCGACCTTGCTTCTAGTGCAACCACTGACAGTGCCTGGCAATCTCTGCTTGGCACATCTGCAATGGCTATCCAAACCAAAAAACCAAAAAAACAAAAAACCAAAAAACCAAAAAACAAAAAACCAAAAAAACAAGAAACCAAGAAACCAAAAAAACAAAAAAACAAAAAACCAAAAAAAACAAAAAACCAAAAAAACAAAAAACCAAAAAAACAAAAAACCAAAAAAAACAAAAAAAACAAAAAGACAAGACCCAACACTCTGCATCTGACCCCCTCCCCTTGGGGTGTGCAATCTTGGTTTTTTTGGTTTTTTTGGTTTTTTGGTTTTTTGGTTTTTTGGTTTCTTGGTTTTTTGGTTTTTTGGTTTTTTGGTTTTTGCCTGCCCGACCTCTAGTGCAACCACTGACAGTGCCTGGCAATCTCTGCTTGGCACATCTGCAATGGCTATCCACACACAAACCAAAAAACCAAAAAACCAAAAAACCACCAAAAAAACAAAAAACAAAAAACCAAAAAACCAAAAAACCAAAAAAACCAAAAAAACCAAAAAGACAAGACCCAACACTCTGCATCTGACCCCCTCCCCTTGGGGTGTGCAATCTTGTTTTTTTTGTTTTTTGGTTTTTTGGTTTCTTGGTTTTTTGGTTTTTTGTTTTTTTGGTTTTTTGGTTTGTGTGTGGATAGCCCAGACCTTGCCCATGGGTCTGAACTTTTTTTTTTGTGTTCTCGAGGTTTTTGGCCAAACTGCAAAAAACCATGGAAAAACCAAAAAAACAAAAAGTTCAGACCCATGTCCCCTGCCAGGCCTCTCCCAGACCTTGCCCATGGGTCTGAACTTTTTTTTGTTTTTTCCATTGTTGTTTTGAATGTTTTTCATGTGAAGATGCTTTCATCACAGTACCTCTCAAAAAAATGCGCGTCTCTACAATTTGCACACCTGCGCCCCCCAGGCCAAACTGCAAAAAAAACCATGGAAAAACCAAAATTCATTAATGACTTATATAATGACTAATATAATGATTAATGTAATGACTTATTTTTTCAAGAATATAATGACTAATATAATGATTAATATAATGATTAATATAATGATTAATAAAATGATAAATAAAATGATCAATATCATGATGAAAATAATGATTTATATAATGATTAATTTAATGATTATTAAAATGAAGAATTTAATGATTAATATCATGATTATTATCATGATTCATATAATGATTAATGTAATGGTTCATATAATGCCTACTGCAATGACTAATATAATGATTAATATAATGATTCATATAATGATAAATATAGTGATTCATTTCATGATTTATTTCATGACTTTTATAATGACTAAGATAATGATAAATATAATGATAAATATAATGATTTTTGTAATGGCTGATATACTTGTTAATTTATTGACTAATTTAATGATTAATATCATGATTCATACAATGATTAATAAAATGATTAATATAATGATTCATTTAATGATAAATATAATTATTCTTTTCATGATTCATTTAATGATTTTTATAATGACTAGTATCATGATTATATTTTAAGAATGATTAATATAATGATTACTATTATGATGAATACAATGATTATAATATCATGAGTAAAATACTGACTAGTTTAATGAGTTTATATATAATGAGTAATGTAATGATTAATAAAATGATCAATATAATGATTAATTTAATGACTAATATAATGGTAAATACAATGGCTAATATAATGAATGTTAAAATGATTAGTATAATGATTGATATAATGATTAATATACTGATTAATATAATGATTAAAATAGTAATTCATATAATGACTAATATAATGATCAATATAATGATTGATAAAATGATCAACATCATGATTATTATAATGATTAATAAAATGATTAATTTAATGATTATTAAAATGAAGAGTTTAATGATTAATATCATGATTATTATCATGATTCATATAATGATTAATGTAATGGTTCATATAATGCCTAATGCAATGACTAATATAATGATTAATATAATGATTAATATAATGATTCATATAATGATAAATATAGTGATTCATTTCATGATTTATTTAATTACTTTTATAATGACTAAGATAATGATTAATATAATGATTTTTGTAATGGCTGATATACTTGTTAATTTATTGACTAATATAATGATTAATATAATGATATATATATAATGACTAATATAATGATTAATAAAATGATTAAAATAATGAATTATTTAATGACTGATATAATGATGATTCATTTTATGATTCATTTGATGATTAATATAATGATTCATAGAATGATTCATATAATGATTCAAATAATGATTCATATAATGATTTATTTAATGACTTATATAATGACTAATATAATGACTAATATAATGATTAATGTAATGACTGCATGGAAAAAAATGCACTCCCACAGCGGCCAGCTCTCTAATTTTATAGGCCAGGTTTTGTTCTGACAGCCGAAATCCAGTGGAAAATTCAGATGCCGGACGCACATACTTGGGAAATGGTGAAAAACCATATCACATGCCATCACATGATATATCTTTCATGACTGGTTGGTGGTTTCAAACATTGTTTATTTTCCATAATATATGGGATAATCCTTCCCATTGACCAATATTTTTCAATATGGTTAAAACCACCAACCAGCTGAGTTTTGAAAATTGTTTACAAACCTTGGCGCTGGCACAAGGCAACTCATCATTGTTCTTCAGAGATGGTAGCTGTGACGATGTTTGGGCCAGATTGCTGAAGGGCTGTGACTCTTGTCGCTGTTCTCCTTGCTTTTGGGTATCCCTTTGAGGACCTTGGAGCTTGAAAAAACGACCCACGAGGCCTCGAAAGCATAGGGTTGATCGTTTTCGGGCATTGAACTATATGCCATACAAGGTGGTGCCCCTCCAGTTATAAATTGGTTATAAACCCATTAACTATAGATATATCACCTATAAACTATAGTTATTGGAGTTATAAACCAACTTAGCTATCTTGGGGGCACCACCTTGTAGGCACTCAGGGGTCGCTGTCCATTGCCAAGTTAGAAGTGACTGCCCTCGCAAGGTCTTCAGTACCGCCGCCCTGGTGCCCAAAAGGTGTTCATAGTAGTGACTTCCATGAAAAAATCAGCAGCCAACATCAACAAGTCCCAAAGTTCTTGGCAGAAAAAAAATATGGTTTAGACTCATTTAGCTATAACCTATACCCTGAGTCTATTTTTCCACCCGAAATCAGCCCGACAAACTCGTCCGGCCTCCGGACCGCTGTTGCCGGACCGTCCGCCAAGCGCACCGCAGCTCCGTCCAGCGCCGAGCCATCGACGCCATGCCGTTCGCGGAGGAAGGAAAAAAGGTGAACATGCAGCGGACGTGCGCCAAGTTGGAGTTGATGGTTGATGCTGGCGGGATACAGGAATGGATACGACCAGAAGATCAAAAGGTGGTTTGGGGAAATACTTCAACAAGGTGGTGCCCCCTCCAGTTATAAATTGGTTATGTTAACCCATTAACTATAGATATATCACCAACAAAAACCATAGTTATTGGAGTTATGTTCACCAACTTAGCGTTCACGAACGGGGGCACCACCTTGTAGGCACGTGGCTGAGATCATTTGATCGCAGATTCGGCAAAGTTGTCCTGCCAAGTCAAGATGTTCAGCGTTAAACATCGGTCAGTCTACTGGCAAGTTCATCTATGGCAAAATATTTCAAGATTATCAATTCAAATAGATTCATCAAATAGATTCATCAGGATTTGTAGGATTATTAATCATCCATAAAAAATGTTTTTTTTTCAAATGGGATTATAAACCCAGAAAATCCCGATGACTCATTTTACCCCTGGGCGAATTGTGGATTGTCACTACACTGGTGGATAAGATTACGTAGTCATTTGACTTTCAGGGAGAGATTGACAGCTTCCAGTTATCTATCAGATCATCCGGCAAAAGAACCCCGGTTACCTATCTCAGAGCTAACTGGAAGGTTAGGGTTCCAAAAATCTGAAATGTTATAAAAACCTTTCTGCAAATTGTGTTTTTTTTAAAATCAAACCACTCCAAGTTGTTTACATACTACAATTATACAGATTATCTAACCGTAGGGATCCAAACACTGAGAAGATACGGCTTTCTTTAACCCCCGATAAATAAAACATACCCCAATCGTATATTTCCTAAGAAGGTACGGCTGGATCCATATGGGAATATCCGTTAAATCATGAATATCCCCATTTCGATATTTTAAATGCCATAAAATCCATTGTCCATCAAGAGTTATTTACATAGTACTATGGTAGACTATCTTATCTCATAGGGCATTCATATCCCAGACATATCTCAATCATATCCCATTCATATTTCATTAGGAAGTTTAAATCCCAGGAAAATATCCCACTAACAATCCATTAATAATCCATTGTCTATGATGTTTTAACTGCCATAAAATCCATTAATCAAGAGCTATTTGCATAGTACTATGATAGATTATCCAAGATTCCCATTATCAGGCTATAATATTATATATATATATTATATTATATATATATATATATTCAAAAAATCATATTCCATTAATGTTCCATTGATATCACATGAATATCCCATGGTATCCCCATGATATATCCCTTTTTGCCAACGCAAACGCGACATGACCGTCATCCGCAGGTACTCCGACCCGGATCTGCCGCAGCTTCTGCCGCTGCCTGCGCGGCCCTCCTCGTCCTATGAGCCAAGACCCAAGGCGGGGAAGCTGGCGTCTGAAACTGGGGATGATAAATGGTGGAAGTGGGGTTAGTACAATGTGAGGCGCCCGTTCGATAGCTAAGTTGGTGAACATAGCCCCAATAGCTATGGTTTATAGTACTTATAACTATAGTTACTGGGGCTTAAAAACCAACTAACATCACTGGGGGGGGGCGCATTGTAAGTCTGGTAATGTGGGTAAAACAATGTCATAAACCACCCATGACTGGGAATGGTAACCAATGGTAACCATATCACCTATGAAAATGGTGGTTTGGGGGATGGATAGTGGTAATAACCCTAGCAAGTCTAGTAGTAAGTCTAGTAAGAGTGAGTATAGGGAGGATCATCAGTGGCAAATAAATGGCAATAACCTTAGTTAATAAGAACATACTGAGAAAAACAAATAATAACCATTTGAAATTTGAAGTACTGGGAAAAAGGAAACTTTGGGGATTATTAATGAAACAGTGGATAATAAATGGGAATAGCGCTAGATAGTTAGTAAGTCCCCTTTCAGTGGGGTTATTCCATTTTCCACCGGGTTAGAATACCCTCAACAAGGAAATCAATAGGAAGAATCCCGAGCCCGCACATACTAAACACATCTAAACACCCACTTACCCTCTGGTAAACGTTTACACAACTATGGAAATCATCATTTTCTAGCTGGATAAATCAACTATTTCGACTGGGCCATGGCTTCAATAGCTATGTAAGAAATTACCAGAGGGTACTGGTCCCATGATGTCTAAATGTCCATTTCTTGGGGGGTGTTTCATACTGGGGAAAGATGACTCGCCAGAAGCGAATCAATGTAAAACAATATGACGCACATAGAATATTGAATATCATAGTATCCTTAATGTATCCTTAAAGCAATCTTATCATACAATCTCCATCATCACCATCTATGAAGTTTTACTTACTTATCATACCATATGTTTTATTAATCATAAGCATTCATAATCGATATTATCAGATCCACATGATAAATAAGTATATCTCCATAAACTTATATTTCAGATCCACTTACATATCCATTATTTGATAATACCTATGGGTTTATTTACTCTTATATTACTTACCATACCATATGATGCTGGATCTGATAATACGTATGATCTTCATCACCATGAAGTAAAGATATTACCATATCTTATCAGAAGTAAACAAAACTGATCATATGTTTACTTCATAAACCCATAGGATCCATGTAGGGTATATATATATGCTAACATAAAGGTGGTATATTGATGGGATCCATGGCACACCATATATAGCAGCACCATGGATCCGTCATGGGAAAGTGATCTCCACGGCAGGTGAAAGAAGCGGCGCAGTTCACCGACGATGTCATGCAGGCCATGGCCGAGAAGCTGGGCGTCAACGTCATGGCCCCTTGGCAGATCTGGCCCCAGTGAAAAAAGAATTGGATGATGGGAAAATTTACATGAACCATGTAGAAAACCCATTATCCCATCAAATATAGGGTTTAACGTAGAATTGGATGATGGACAATCAAATATTGGATGATGGAAAACCCTATATTTGATGGTAAAAACCCATGGGTTTCCGGTTAAGAACTTTCCCTTAAATCAATCCAATGACCGGTGGCATCTTCGCAAGCTGGTTAGCCAACACATATGGCCCTAAGTGCCCTTTCTGGCACTTCCCAAGCCTTCCCACAGCTGGTACAGTAGGTGTTGTACATGCTGTTGCCATGTTTGGGTCATGGTTCCAAGGATCTCTGAGATTTTTGTATGGGATCACTGGGTGGACCTTGGATGGTGATTCATAGATATTTTTCACCAACACATTAATATAGGGGTATGTGTTAGCCAACAAAAACTGGTTGGTGGTTTGGAACCATGGAATTTTATGACTTTCCATATATTGGGAATTTCATCATCCCAACTGACGAACTCATATTTTTCAGAGGGGTAGGTCAACCACCAACCAGCTATTAATTGACCAGAAGGTAAATGGTATTTTAGCACAGAAACAATGCGATGACTTTACCAAGAAAGGATGGAGAATTGACTGGAACCAAAGATGATTAGTAGCTGAATAGTGTGTTTCTAGGCTAAGTTTGTCGGAATTTCAGGACCCCCAAAATGGAGGTACTGTACCATATATGCCAATGTTGTGTAGGGATATTCCCTTAAAACCTTGCATAGGCCTTACATAGGCCTTATACTGTATATGGTAGGTACCTGTTATAACTGGGATAAGCCAACCCATTTATTAACACTCTTATCAGCTGTCTTAGCACCTTGTTGGAAAGTTGGGTTACCTGCCCCAGTTCTACATGGGATACACCAGGCTTATCCCGTTGCCCCGCAATTGACTGTGGGCCATTGGAAAATGAGGAAAGCCAGGCTGCCTCAAAACATGACCGTGAGATTAAGGGAAGTCTTTGCTGGACACTCATCGACATAGGATCAAAAATCTTTAAATCATTGACTCAACACATTACAAGGAAAACATTACCAGAGGCTACTTCCCATTCATATCCCCATTCATATCCCCATGGTTACTGTGCTTCAATCCAAAAATCACCATCAAAACGCAAATTGTCCATTAATTATCCTGTATTATCCCATGTCTTGATATTTTTCGTGGATTTTCTCGTGTTTTCTCATCATTTTTCTTGGTTCATCCATCGCTTCGTTGCGCCCAGACACAGCCGGAGTTCAACTGGGTCATCCGCGACTGCCTGCTGTCGCTGAGAGATGAAGGATGGACCTGTCAGGCCCAGATCACTGGAGATGGGAAGAAGAAAAATACCCTCTGCAGTTATGTCAAAATAGCTATTGAAAATGGCCATTTATAGTTGATTTACCCATAAAAAATGACCATCATCATAATAACCATCATAATTTATCTGAATGTACAGTTATGGCCCTTAACAGTTATAAATGGGAGTATAATATCTAATGATATATAACTTATATAACCTCAGTTACAGGATTTATAATCCCATTTGTAACTGTTAAGGGACATAACTGTGGATCCCTCTGGTTATGTCAAAATAGCTATTGAAAATGGCCATTTATAGTTGATGTACCCATTAAAAATGATGATTTTCCATAGTTGTGTTAGTTTACCAGAGGGTAAAATGTTGGAGATTAATCATTAGTTGGAGATGTATGTTGATGTATGTTGGGTTATCATAGTATGTGGATTTTTGTTTTTCAAAAAAAAAACTGCGCCCAAATGGTTGATTAATGAGATGGTTTATTGCTGGGATTGCCACATAACAATATATATTTATAGACAAGTTCTGTCGTACTCTAAGCAACCACAAACTCAAAAAGGCGTCATCAACACATACCAGAGAATACTCGAATACCCCATGCCTGCCCATGTTCCTTGGCCACTTGATAGAGAATATATACTGTATGATATGATTATATATGTACCATGTATGTACATCTATCCGAATCTGTAACTCTATATATATAATGTATATATATACACATCTTTTTGTGATGTTACCCATGCACCCATGCACTGTGCTTTAGAAGCCTTTCGCTAAAAAAATGGACCCCAGCTGGCCTTTTTGCCTCCGGGCAGGTGCGGAATGGCGACTTGGAGTATTGCTACAAGTACAAAGATGAAACACGCCCGTGGCTTGGCTCAGTTCTTTCCACTCGGCACCGCTTGGAGTTGACGAGCTTCGTCAAGGAGGAACAACTTGGGCTGTAATGGTTCGACAGGTCGAATGGAATGTGAAGTGCATCTAGTTTGATACATGCAGCACTTTGCGAATGATTCGAGAACTTACCTGGGTCCAGCCCCAGCCAACAGAACGGGTACTTTCCATACTTTCCCAAAATCTTCACCATGGTAAGCTTTGGGACTGGGTAGTGCAACAGAAATTTTGTGTACGATTAATGGGGATATTCACTCAGTCAGCGGCCCAAAAAATGGCTTCAAAGTTTCGCGTTTTGGGACAGTGACAGTGACACCATCCATTTATAATCCTCTAGCCTCTCCAACTACATATATATCCATTATGACAATCGTTAACCTAGTTAGTTAACCTCAAATTTGCCAACATCAACTGCAGCAAGGTCCAAAATGCCTATATCCAAAAAAAAAAGGTACAAACCTACTGGGTAATACAAGTACTACAGTACTCTACAGTCACGCAATATTCTAACTTGCCAACTGTGAAACTAAGTACTTAACCAACTAAGTACTTGGCTTATTTCTCATTTTCGGATGTATTTTGATGATTTTCCCATACTATGAGTATATCATGGTAGATCCCAGTATAAACCCTACGACCATCCCATCAATGGAGGAAAACCCAGTTTCTCGGAATTTGTTTCCATTTAACGGTAAAACTGGTAAAACCACATTTTTTTGATGGTACAGCCACCAATTTTCATGTGTAAAGCAATGACAAAGCCATATTGTTTTATAGTAAAACCCTTTTTCAACATCACCATCATTGGCTTGGATACGGGAAGATCTTAACCGGAAACCATGTTTTTTACCATTAACTATGGCCCAGATGCTCCATGTATAGTATACCTACAAAACTGGCTCATAAAAATGTGGTTTTGATGTTGGTAAATATTCCAGCACTATGGAGCATATGGGTTAGACCATGTTAGACCATTTACCAAAGACCATATATGACCATTCACCATCCATTAACCGGAAACCTGGTTTTTTATTGTTTTTTTACCATTCACTATGGTCAATGGCCATTTCAGGATCCTAGATTGGAGGTACCTACCATATATAAGGCCTATGTAAGGGAATATCCCCACAACATATGGCCTTATATGGTACAGTACCTCCATTTTAGGATCCTGAAGATCTCCCATTGATTATGGGGGGTTCCTGTAATTTTACACAATTTTTCGTCATTCAGACACCACCGACCCTTCGTTTTTACCCCCGGAGTTCACGGTGAATCGGCGGGGTTCACCCCGCGGCAGCCAGGTACCATCCGATCGCCGAGGCGCATCGCAAGTTGGCCGAACGCCTCATGGCCTCGCAGCAGGAGAACTTCTGGCCCTTTTTTTTCACGGACCATGTATTTATTATAGACAATTCATATAGAAATTATGTATTTATTTATATCATAGGTTATGAAAATATAGACGAATATAGATATTGATATTAAGACATATCTACTATATTGATACATTGTATGTCACAAGTGTATGTATACTGTACTGTATACATATATGTATGTATATATATATATGATGTGCATGAAAGAGCCCGGTGAAAACATATCGTGTTTATATGATACAATACAATCTAAGTAATCTTAAGCAATACACATATATATATATATATATATTATATACGGTTCTCGACCACAACTGGGGCTATGTTGTGAAACATCAGCTCTGAAGTGCTGCTTGGCGGTTTCATGCTTTTTCAAATATCTGCGGTAGTTGCACATCCTTTCGTTGTATGATTCCTATTCAGTCATATTTATCATCATCTCTACTAGTTGGGTGGCTCAACCAGCAATGAGTGTATGCATGCTCACCAAGTGTTGGCTGCTATATCATGAAAGCTGTACTTGACAGGTCCCTGAAATGAGTAGATGGTTTGCAGCTAAGGTATAATTTAGTTCCTAAGCATTTACCAACTCCAGGTAGTTGGTGTATGCATTTACCCACTTTGGTGATGGGATTCTGCGTGTTTGAAACGATTGAAGTATTCTCTTGCCCCTTCAGCCCCTAAACTTGACGAGTTTTTTGCTAAGGGAGGGATCAGGGATCACCAAAGTATTACATTCTGGTAATTGAATTAATATAGCTACGGAAAAGGGCCATCTATCGATGATTTACCATGATTTACCTATTAAACCTGGTGATTTTCCGATGACAAACTCATATGTTTTTTTTTCAAGTGGCATCCTCCCACTCTACCAGCTGCTGTGAATCTGTGCCTTTCAGGAGCTCCAAATGCATCACTTGGATCCGCATTAGACGTGGCCTCAGTGACGGCTCAAGGGCTTGGTCCGGGTTGACGATGGGATTGGGGATGGAATGTCTGGCTGGCTTGTGGGATGTCAAATGTATTTGTATGTGTATATCATAATATATATATACATATATATATGCATATACAGATGTGCAATGTATTTTGATATGCATATATATGTATATATATATATCATTCCAGCCGCGCTATCCTTATGCAAGACTAGCGCTTTTTGAGCGTTCGGTCACGTGCTGCTCTCGCCCAGTCGTGTGCGCCATCACGTGTACCGTTCCATCATGGGAGAGAAGGTCCGGGTGGACGGGGGATGGGAGGACGGGTGTTTCAGGGCTGGATATCAGAACTGCTCTTTCTTTGATGATGTGCCTGAAAGTCATGCCAGTCATGCATGTGACGAATGAAGCGGCACAGATGTGAACAATTATGAGTTTGTATAAAAGTTTGATGTTTGTTGTATGAATGGACTTACTCCTTGCCATCGAACAAGGAGATCATCCCCAAAGCCCGCATTTTGTTCCAAAGCCTCATTTTTTGGACCCCGAAATAGAAGTGGTTGGTGGTGACTGGAACCATGGATTTTTTCATGACTTTCCATTCAGTTGGGAATGGAATATTCATCCCAACTGACTTTCACTCCATCATTTTTCCGAGGGGTAGGTATTTTCCATTCAGTTGGGAATTTCATCATCCCAACTGACGAACTCATATTTTTCAGAGGGGTAGGTATAGTATACCACCAACCAGTATAAAGTTATATGAAGTTCATCTCAAACGGAAGTGATTCTGTCGGCTTCTGTCGCGACATGAGACAGCCATGCCAGCATGGCCAGGATGTCCGAAGAGTATGCACTCCCAAACTGATTGAGGACTGGGTTTATGTTGACGTGAGCTTCCAACATGTTTGGGGCTTGTTACATGTCTTAATCATTGTTCATCAAGGAAAATCATTGACACAGATCGTTAAATATTGAAAACTACTAACAGTTACTAACAAATATCAGCAGATCCACCAAACCGTCTCGCATGTTGCTGTCCGTTCTTCTGTTAAGGTGTAAGCTGGACTGTCTTGGTGGGGATCTGGTGTCCCAGAGAGACAAATTGAAACCCTACGTTGTATAAAACCGTGGGATACGTGGTCAAATCATCTGTGCCATGGTCAAGTTACATCAAGTTACTGATGTCACTTGGTTCAATTGACCATATTTGAGGATGGTCAGCAATTCATCCATGGTTTTGCTGCATTTACCAGTTATGTAGAGAGACAATGAGAGACATTGTAAAGGATAGGGAATTCATCCTAGGATGTTCCAAGGGGAGATACCCAGCAGAGACCTGTAGTTCAAAGTCGGGGATAACTATTCCGCAATTTTGTCTCTGGGGATAGTTTTTGAATCCATATACCCTCTGGTAAACTAACATAGCTATGGAAAATCACTATTTTTAATGGGAAAACTCACTATAAATGGTCATTTTCAATAGCTATGTTAGTTTACCAGAGGGTAAATCCCCATTTGGATATCCATCCCATTGACTAATCCCCCTGTCCTCATCAATCCATGGATAGAATTAGTGAGGCCCCCGTTTACGATAGCTAAGTTGGTGAACATAGCTCCAATAACTATGGTAAAAATGGTACTTATAACTATAGTTACGTTCACATCACTGGGGGGGGCCCACAATCCATGGGGATTTATACACCCAGCAGCTGCGCAGCTGCAGGAAGTGATGAAGGACCTGGATGTGAGCCCCTCTGACGAGCCCTACTTGATCCGAAGGCACCGAACTTTTTGTTTTGGCTAAGCTGCTCCGGACAGCTTAATGGATGAATAAAACCATAATACTAGAGGCAGCATAAGACGTTGTGCGTGGAATAAAATTGGAGGTACTTCAGTCACTAATCATTCTATTAACATTAAACTCCCGCCCCAGAGTCACCAAGGTCTATATAGTAGGGGATGAAACATCATGCAACCACATATTTAGGACCATAGAATGGTTGATATTGTATAGATGCATACAGCATACATACATGTATATTATACTAATTTATATATATATACATGATTACACATGTATCATTTCCCCTCTGGTTATTAAAATAGCCATGGAAAATCACCATGCTATTAAGTACGGTAAACCATCTATTTCAATGGGCCATCGAAAAACCATGGCTATGTAAGAAATAACCAGAGGGTACCAGCCTTTTACGAATTTCAGGAATGAACCAAGCAGTCACTGCACAAAAAAAATGCTGTTTCGTGTTTCGAAACACCGGCAGGATCAAGACATCGGTAGAGGACGCCTACTTCAGGTGCCGTCCGAAAAAACTGTTTTTTATGCTCTGGTCCGGGACACACGTGGAGATAAGCCCAAACCTTACCGGTACCCAATGTAATATGATATAACATAATATGATATGATAGGATATAAGATAATGTAGTAGAATGTATTTATATAACATATTATAGTCTAATTAAATAATGTTTTTTTTTGTTTATATACTGTAATGTAGTGACATGTATAGTGACACGTATACAATAATAATGATATTTGGTATTAAATATCTAATACATTAGTACATGATAATAATCACAATGTTACTGTAGATCCTAAAACCACGGTTGCCACTGTTTTGGGATGCGTGATCAACATATGGTCAACATGTTCGAGAAGTTGTAGATTGTGAAAGTGCCTAGTCTGTACCGCACCGAAATGACAGCAGTATCTCTTCCCAATGAAACCACCGAAACCACGTAAGAAGTTTATTGATCCCACGGCCCAGCAAATTTGTTGTTTGGGTCAATCTCTTCCACACATCTTTCCGTCGCACCCCTTGCCAATCTTGTAGGATGTTGCGTTGGAACCATTCCGTTTCAAAAGATATGGTTCCCAAAACGGGCATGCACCAACACCATCAGATGACCATTTACCATTGACCCACGCCATTTACCATTAAATAAATGGTTTACCATTTACCATACCCAGATGCTCCATGTATAGTATATTTACCTACATTTGGCTCATTTATGGGGCAAATGTTGGTAAATATATGTAAATATTTAAATATTCCATACATATCATACATGGAGCATATGGGATAGACCGTTTACCAAAGACCATCTAAGACCATTCACCATCCATTGACCAACCTCAGACGGTGCCGTCGAGGTACAAGCGCACGGGGAAGTTTCAGACGACCATCGAGGCCATCAATCGGGAAATCCATCGGAAAACGATGGGGAAAATCATCGGAAGATGATGCAAGGTGGTGCCCCCGTTCGATAGCTAAGTTGGTGAACATAACTCCAATAACTATGGTTTATGGTACTCATAACTATAGTTACTGGGGCTAAGTTGGTTTATAACTCCAATTTCACTATGGTTTTTGTAGGTGATGTATCTAGTTAATGTGTTTACAACCAATTTATAACTGGAGGCGGCACCACCTTGTGGGAAATCTTCATTTGTGATATTTGTGGAGGTTTGAATGGGAACATAGGATTTTTTCTGCGCGTGATTCCACTATCAATGGAGGCTTTTGACAGGAGGTCATTGAACTAAATGAGAGAGGCAGCACGTGATGCTTGACAAGTCGGAGGGTAATCCAAAATTATCATTGGGGTTAGTCACGGTTAGTCCAGTTGTAAACCTGGTTGGTGGTTTCAAACATTTTCTTCCATCATATATGGGATAATCCTTCCCATTGACTTTCATATTTTTCAGAGGGGTAGGTGTACCACCTAACCAGTAAACTGTTATCGACGTGGGTGAATCAAACTACTTCTTACGTTGGGGTGAACCACGAGGTACTTTCTGATACGGCTTTGCACTGCTGTGTTGTTGCAGTAGTGGTAAGTAGTAGTAAGAACAATCATCAATCAAAATACTATGATCAATGACGATCCTAATAATGATCAATGGCAACTATGACCTGAACTTAGCTCAATATCCAGATTCTCAAAGGCCCTTATCTTAATCCCTGCAACCACAGATGGTCGCTTTAACGTTGAATCCTCGGCGGTGGAAAACTCATCGCAAATCTCCGCCAGAACTGTATCGATGTCGAGTCCATGGTGGTGAATTTGGAGTTGGATCGCGTGGGTTTCATGAAGAAGATCAGTCCCTCAGGCCCTAGCTGCTGCAAATTCTATGGAAACTTGTGGGTGTTTTGAAAAAAAGAGAAATTCGCTAGAAACTTACGCAGTGTTTTGAATCTGAATGGGGGATCTTTTTTTAGATCTTATCATGACATGAAAGTCCATCAGGCCATCAGGATTCCAGTCAACGTCCAATGTTCATAGCAACTGCACCACTTGGCAACGCACATCTCAATGGATTGGTTTAAGGGAAAATCTACAAGAAACCATGGATTTTCCATGATTTTCCCATCAAATATGAGTTTTTCCTGTAAATCTTCCCTTAAACCAATCCATTGAACATCCAAGTTGATCTTCCAAGCTCCTGAAAATGAGCGTCCTGGGTTGATCTTCCGGGCAGGTCTCTTGTACTGTGTCGAGTGTCAGACCGCCCTAGGAGATGCCACTCGGCGCAGATCAACGTCATCAGGGAAGTTTCATGAGGACACCATAAATTCAACATGGCACTCAACCGTGACTATATCCAATGGGAAATTTATTTTCCAGGCGCCATTCTTGGGGTTCTATGTTAAACTTTGGTGGTGTAATGAGGTTTGCCTCCTTGTAAACCAGGATGAAACCTAGAAAAACGTGTATTGACAGATTATTCTACTAGAGATGGCCATGAAGTCTATGACCATGCAGTGTTTCAGTGGTTTAGACAAGTTTAGACTCTGGGAACATCTGAACTAAATGAGGGGGTTCCAGCAATTCTACTAAAAATTACTTAGGTCGCCGCTATGGCTAATGTTTGCGGTAGTTGATCATGAAGCATCCACTCAGAAGCACAGAGTGACGAATAATTTCCGACTGCATTACATTTGACAATACCCTACAGTATGACTGCACATGATCTGGGGGACAAAAATGTGGCCACAGCCGCTACAACTTACAAATAAGTATCGATTTTTTTGTACTTTATGGACTGTCCCGCTTTTGAACTACAATAATATCCCCGTGTTTGTCACTTGAATACTTGATTTGCTGGCCCTTTATCGAACACAGGTCCATCTCATTCCCATTTTCTGATTCACTGAATCACATTTAAGCAATCACTCCATTCATTGCCAGTAAAAATTCATCGCAAAGCTGCATCTGCTTGAATTTTTTGGATGTCATAACAGCCAAGGTTCCAATTAACATATGATTTAACTTAGAGGGCGGCACCCCGTGGGGGAGTGAATTTTCATTAAAAATGATGAAAAAACACTGTAAATACCGATGTTTTATGCATTTGGAGGGTCTAAAACCCTAGTAAAACACACTTTTTTCATCATGATCTTGACATGAGATATACAAAAACATTGACAGGCACCAAAAAAACAAAAAAAAACAAACCACTAGATGCACCAAACATCGACAGGCACCAAAAAAAACCAAAAAAAAACAAAAATTCCAGCAACTACTCAGAAGTGCCTGGAAATTTTAGTTTTTTTGTTTTTTTTGGTGCAGGTTTGGTGCATCTAGTGGTTTGTTTTTTTTTGTTTTTTGTTGCCTGTGCAGGTTTGGTACATCTATTGGTTTGTTTGTTTTTTTGATGCCTGTGCAGGTTTGGTGACTCTGACTTCACAAAACATTGACAGGCACCAAAAAAAACAAAAAAAACAAACCACTAGATGCACCGAACATCGACAGGCACCAAAAAAAACAAAAATTCCAGCAACTACTCAGAAGTGGACCCATAGTTCCTGGAAATTTTAGTTTTTTTTTGTTTTTTTTGGTGCCTGTGCAGATTTGGTGCATCTAGTGGTTTGTTTTTTTTGTTTTTTTTTGGTGCCTGTGCAGGTTTGGTGACTCTGACTTCACAAAACATTGACAGGCACCAAAAAAAACAAAAACACCAAACCACTAGATGCACCAAACATCGACAGGCACCAAAAAAATACAAAAAAAAAACAAAAATTCCAGCAACTACTCAGAAGTGGACCCATAGTTCCTGGAAATTTTAGTTTTTTTTGTTTTTTTTGGTGCCTGTGCAGGTTTGGTGCATCTAGTGGTTTGTTTTTTTTGGTTTTTTTTGGTGCCTGTGCAGGTTTGGTGCATCTAGTGGTTTGTTTTTTTTGGTTTTTTTGGTGCCTGTGCAGGTTTGGTGACTCTGACTTCACAAAACATTGACAGGCACCAAAAAAACCAAACCACTAGATGCACCAAACATCGACAGGCACCAAAAAAACCAAAAAAAACAAAAATTCCAGCAACTACTCAGAAGTGGACCCATAGTTCCTGGAAATTTTAGTTTTTTTGGTTTTTTTGGTGCCTGTGCAGGTTTGGTGCATCTAGTGGTTTGTTTTTTTGTTTTTTTTGGTGCCTGTGCAGGTTTGGTGACTCTGACTTCACAAAACATTGACAGGCACCAAAAAAAAAAAAAAACAAACCACTAGATGCACCAAACATCGACAGGCACCAAAAAAAACAAAAAAAAAACAAAAATTCCAGCAACTACTCAGAAGTGGACCCATAGTTCCTGGAAATTTTAGTTTTTTTGTTGTTTTTTTTGGTGCCTGTGCAGGTTTGGTGCATCTAGTGGTTTGTTTTTTTTTTTTGGTGCTTGTGCAGGTTTGGTACATCTATTGGTTTGTTTGTTTTTTTGATGCCTGTGCAGGTTTTGGTGATTCTAGATTGTGTATGTTTGGATCTTGGCCATATTTTAAACTTATGTTTCAAAGAAGCAAACATACCGTTATCTTTGAATAGCTATGCCACCACACAGGTTGCCTGACCTTAATATTCAACAGCTTGACACACGTCTTTGTCTCTTTGGCTTTCTCTCTCTCTCTCTCTCTCTGTCTAACTATTGAAATGAGACTGCTGACAAGACTCTGCAAGATAACAATGATAAACGAGATGTGTACCTACTTCTTGGGTTGTAACATTCCCACCATCCTTCTTATCCAGAGTGTTAGATGTGCTTGTGTTCTATCCACCTATATAATGTATGCCCTTCCCACCATATTTCTTATGTAGCGCAAATGCTTCTATATACAATATATGTTAAGATGATACCAATCTAACAAGTTCATGAAGAAACACCTATATCATATCAATTGCTTTTAGCAATAGAATTTCTCCATGACCTCCATCACACTAGTCACCTATTGCTACTGTATATTCTGTTCCAAGATGTGCAGCTACCCATTCTTATGGCATGTTGTGCAGCAGATGTTTTCTGTTATGTGCTGATTGTTTGTAGTTCTTTGCAAGCCTCACAGGAAAAATTGAATCCTGCCACAAGAGTCTGTAAATGCCAGTGATTTATGACAGCATATGAGAGCCTTTGGAGGTGAAATCTATTTTTTGCTCTAAAATAGCGGTTTTAAGCCCACTTTGGTCACAAAACACTGTAAATACCAGTATTTTTGACCATTTTTAGAGCAAAAATCACTCCCCCATGAGGGGCCGTTCGGTTAACTTACTGGTGCTAAACGCAGGGAATTTTCGGGAATGATCCCAGTCATCACTAGTACTGTAATGTCATCATCCCAGCAACCCCCAGCAACCCATCCATTCCCTATGTTTAGCACCAGTACGTTACTGGTTGGTGGTTTGGAACATTTTTTTTTCCATATATTGGTAATAATCATCCCAACTCACTACAGTTATGTCCCTCTACAGTTATAAATGGGATTATACATCCTATAACTGAGGTTATATAATTATCATGAAATACTCCCATTTATAACTGTTAATCATCCCAACTGACTAATATTTTTCAGAGGGCTTGAAACCACCAACCAGGTTAACAAAGATGGAGCTTTTCCATGATTTCGCCGGGTTTCCCGGCAGAGCTCCCCGTGGCTCCAGGTGATTTCCGCTGGCTGCCACGACGTGCTGTGCAACCAGTGTGCGGTCGAGACCCACAGCACGGGCAACCGACAGGACGGCCCTACTTCGCGACACGGGGAGATTGGGGGTACCCGCTGGTAATTTGTTGCAGTACTAGCTATTGAAAATGGCCATTTATAGCGGATTTACCCATTGAACATGGTGATTTTCGATAGTTATGTTAGTTTACCAGAGGGTAGCTGGTTGGTGGTTTGGAACATGAATTTTATTTTTACATATATTGGGAATAATCATCCCAACTGACTTATATTTTTCAGAGGGGTTGAAACCACCAACCAGGGAAGCCAAAAGGTATTCCAGGTGTCCATACAGTAGCTGGATGTAGCTGGTATAGGTGCCCATTCCGGCGATTCCTTGGTTTTTTGGGCATGACATATGTGTTGTTCGGCAACTTTTCCATAATTGTCCACCTTAAGTATCGTTTTCTGGTCAAGCAAAGACAGCAATTCTTTTCAGAAATGTCATAGTGTTTTTTTCTTTTACCCTCTGGTAAACTAACATAACTATGGAAAATCACCATTATTAATGGGAAAATCCACTATAAATGGCCATGTTCAATAGCTATGTTAAATTACCAGAGGGTATAGTGTCTTTGTGTGATCTCCAGATTTTGGTCGTCCGTTCGCGGCAGGATGCGCCCTTGGTGTTCATTGAACAAGCCGTGTGTGCAGAGTGTACCACAAAGGCCGTTCTCGTTCGATGGGCCCATGATCATGGTACATGTTGATTTAGTAGATACGGAGACAGTCCCAATTTTGAGAAGGCACAAGTCCATACAAGTCCTAGAATTTGCATGGTCCATCATAGTCCCAAAATAAATATCCTTTGGTCAGTGGTTTCAAATACGCTCAAATATCACAGCACCTTAGATTTTAATAATTAATATGTCCCATCTTTGCCTGAGGTTGTTGAATACGAAATAAGACTTCACTGAGGTTGTTGTCCACTAAATGACCACATGCCACAAAGTGGGTCAAACCTGAAATAGTTCGGATGGTTTCAATCCCATTTATGTTTGATAAGTCTTTGAGCATGGTTTATGCTTTTGATTTCCATGTTCGCCTTTCCAAATGTGTCATCCCTCGTTTGCGTAGCAATTCTCTGAATCTTGATTAAAACGATGTATTTGATGGGTTTACTTTGATGCTTATACATGCCCATCTTGTCTTGGCTGTATCTCCATTTATTGTTACTTAACCCACATTGATTACCGCATTAGTTATATCGCCCAACCAAACAAATAAAAAATCAGTAATGTAAATTCATCTGTAGTCTTTTTAAGTATAGGATAGAGTATAGGCAATTTTTATCATTTTTTTATTCTTTTTGGGGGTGTTGCTATGCCAGAGATACTTTTTCGAAGCCAGGCAGCCTTGGTCCGCTGCCAAGACTGTGTGGAGCTCTTCTGCTACGACTGCTTCAAGCTGACGCATGCCGCAGGGACCGAAACGCAACGCGAAGGGAGGGCAAACCTTGGGAGCTTGGCGGATGGTGACTTTTTGGTCACTATCCTAAAAGATGTATTTTTGGTATCCTAAAAGATCCAACACGTGATTCAATGATTCTTGGAATTTTCACTTTGGCTGCCATTCTTTTTAGAGTTGCTCGACCAAAAGACTCCCTGGACTCCCTGGTTTTTTTTGTCCAAAAAGTGGTGAGTTCATCGGCCACGGGGATGTGCCGGAGGAAGAGAAAGAGACACTGTGTGGGTTTGCCTCAACGCACCTTCTGCTTCGAGTGCGACATGAGGGAGGCAGGTCCTGTGGTCCATTTGATGTAAATGTGGTGGGGAGGACCCAGGTATACCCAGATTGTTGGTGAATCCATGTTAAAGCCATCAAACTGCAGGGATATCTCCTAAGCCCAATGCGATATTGTTAGATATGATATGATATTATTAGACATTAGATGATATGAATTTGAAACGAAACTACTTATTTCACCACCTGGCATGATCCTGGAACGTCAAAACGCTCTGTGTAGAAACTGAGTGCATGCACCCTTTTCTGTGAAAACGGGTAATGGAGGTTTCCTAAGTCATGGGGGTACCCTAAATCATCCATTTCAAACGGATTTTCCATGAGTTAAACCATCCATTTTTGGTGTACTCCCGTGTATGGAAACTACCCATATAACCATTTCGAATTTTCATGGCTTCTCCCAGAATGCAGGATTTTTAGCTCCTCATTCCCAGCTGCAAAGTACCGTAGTTCAATGGCCTTTTGCTTGGATGGTATTGGATGCGTATTGCTAGTAGGTTGTTTTTCATACAAATTAGTTTAAAAGCAAGGCATATATACGCATAGAGAGATAGAGAGGTAAGAGGTTTCATTAATATTTCATATATTATATGTAGATATAGCTATTAACTAGGCTATTTCTTACATTATGTATATATGTACAGTCTTATGGGGCACCCTCTATTTGTCAGTTGGTTTATGCTTAACATTCACCAACCCTTCTCACTCCCAATTCTGATCAGCATAAACCCAAATGAATCATAATAAATCTAATCATGAAAGGACTTAGATCAACTTAGCTGATCCCTTACCTTCCAGTTATCAGATAGGTAACCAACCCCCACATTTCCTATCTCAGAGGTCACTTTCTTCTATGCGGCCAAACACGAGTCGTGCATGGGGTCAGCATGAGGGTTTGTCCGAAACATATATAGATTACCCTTAAGTTCTGCTTATTTTGATATAACATGATGCAAAATATCGTGCGACCTGGGTGATGCCATGGGATTTCTCGCTTTCCAGGCTCAAACATCCACCTTTGAAGAGAGATGTTTTTAGACGTGGCAAACATCCACCTGCCAGAAAGCATCCGATGAACCAACCATAAAAAAAAGGGATTATTTTACATCATCCCAGAATCCCAGTCATCTCTTCAATAATGAATCTCGATTGGGGATGGTTTAGTATTGGGATTCCCACATTAAAAATCTTTGATAATTTGATAGTAAGACAGTATCAGTATGACACCGAAATGTCACGACTCTTCAGGTCACCCAAAGTCATGAGCCAAGTAGAAAGTAACTCAGCTTGGAGCACACCGCACCACCATGGAACACGACTCACATGGAACAAGACAGAGGATCCAACTGATTGATACCATCCACCTGCAGAGGATCAGACTTGAACTCCAACATCTGAGACCCCTAATCCTCGAATTAGCCTTCGCGAAAAGACCGTGTTTTGGGGAGTACCATGTCAGTTTGGAATTCACAAAGATATCTCGCAAAAAAAAAAATATCACAATATCACCGTGTCACGAAAACTGGCTCCCTTCAGCGCAGCCTCGTGAGCGGAGTAACGTTGCTGCCATGGCTGCTGATCAGGGCGGTGGTGTAGAGCCACCCGCGAACATCAGCACCAAGAAAATTCTCGAAACCATTGCTTCGCTGCTGGCTACAAAGGACCCCTGGGGCCCTAGAGGTGAAAAGGCCTCAAATGAAAATCGGTGATCTAGACTTAGGGGACCGAGAATGGGATGATTTAAAACAGAGGTAATCAAAGATGTGCTTTCCTATGGGGGGTTAATATGTGTGACATATTTCTTCATTTTGAATTGAACATGATTATATCTAATTAATCCCACAAGGAGTGCTTAACCCACAAATCCACTATAAGCCGCGCAAGACGTGATGTTTACAGCAAAAAACCCTGTCCCCTAGGACTGACGCCCCCGTACAAGGGACTCCGGGTTTGAGCGTGTGCATCTCTTGGGGGAAGATAAGAGGTTGTGAAAAGGAAAATGGCGAGTTACACAAGTTACCTTGTGTGCTGGCTTTGTGTGAATGGCTTCTGACCAGGTCAGCGTCCCTCATTTTACACTTGCCTGTCAGATAGGTACACCTATTAGATAGGCCCATCCACTATTTTTTTGAATCGCCGTGGCTACATAGAAATTGTAATTGGAATGCTAGTAGGTTATGCTTGCACCTAGATTTCCATGACGCCTCACAATATGTTGGAGAAAATCAACGAGTGGCCGGGCCACAGTTTTGCAGATGCGGGTCGCATTTGGGTATGGGTCAAGACCGGGTCCATGGCAAAAAACGACGGTTCGATACTCAATATTGGCAAACATCCATGGTCCTGGGGTCCCAAATTTTGTCCATACATAAACCCATACCCATAGGATCCATGTATGGTATATATATATATATGCTAACATTGGGGGTATATTGATGGTAAATGTTACCATATATAGCATACATGGATCCTATGGGATACTTATGGGTTCCTTCCGGTCCGCTATGCTGTGCGAGCAGTCCGGACAGGACAAGGACTACATCGAACACGTCAAGAAGCGCGCCAGAGAACACAAGTTCAAGTTCAAAGGCCACAACATGATCTACATGATTCTACATGTGTATTATTTGGGAGGATCTTCTGAGATGGGAGTAAGAAATTGCACAAGAAAATTTCTCACAGCGACCCACCTCGGGCGGCAGATTGCACAGAGACGTTTGCAGTTGGTGGCGGAACATATTTGGTAATTTAGCTCCTGTGATGTTGCTATATAGGTTTAGATTTAGCCGGAAATAAAATCAGGTTGATTTTCAACAGTGATGACCATTCACTCTATTTAGGATGATGGTCAGCAACTGGTGTCCCGTAAGGCCAGGATAGCAAGGTGAGCGACAATCCCTTCGGTTTGATCGTCCTTCATGGATGAGAAACTATGGTTCCTATAGCAAGCCTATGGACAAGTAAAATCCTTCGAGACTAGTGTTGAATTAATTGCAGTTGAATTTTTGGATTACCGGAACCCGGTATCTCCAGACAAACCCATACCAAGATCGGAACATTTGCAGCTTTCACCCTCGATTTGATGGTGAAAAAACATGAAAATACACATTGATTTCCTATTTAGGTTTGCGGTTATGTAGAACATCCACTGAACGTTATGTTGCAATTCCAGCATGTTTTATGATAAAATGTAATAAAACTTCTGTATTTTGAGGCTTTGAGGGTCCCCATCCAAACTATTTTGGATGGGCTCAATGTGGAGCGCGAAAATGCGAAATGTTTGTTGCGCAACAGTTTCACCCCATGTTGCTACTAGTTTGTTATAAGATGTTATAAGTATCATAAACATTCATAAACCATATTACCATATATATTTATTGAAGTTATGTTGATCATTGTTGATCAACTTATAGCTGCAATAATTCTGCGCATCATTCAGCGATCAAAATCTCATGAAATCCCCATATGTTGGTCAAATCACCCAAAAAACATAAGGCGTTCCTAGCTGCGTTCCTAACTGCCTCGTTTGCTGGTGAGTTCTCCCCGTTTCTGGTGCTTAAACCATGTTAAACCATGTCAAACCATGTTAAAGCTGTAGTTTTTTTGGGGGGCCTCAGGCCTAATTGGTTCAGCACTCCATAGTCCCTTTTGCGTCGAGGCTTAGAGATCAGCGAGGACATGGTGGTGGAAGCCTTAAGCGGTGCTTCGACAGAGGACGGGCGTCGCATGGCATCGCTGGGGAGTCAACTGGCACCGAACAAATGCTGGTCTTATCATGGTTTCACCCATTCCAGATGCTCCATGGTGTTGGTATATTTACCTACAAAACTGGCTCATAAACATGGGGTTTTTATGTTGGTAAATATTCCAGCACCATGGTTCGCATATGGGATGGTTTCACCCATGGTTTCATAGGGATTGCATCGGATGTCACAGCTTGCCCTCACAGGATCTTGCCCAAAAAAAACGAAGATGCCTAGCAAAAGAGACGATAGCATTGAACACGCACAATGATTTGAAGTTTATTTCACTATATAATCAATAGCATATAGCTCATCATTCAATGTACATGTTTCTTTGGTGTGTTCGTTTCTGCAAACGTAGCTGAGGTTGATTGATGGTAATGTATATACTTGATCGCCCATAGTTTAACCTCATAATCATATGACTCATATTACTAATTATGTATTACTGTTAATTCCAAATAGTTCATATATAACATCATATAACCTCCGATGTTTGTTTTCCTGTCCCGTCTTACTGACATGTGAGCGGCGCACAAAAATGGCTTCTTCCTTGGAGGATCATCCTACTTAGTAAGTGGTGAATCACGCGCCTGTTAGCAAGTCCATCTAAGTCCCCATTAATCCGAAATATGTATTTATAAATTATATATATATATATACACGCATGTATGATATGTATATATATACACATACATATAGATATGTATGTATGAATATGTATGTAATATGTTAATTCAACTGGGTCGTAACTCCGGTTGTCAACCACCTACTACTTGGGATCCTCAAAGCACCTGCTGCCCCGCCAGGAAGCCTCCAACGGCGCTGCCACTGGCCCCGCCACCGGCACCACCGGCCCCGCAGGGCAGCGCTGGGTGCCCAGTGAGGCGTCCCCTGCGGCGCTGGCGGCCAAGGCGCTGGCGGAGTGTGAGGAGGCAGAGCCCTACAACGAGCGCGTCCGTGGCGCGGTGAGTTTTCTCAGGTGGTGCGCATGGGAATCCTCTAATACTAACCCCCCTCGCTCCCCAAATAATAAACACCTCAGGTAGTTTTTAAAATTAGGGTATTTATTATTAGGGAAGCAAAGCGGACCCTAATAATCAGTTTGAACCCTTATTTAAAAAAACTGTGTTTTTCGATTTCAAAATCAATTAAATTTCCTGTTATAACTTATAACCCAATTAAAATATTGCCACAAATTGGATTTCGAAGCAGTAAAGTAACACCTTAATATAAAAAAAACTAAATTTTTCGGACGGACCCTAATAAACAATACCCCGGGGTTGACTTTTTTCCGTTATTAGGGGTTGAAACCCACAAATAGTAGCTTTATTTTTAAATTGTTTTCTAAAGGGGATCAATTAAAAGTCAAATTGGCCAACCTGAAATTTGCAAAATTGGAGATGGACCCTAGTTTTTATTATTCTTATTATTCGGGGGGGTTAGTACTGGTAATAGGGGGAAGGGATTAGTTAGGTTGGTTAGTATAACTTAACATTTGGGGTTATGGTATATCGAACATGTCTCTGAGGAGGTTTGGGGAGGAAAGATGGTGGTTTCACTTTCAAAAACACTGTTGTTTAACGTTGAAGAAAAGTGGGGTTAAACTAGATAAGATGGTGGTTCAACTATGGAAACTTATTACTTAGACCGAAAAAACAGGTGATTTAATTGGAACAACTTTGAACATTGTGATTTGCCATCAGCTATGATAGGAAGCTTTGCCAGCAAAAGTCCGGATGCGACTGTAAACAATGATGATGTCATTGTGTCTGAACATACGGCACGGTCCATCCACAAGAGAGAACATCTGGTTGGTGGTTTGGAACATGAATTTTATTTTTCCATAATATATGGGAAGTTCATCATCCCAACTGACGATTCGTCATATTTTTCAGAGGGGTAGGTCAACCACCAACCAGTTGTCATGGGGAAACTGATGATAAACAGCTGCATTTCGGGGCACTTTGCTGTTGCGCAAACTCATCCATCTGGTGCTCGATGGGTTCACCGTATCAAAAATAGGTGGGGGTTAGTCATGGGTTAATTATCACAATGTGGTTAAACAATTAGATTTAAGAAATTATAAACAATAACTATCAAGTTTGATTTAACCAAGGAAAATCTGTATTTCACCAAAACACATTAGAATTCACCAGAGAAAATCAAGATTTGATCTGCAACAGTTGTGGGATTGATTACAGAAAACGATATCAAAAGGGGCTATGAGGTGTGGAACATGGAGATTCAACCCCTATAGAACATGTGAGTTCATCAACATGATGGGGAATTAACCAGCAAACGTGTCGATTTGACCGACAAACATTGTGGTGACCCAAAAACAAAAATGATAAATGGTTCCAGACAGCAACAAGTCATGTTGGCAGAACAAGTCAGATGGGCATTGGTCAAACCTTGTGATCGGAGCAGTGTAAATAATTATGGGATTTCAGAACAACTCAAATGGAAGATGATATGGATACTCTTTGGTACTATAAAAACTGCTTTTGGTGGAAAATACTGCAACTTGCCAAACAAGTTGTTTTTACCATTAAAAAACAATGGTTTTGCCTGAACAATAGAGGGGATGAACCATTTAACATAGAGATAGGTAAAAACTTGGTTTTGATGGCATAACCAATCTCTAGCGAGAGGAAGTACTATAAATTAAGTTTACACCTCAAATATTGAGTTTGTTACACCTGAAAATCCATCATATCCCAATGTATTGTGCCTTAAAAGAATCCCATGTTTGGCTACACATCCCATGACATATCCCCATGTTCTGTCAGATTCTGTCGCCCAAAAATTATGCCAAGGTGTGGTGGGAAACCAAAAGGTCCAGGTCCTTCCGAAGCCAGACAACGGCCTGCTGCCGACTGGAGATGCCCTGGAAGCAAATCAATGGGCCGAGACATGCGCCCGTGTGGTGAATCGAAAGGATGGCCGTGTGTATGTCGCTCAGAGCAAACAGACGGGCTGAAAAGGGCTGAAGATTCACTGGAAATCCAGAAATCCAACATTTGAGAAATGAAAAAACATGTGGTATCCTGATATATCCTGATGAATGATATATATATATATATATTATATATCATATATCCTGAGATATATCCTGATATATTAAGCTGGTTGGTGGTTTGGAACATGAATTTTATTTTTCCATAATATATGGGAAGTTCATCATCCCAACTGACGATTCGTCATATTTTTCAGAGGGGTAGGTCAACCACCAACCAGTTTCATGATATTAATATCAGCGTTTTTGTTGGTGAAAAATTGCCATTGTTGATGGTTACAATGTGTACATACCTGTTTCCAACTACTATGAATCAATGGGAATTCCAGGATCCTAAATTGGAGGTACTGTACCATATTTCTGGCCATATTTTGTGGGGATATTCCCGCAAACATAGGCCTAAAAAATAGGCCTTGTTTCATCTTTTTTCTATGCTAGGTACCTCCAATCAATCGGATCCTGGAATGGCCATTGAATTAATGTGATATTTGGTTGCCCTCTGGTAAACATACAAAAAGCTATTGAACATGGCCATTGAAATAGTTGTTTTTCCCATTAAAAATTAGGTGATTTTCCAATTTTCCATAGCTAAATTACCAGAGGGTAATATGGTGTCAAGTTTTCTGAAGTTCTATCCATGACTTGATCCAAGCCAGCCCTGGCGCCGTGGGATGGAAAGATGGCTTGGCCAGGGCGGAGTTCGATGGTGACCCAGATGCCTTTCCTATATACCTGGCCTGATAAACATAAAATAAAACGATGGAAAGATCCACCATTTTATAGCTGGGTAAATCAACTATTTCTATGGCCATGTTCCAGTTCGCTTTTTGTTAACGTTTACCAGGCCGGGTTTTTTTATGGTTAAACCTCCGGGGAACCATCCCCAAATGGACCAACATATATCTGGGTTAGTGAAATATCATTAAATTTACCCAGATATATGTTCTGATGAATATTTGGTAAATTATGATATTTCACTAACCTGAAATTATGATCATGGACCATCTGTTCTGATGAATTCCCTTCCGCCGCCTTAACATGAAATTACCACCGTGGAAAGCTTGCTCCGCCGTAAAACTGCGCTCCAGTTTTCAGAAAGTCAGCGAGACGCTCTCCCAGTTTTGGGGTTATGAAAAATTCTATGCAGTGGGATGAGATTGGTCGGGATCCTGAATGTCAACAGTCCAGTCTGGTGGATATATATAGCGATTCCGATAGGTATCCAGTCCAGTTGATATCAGATAGGTACCCCAAAATCATCTGATTTTTCCTCACTTATCTCAGAGTTAGGGATTCCAGCATTCCAGCGGGATGTCCACTGCAGGTAAGGCTTCGGCACATCAACGGTTGGATTTCCAGTCGTTCCAGGAAGGACTTTAGCAAGGCAGGGCTGTGGGCGCTGGGTACATGGGGGACTCCAAGACTCTTTTATATATATATATATATATATATGAGCAAGGGTCAAAAGACGCTATGAAAGGCTTCAATTACGATCCGCCATCACTACTCAAAATATGTGATTTACTGTGTGTAGCGATAGGGGGCCTTATGTAGCGATACCTCTTTTTAGACTTTGTTTATGATTGAAGCTTCCTGTTGGGCGCATGACTTTCCAATCTTTTGATGTCAGAGTGCGACACTGGAGCAGTCGCAGTGGGCTGGTCTTCCTGGGTAGTTGCAAGATGGCCTGTCGTCAAGTATATATGAGATAGTTACATTAAACAATATTGATATATTGGGGTATGTTGATCTATAAGGTATGCAAGAAACTAATTCATAACGCATCATGAGCTTGATGATGGTGATGATGCTGATGATGATGGTGATGGTGATGATGTTGATTCAGATAGTGACCGTGCTGAGATATGTTGAAAAAGCATCCTTGTGCGGTCACGGACGCTTCTCCAAAGCCACTGTCCAGGAGTAGAATTGCAACATGGAGCTTGTCAGAATTTCGTGTCACTTGAAACATACACCTGAGATCACACATTTTCTGGTCCCCGTAGCGATGCCCGAAGCGATACCCCTCGATACCCAGAGCGATACCTGAAATCCATGAAATTAGGGAGTACCCCACATGGTCACTTGAAACTATACAACTTGTGCTATAGGTGGAAAAATATGGGAAGTATGAACAAGGGTACCCTCAAGTTCTTACTGGGTTAGTTCTTAAAGGGTTCATTTGGTCAGGGTTTTGCTGATTCATTTTGGCGTGGTATTAGGTTGCAAAGGAGGCGGGATGAAGAAAAAAAGGCGCCGGAAACAAGGCAGCACAGGCAAGACAAGCCAAGACAAGCCAACACAAGCCAAGGGCAGCCTCCCAGGTCAGATGACCTGCAGTGAGTCCGGCTGGTGTCTAGCTGAAGCTGTCGACGTCAGCCTTGGTGATCAAGTAAAAGTTTGAATTTTCCTGGAGATACCATCGCAAGGGGAATAAGAATCCGATTCCTCATCTGGATCCTCCTCTTCTAGCAGCAATTCTGCCTAGTTGGTGAAAAGGGTGCTGGGACTCTGTGTAGCGATAGGGGGCCTTATGAAGCGATGCCATGACCTCACCACATGAATTGAGTTTTGACCGTCGCACATATATATATATATATTATTTATATATATATGTATAAATAGATAGTCCTCATTGATCCACCATTGTGCCAGTCAACCTCCCCTTCCTCTCAGGATCTTCCGTCTCTCCCAATGGTGACTGACTGGAAGATGCCATCGTAGTTTCCCATGACCAAGACTGGTTCCCTTTATCGGCTTTCCACAATTGCATAAATCCATACGAATTCCCTATAGCGTATAGTGTATTCTGGCATATATTTAGATATGTTATATTACACTATACAGTAGGGATTTCCTATGGATTCTTATATATATATATGGTATGATCATTTATTATATTATGATCCTATATAACAGATATAACATAATTATATATAGGATAATATATATATATATATATATATTAGTATGATATAGTGGGGCAAAAAAAACAGTTCTGCCGGTGTCGATTTTACCCATGAAAATCGAAAGCTGGGGGACTTAGCAAAGAGGCTCTTTACGCATGCCGTTGTGATCAGTAAGAGCCCCGTTCATGTGAATTAATGTAGTAATTGTCACTTATATATGTATTTAACATATCTTGTTTAACTCAGATTTGTTTGTTGCTAATTTATCATCTTTCTTATAGAGTGTCTTGATGTTCTAGTCTATACTTATTAAGACAACATGTCTGAAATAAACACCAGCAATACTTGGTGGTTTACCCCAGCTAGGAAGTGGGTGGTCATTCCCTTTATAGCTGGACAAACCCTATTGATCCCACTCGAAAATGGAGTTATAGCCCACTTACGAACTTGAATTTCCATCAAATCCCATAGAAATCCCATATAAATCCCCCTGTAAATCCCATATAAATCTCATAATTCCCAGCATTTGGTGTCGGCATGTGTCGGCTAGGTGGTGCTGGAGGTGGAGTCTGGAAAGGAGCTGGAGCCGGCCAGTGGCACGGATCGCAGGTTGAAGCGAAATTTCTGCAGGATGGTGCCTTTCCAGGTGATAAGTTGGTTTATAAACCATGCTAACTATAGATATATCATGATTCATGATATATCTACAGTAAATCCTAGTTGTTAGAGTTATTTGCACCAACTTAGCTAACGAACTGGGGCACCTTGTAGGTGATTGTGGGAGATGAAAATCCCATCCCCCATTCATATCAAACACCTCCATTCTGTCCGATGTGTTTTCATCCCCTACTAAACCATGGTTTCTGGGGGGGTGTTTAATATTTCTGCCGGGACGATGGTTTACTTGACTCAAAGGGGGTTGATTCATCGCATGTTCAGATTAGATGACTGAAGATGAAGGTCTATGGGAGGGGTGGGGGTTGCTAGAACCGGTGATCGTATGTGATCAGAGCAGGGGCATATCATGTTGTAATTATAGTTGATGCCCGTCTTCGCTGATTCGGTAATGATTGATTTTCCAAATGGGGAATCACCATGTGATGCTTGCATGTTTCTGTGACTCTTCTTAGGAGCATCAGAAATGATCTCTTATCTACACTTTTTTCTTGGCCTTGGCCTTTAAGATCCTTTAAGCAAAAGAAAGGATGGGGGAGATGTTGGCAGCAGTAATTCATTGATGTTAAAAGGAACCAACCATTGTCACTCTGTGGACGAGTTGATGCTGGGATGAACTCGCCGCAACAGGCATCGGCGATGTTTTTTTGTTGTGACCAGGGTAGCAGGGTCAACTGGCTCATGTGGATTTGTACTTTGAGGCAACAGAAAAGAATGGAAAACGCTCCAAGGACAGGGAATCAAGCCAGTCAAGGGAAGATCCATGGGCAATTTTCCATAGCATCTAATTACCGGAGGGAACATTGGTGATATTGCCGGATGGCCCATGCATCAAACTGGGATTGTTCCAACAAACCATGTTTCATGACACCAGAGGGTATTCACCAATATCCCACCAAGATTCCATTAGATTTGTTCATGAAACCACCATGTTTGTCAGGTCAATTACCATAAATATTAAATATCCCATTACACCTCCATTTATCCCATATTTATCCCATGAAATCCTATGAATCTTCCATTCGAATCCTTGGATCGTAGGATCGTCATAGGATCGTAGGCTCTCCCACCGAGGTACACAGGTCATCGGCCGCAGTCGTGTGGCCCGGCTCATGCCACTGATGAATCAGGTGCGTTTTTGATGGTCGACGATGATTTTCATGTTTTTTTTTTGTGTCCAAGAATGGTTACCCTCTGGTAAACATTTACATAGCTATGGAAAATCACCATTCTTAATAGGTAAATCAACTATAAATATGGCCATGTTCAATAGCTACGTCATGCTACGACGCTACGTTAAATTACCAGAGGGCAGTATACCCCCCAAGTGGCTATTTTAACAGGGAAAATGAGGACAAAGCATGAAATTTCGGGTACACAATTTTTATAGTACTTAGACTAACTTAGACTCTCACCTTGGTAATATTGCTAGATAATATGGCTGAGAATCTGTTGCCTAATATAGTACTTAACAATTGCCCAGCACTTAGACTTTTCATGTACAATAATTGCTTAATATTATCTAATAAGAATTGGTAAAAGTCCTTGAGGTACTTGGAGAGTCTAAGTAGTATGAATTGGTAATAAGTTCTTAGTTCTTACAGGTAGCAATCCCTAATAGTACTTATCCAAGTACCTCATAGTATCTTCCTATGGATCTAAATTAAATCCTTTCTAAAAAGGCACACCGACCCGACCCCCTAGTCATCATACCCCAAGTTCCTAAGAAGGTACGGCTGGATCCATAGGGCCTTGAGGGTAAAAGTCCGACAAAATCATGGGTATATCACCCCAATTTCGAGATAGTTTGAGGGTCTAGGTATGTTTTTTTGTTCGGAAACTGAAATAGTTGATATCCAAGTATATACATGAGGATTCGTTTGTTACTGCAATGCCTGAACCTTGTTTGGGATAGGGGAGCCTAACAACCTCGACTATGCATCTGGTGGTTTCACACATTGTTTGTTTGCAACCCTTTGGCCCTATATGGTATATTATAATAATCACAACATGTTTTGAAACCCTACATTGTTAAATATTTGTTGAAGACAAGAAATGTTCATCTAGTGGTCAAGCCCTCTATTTTCAACCCTTCACTTTTGGCCCGAAATACCACTCATAAGTCAGAAGGTCACCCTAGTTCGGGTTCATGATCACCCGCAGTTATAACCATCAACATAACCGATAAGAGGGCTTTAAATCCTCAATTCTCCCATGGTTTTCCTATAGGGTTTGCCCTATTTTCCTATGATTTTCCTAAGGTTTTCCTAGGGTTTCCCCTATTTCCCTTTTATGATCCTATGGTTTTGCTATGGTTTTCTCTATTTTCTTACGATGTTCACCGTGTTTTCCCCATTTTTCCAACGGGTTCCCTAGGTCCGAAACCACGCCGGCCAGGAAGGCCACCTTTTGATCGAGCGGAAGGAGGCTTTCGCGGCGCGGCGCTTCCGGACCACCATCCAGGTGCAGAGCCTTGGCAGCGGTACTGGGATCCCCCAATTTTTTCAGGAAATCTCAAGGTTTTTGCTGACTGGATCGATTCAATCCCTTACCCTCTGGTAAATTAACATAGACCCTGAAAATCACCAATTTTTAGAGGAAACTAATCTTCCAACCCCTATCTACCAGGGTCTATGTTAATTTACTGGAGGGTAATTGCAAATGTGAAACAAGCAACCCAATGGTAGTTGACCATCAGATGGTTAGATGTGAATAATTCTACTGGTTAAACCATTGGTTGGTGGTTTGGAACCATGGAATTTTATGACTTTCCATTCAGTTGGGAATCATAATCCCAACTGACGAACTCATATTGTTCAGAGGGGTTGAAACCACTAACCAGTATTGTATGTATTAGTGTAGTGTATATAGAATTATATATATATATATATGTATGACTTGGATACTTATATGATTTATTTAATTTTATTTATGTATATATCACATGTTAATGTATATATATATATAATAATATACATAATTATTCATATGATTCATATATAACATGATTAAACATGTGTATATGTATATATACATGGGGATAGCTAAGGATAACAAATAGGCGCTTCTTATCCGGAACCATCATGATCCATGGCACTGGCAAGATCTAAATGGCGTTGAATGTGTGCCCAAGTCGTGGCTGAGCTACCAACTTCCTCATCATCAATAATGATAGGAAATTATAGTAATTATATGTAATGATAGTAATGTAATTAACAAACATATAGTAATGAATATATCATTAAGATATTATTGACGGTTTCCATGTTCATCATGTTCACCACTACCCCACTAAACGGGTCTCAGCCATACTGAACCGCCAAGAACGACTGCCTTGTTTTTTTTCTGTGTTTTTTTTGATTTCCCTCACCCATGCAACCCGGTATATGTTCATGAATTTTCATGTTTCCCTCCAAAGATTGAAACTCGATTCAGACAGTGTAGCCGCAGTTTGGGTTGCATGTAAATTTCAGATGTTTGGATAGTGTTTGCCCTCACTGGCTAGGAATCATGACTTTGAAGACAATGTTCCAGGATGCACTCAGGGGAATGCACGCAATGCTGTTGTGCCAGTTGCGTCGTGTGGATAGACACGACGCCATGTTTCAGCACGGAGCGACTCATCTTTGCAGGTCTGACGCTCCGATTAAATGCGTTTGTTCCAAGGCTTGGGAAAGTTTCGCCGCACCAACGCCACTAAGGATCTTGCCAACTCCCGATTCAACAGGACGAATCCGGACCTTACGGACCATAGATGGACCATAGTGCAGCTGTCAGCAGCCATGAATCTCTTCATAACTGAATGCCGGAGATGCCACTGAATCAATGAAGAACTGATAGGAGTTGAGAAGACAAGAACTACATTGAACCTGACACAGCTATACTTGCGCACGTTGATGTTAGACTTGTCGAAAGGTATGCATTCTACAATGATGTTTCCAAAGCAAAATAAAAGGATTACATAAGGCTACCAATTGGCTGATATACTGTACATATACTCCTCTGAAAACAAACATGGAACTCTGGCCCTGAACTGGCTATGTATTATATTCTATATAATTATTATATAATTATATATGTTATACATATTATATATGTTATATGTTATATATATATATGTGTGTGTGTTTTGTTTCCAATCGGAACCTCGTCGAACCAAACCGTCATGGCGTGAGGAGCCGCTGCCAAGCTGAACGCCAAAGAGGCTGTCGAGTGGGTTAGTCGTTGAAGCGGGTCAGGCCAACTGGTGACTGGTCGCTAGGGCAACAAAGCTTCGATACAGGCTATATAGCAAGCACGTTCAAGATGACTCAAGATGGGCCAGAGTCTGGCTATTGCTATTTTTCTACCTGTAAAGCATTGTAAACCAAACCCTGAGTTCCTGCCGGGGTGGCTAAATCGCTTGAGAACCCAACAGCAAACTGATTTCCATTCCAAAAGTAGTCTTTTTGCACTGTTGAGATGCTGTTCTGTGAGCCAAATAAGGCCCTTGGCTCCTCCAAAAAATAACTTCGGGGTCCAACATGTCAGCTGTGGAATTGGTATAACAGGGAGAACTTACAGGCTTAAAGGACACTTAATTTCTTGGTAAAAACCAGGCTTTCCCAAGCAATCCATTCAAAGTTAGGACGGTGCGATACAAGTTACCTCACCTGCTGGGATGCGTCTTGCCATGCTGTGAAAAGCGGGGCTGGGAGCAGTTTTTGTTTGACTTGACCCAAAGAAACGTGAGATGCATGCTGATTTAATCACACACAAATTGTGAAGATCCATCTCCACTTGAAGAACCCAGCTGTTATCATCGAATCATCCATTCATTGCGCAGCCAGCGCAGGAATTTCTGGCGGACGGAGCTTATGTGAAAGCCGCTGATGGCAGAGCATATTTGCATCTCAAGGTGGTGGTCCGGAGTATCCGGAGTCGGTGGTCCACCCAGTAGACGAATCATGACGAATCGTCATCCCGAACTTCAAATCTATACAATGTGACCCCCCCAGTGATGTTAGTTGGTTTATAAGCCCTTATAAGTACCATAAACCATAGTTATTGGAGCTATAAACCAAGTTAGCTATCTAGGGGGCCTCACATTGTAGCTGTGCTTGTTTTCCGAGCCGATGATTTTTTGTTGCCATACACTTGGTTGAAATCTACACATGATTTGTGTTTGATTCTTCTGAACCTGCAGGATTTCATAGCTTTGAAATGACACCATGTGCAATCTGGCTGCAGTTCAACCAATCCAATACATCTAAGAATCTAAGATTAATCTAGGAACACCTACTGACAATCATGACCTCAAATTTCGGATGTTGGTTGATGCGCTTTGGTATCACTGACTTACTGCAAGGTAGTACTTTTTCAATCAGGCGGTCGTACATTGTTGTACCACTCAGCCATTGCTTTGACCCTCAACAGCCATCAAACATGTCACCCGAGCAAGGTAATTAGAGCTCCTATCTCTGGCAATCAAACATGGCTAGCTGGAAAATCCCCACAATGGAGGTTTATATATTGTTTATAGCCGTGGAAAGTCTGCATGAGGTCGTGATCTTCCATTCTGTGCACCGTTTTTGATCAAACTGAATGGGGAATTCGAAACAGCAAGCCAGAACTTAACTTGACACCGGAGGGTATAAAAACCAATCTCCAAGTCATATTATGAGTGGCTATTCCATTCTGATATGGTCCATTATTCCAATCATCTATTCCCACTCATCTTCCATATGATTCCACTTCTATCCTCATGAAACCACCATTCTTCAAAATGCCTCGCTGGGTCGATGACGATGGCAGGACGGCAAGGGTTGGATCTGCGAACGCGCGAAGGCGGACTTCTCCAAACTCGCGGTAGAGCCACTGGGCGAAGATCCGGACGTCGACTGTTACCCGCTACCAGAACGATGGAAAATCACATGGTTTTAATAGGTCAATACAACATAAATCAACTATCAGTTTATCAGTCATCATTTTCGAACCATCATGTTACTAACCATCATTTTCCAACCCGTACCTATGGCCATTTGGGGATAGTTACCCTTTACTAACCATCATTTTCTGAGTTTACTCTTTGGTATTTGTTACATAGCTATTGAACATGGTGTTACTTTAGAGTTGTTTTTCCATATAGCTACAAGGTAGTGCCCCCCCAGTGATGTGAACGTTGGTTTAGATTCGCCCCAGTAACTAGCTCGTTATTTGCGTACCATAAACCATAGTTATTGGAGCTATGTTCACCAACGAGTCAAGACCCTGTCACCTGCATGGTACCCTAAAATGCCTGGGATTTATGGCTGTTGATTCCCCAAATATGGTAATTTCATATATGTTTTGACCCATCCCCAATTCATGCGAATTCCGTTTCGACCCTCCAAATAGCCCAAGAAAATGGTGTACTTAGTACTAAGATTTTTTATAGAGTGGTTTTAGGTTTAAACATATGTGACGCATCAGGCCCTGTGGAACTGCGGAAGACTTCTTGGAGGAGGAGGATGAGGAGGGGCTGGGCCTGGCAGGAAAGCGCTACTTTTTTGTTTTTTAATCCTAGGCGACCCTTGGGTAATACCATATGCCACTATAAATTATCCCATTAGTTGTCCTCTAATGTCATGAAACATGGCTGTGTTCCGAAGTCCCCTACAATCCCGGAGGCTTTAATTGATGGGAAGCATCCTCGATCTTTTCTTATGATAGTTTCTATCCTGGCCCATGTTTGATTGCCGGAGGGTCACTAGGATGGATTTCTAGTGGAAATTAAAAAGTAGTTAGATGGGTGAAATTTGACATTATCTGACCATAGATAACTGGGTGAGAAATGACATGTTTGCAATTGTTTGCATGAACTAGGTCTTAGATGTCTTAGGTTCTATCTGACAATGGATATTTGGGATAGATTGAGTGTATTTTTAATTATACATACAGTATTTAATTAGATGGGGTTATACACCCAACTTAGAACGGGGGCCCCTTCCTGTTTACATCTCAATGATTTTCCCAGTGTTCACCATGTACCGGGAAAGCTGAAGCATGATGTATCTGTTTGGCAAAGAAGTACCAATGCCCAAGATTCCTAGAACACGTTTAAGATGATTGCATCAACACATATATATATATATATTATAAATATATATTATTTATATTATATACATAGCTTCACATGCTTCCTTTCAAGAAAACAACAATTTATCCTTGAAGCACTGCTGTGGCATTTGCCACAAACTCTCGGCCCGAGAGGCTGTTGCCCCGGCGGTGCGCACGCGGGAGGCTGGCAAGAAGGCAGGGAGTCACAGTTCACCCTTGGGTCAACCTTGGATGCTTAGTTGAACGCAACTTCCTTTTTTTCCATAAGGGGGAATACTACAGAACCAGATCTAGCTTGTTTTTTTTTTTTTTAAGGTAAGACTAGCCAGGCGAAAAAGTTGTGATTTCACCATGGAAATTCACGTTGGGAACGACTTTCAGAGCCACGCACCGCGACTGTGTGGATGGGGCAATACCCCACCGCGACTGTTTGGGATGAACATCCCGCTTTACAGCAGCTATTTTGGTGTGAAAGCCATGGTACCAGGGTTGTTGCGTTCTTTTGATAAGCAAAAACGCCATCAGCCGTACCGTTTAAACGCCATCGCGCATAGAGAGCAAGCCGCTACTGTCTGGATTTTAAGATCAAGGCGTAAAAGTCTCCCAAACCGATGAGTGTTAGTTTCAATGACCATCAAGCAAAGGTTTTTTTTGCTGTTTGGGTGTCGCTCAACTGGGAATGGATGGGAATGGATCAAAGTCCTGTTCGTGCCTCACCTCTGCAAAGGGATATGAACTAAAGAATATGCCACTAAGTCACTAAGCTACCCAGTTTTTTTTGTCAGCGAGGCAATGGGGGACGTGATTGATGGGGTATCAATGGTATCAATTCCCGAGCAGTCAGTACAACCGCCAATATCATTAAATCCTTTATGTTTTAATCAATTAACCCATGATCAACACAGGCCTTCGATTCCGGTGCTTTTCGCTATAGGTCATCATGCTGGAGAAGAGTGAAGCACTTGGAAATGATGCAGAAGAACCAGGCACGGACCTGTGAAATCAGGCTTCACGGATGTAACCCTGGTACCTCGCTGAGAAGCCCGCATGAAATGATGATGGTCCCCGGATGGCACTGCCATGTTAAAACATAACACGTCCACGTGTCTTCTCTCTCTTGTGCTGGTAAATGTCCACTCGTTTTGTTGATACATGTTATCATGTTGGTTTTCAAAACCGGCGGAATCCTGCGTATGATGTAAGATTTGTTGTTGATTGGTGTTCAATTCTCCCCTATGTTCTTTATTTCTCATACTAAATATGGGTGTGTCTGAAATTAAGGCACGCCTAATTCCAATCAGTTATGATCATTTTCCTGATTCAAATGGCCTTTTTGGAGGATTTAGAAACATGATATACCCTCTGGTAAACTAACATAGCTATTGAAAATGGCCATAGAAATAGTAGATTTACCCATTGAAAATGGTGATTTTCCATAGCTTTTTGTATGTCTACCAGAGGGTACCCCATGTTCCCTTTGTTTTTCTTGGCCACCTTAATCGCTTGCCACTGCTGTGATCAGCCCCATTTTTCGACAGGTGCCAAAGGTGCCGCGGAGGATGGCTCCGCCGTGTTCCGTTCCGATGCCGAACTGTGGCCGGAGGCGAAAGCGGGCGAGAGCGGGATCTGTAGATTCTGAAGGGTACCCGAGGACCATGCATATGTGTAATATTATAATATTTGCATCGTGGATTTACCCATTGAACATGGTGATTTTCCATAATTATGTAACAGTTTATCAGAGGGTAGCTGGTTGGTGGTTTGGAACATGTTATATGTTTCCATATGTTGGGAATAATCACCCCAACTGACTAATATTTTTTCAGAGGGGTAGGTATACCACCAACCAAATATTTACATACATACAATTACATACACATACCCAGATGCTCCATGTATAGTATGTTTACCTACATTTGGCTCCTTTATGGGGTAAATGTTGGTAAATATTCCATACATGGAGCATACGGGATAGTTATTTGGATATTATTATTAATATTGTATAATAGTTTAAACTATTATATAATATACATATATTTGCACATCTGTCATGTGTATATTCTGTCAGGAGCTCAAGCCGAAGGCCATCAAGAAGTCTTTGCGCCTCCAATTGCGACGTGGGGGCCCCGTGGTATGTGGTAGCTTAGCTAGTGAAAATGGCACATTTATAGTTGGTCTACATAGTAAATATCTGGTTGGTGGTTTGAAACATGAATTTTATTTTCCCCAATAGTTGGGATGATGATCCAATCTGACTTTCATATTTTTCAGAGAGGTTAAAGCCACCACCCAGATATGGTGATTTTCCATACAAGGTGGTGCCCCAGCTCGTTAGCTAGGTTGGTTTATAAGTTCAAGGACTTGGGTTATGGTAGTTATATCCATAGTTACTGTTGTTTATACACCAACTAACAACTGGGGGGGCACCACCTTGTACCTATGTTAGTTTACCAGAGGGTAAGTTGGTTGAACCTGAGTAGCTTACAGATCTTGGGCCTCTTGGGGTTATGTATGGTAGATATAGAACTAGGAAACATGGAAATACACATTGGACATGTCATCATGGTTTTCTCAGCCTTGAAGCGATTCTTTGATTGCACTTGGAGTTCAGCTTGGTTTGGGGGTTCCATTTTGCCGGTGGCTTCAGCTTTTTGGGGTCAGCGAGCGACATGTGGCTCTCCTTCGTTTGGTGACCTATTTCTTTTTCCGTTGATGGCCTGGACGCATTGGCTGACGTTTGCATCTTTTGCAACTATGGTTGCCCATATATTACCATCATTTACCATCAATTACCATCATTAACCATATATCATTCTCCGTCTGTAGATCTTTTGCAACTCTTTTGCCTCGCTATGGAAAGCGAAGAACGCGATGGATTGTCAGTTCCGCTTTTTTCAATCCGGTTCCAAGGATTGTACCTCCTTCATGGACAAAAAGTGAAAGACTGCAACGAGGCGTGTCCCAGGGGATCTTCCCAGAAAATGGGTGTTTTCTATTACCCTCTGGTTATGACTAACATAGCGAAACTGACCCATTTATTTATAGATGATGTACCTGTTAAAAGTGATGATTTTCCATTGCTATGTTGAATAACCAAAGGGTATATGTTATATTTAAATATATATATATATATATGTATATATATAACTGGCTATAACTAACTGTATAACCACGGTTCCGAGGTTACAATCCGTGATAATCTGTGGATCCTTTAAATTGCCACTGAAATTGGCAAGTGGCCCCTGAAAAACATCCTTCCACAAATTTCCACCGGTGAAACTGGGGTGGAGCGAGCCTGATTATTCCATTGTTTTCTAGATAAGCCATAAGTATCTCATGAAATCCCATAAGTATCCCATTCATATCCCAGCGGTTTTGGGGAGTTGCTAGAAACCAATCTTCATATTCATAATATATGTCCATGATATTCCCAGTATTTCCCCATTGTTTTTGTCATGATATTGCCCTAATTTTGGTTTCTGCTTAAGATTCTGCCCTATCCCAGATGCGAACCATGGTGCTGGAATATTTACCAAAATTTTCTCCATAAATGAGCCAGTTTTGTAGGTAAATATATACTACAATGTGAGGCCCCCTAGATAGCTAAGTTGGTTTATAACTCCAATAACTATGGTTTGTGGTACTTATATCTATAGTTACTGGGGCTAAACCAACTTATAACCGGGGGGGGGCCACATTGTATACATGGAGCATCTGCCATAGGTAACCAATCCCGTTGTGAATTTCCAGGACTTGAAGGAGGTGACCGACCGAGCTGCAACCTTTGGCCGGGCATGTCCTGCGCAGAAGGACGAGACGCGACGATGCGAACACCAATGGGATCCAACGGGAAAGATGGGAAAATCGAGGAAAATTGCGATAAACCTTGGGATTTTGATGGTGAGTCATTGGGATTCAAACATAAAGATGATGAAGATATCATGAAAATAGCGATAAACATGGAGTTGTTCAGTTGTTCATGGGATTTTATGATAAGTCACAGGGATTTGACCAACAAAATGGTAATATTTATGGGACATATCATTTGAACTGTATTTAACAGTTTGCAATATGAAAGCCAAGGCCAATAAAAACTATGACGAACATTGTGATTTAATTTACCTATTAAAAATGGTGATTATTTCGCTACGTTAAATAACCAAAGGGTAACAAGATGATATCTATATACAAACAGGGGTTGTCCATGGTTGTCCACCATCCAATGTGAATTACAAGTCCTAGCTGTTTGAGACCATGTGGCAGGAACTCCTGCAATACGCAGAAGCCTTGAGGAAAGAAGCGTTGGACTCTCAGTGAACCAGTGGCCCTGCAAAGTGGGGCCCCCGTGGCCACGAAATCGCGCTAAGTTGGTGAACATAACTCCAATTTCAGTATGGTTAATGATACTTATAACATCTTATAAGTATAGAATTTATCGGGAGTTGTTAAATCCACTTATGACTAGTCGTGGACCCATACCGTTAAACAGTGTGAGGAGTCACGGATTTGTTTAGCACGCAGCATGAGGACTTCACCAAACCCCCAGGTGACTCCAACCATGGCTGGTGAATGAGCCCTTGAACAACGACATGAAAAAATCGCGTTTTTGAAGGGGATTATTGAATGATTACCCTCCAGTAAATTAACATAGACCCTGCCAGATAGGGGTTGGAAGATTAGTTTCCATTAAAGATGGGTGATTTTCAGGGTCTATGTTTATTTTACCAGAGGGTAAATGCTAGTCCAGAAGACAACTTGTGTTTTTCGGTGGAGAGTCAGTGGAGAGTCAGCGAAGCTACGCAATTTTCATGGGTTTCTTGTGTTTTGTGATGTTTTGCGTGGGTAATCAGGATCAGAATGGACTTCCGGTGAGTAGGGAACTGGTTGAACGAGGAAAACAGGATCCTACCTAGTGACCCTCCGCTATCAGTCAACGCCATTTTGAGTGTGGCCATGGATAGTGACCATGAGCTGTGTCGCTACTATATAACGTGTTCATCCGAGTCATATGAGATTGACTGAAAATCATTGACTCTCAGCATTGGATGGTGTGAAGTGCATGAAGTGCCGAACATGGCCCATGTCTGCCAATATTGTGGTTCCGCTCATAAAATCCAGCCATCAAAATCATATAGTCATAACACATCAGAAACATACCTAGTTGCTCCTATGAAACACCCTCACCTTCCAGTTACCTATCAGATAGGTAACCCAAAAGTAATCAGGTAGAATCACGCTAGTTAGCAATCTCAGAGTCAACTGGAAGGTTAGGGAGATACAATCATTGTACAATATCAAATCATTGCCGTTTGCGGTGGATTGATTTTATCACATGATACAATCCCGCAACGCGGGACATAGAATACCCCAAGGGTTGCTTCCTCTGGTTTAGAGCTGGATTCATGACCTTAGTTGGCTAGGTTGTCTTGTTAGCAGTTAGCACGGTGACTATCGTGACTATCGTTGGTAATGAACCCACGAAATTACGTAACTTTTTGGGGCACCACCTCGATTTGTCTAACCATATAGTCTACCTCTATATCCACTGGTTAGGTCATGCACGGCTATAAATGGGTGCTACATCTTCCAATTTTCGGACAGCCACATGTTTAGAATACACCCACTTATAGCTAAGTGATTCTGAATCCCTTTCTACTTACGCCACTTACTGACCTGCTGTGGATGGAAGAAATTCTGCACCAGTTGGTAGATAGCTTATCCCATGATAATCGCATTATAAACCAGTGTTTCATAGGATTGCCAGTAGTTATCAACCGGTGCAAGATTTCGCAACCATCCATAGTAGGTGAATCCCTTTCTACTTGTCCCACCTACACCTGGGGTGAACTAACCATAACCAACCTACTATAACTGGGTGCGCCACCGTGGCCTCCTGTTTCAACCTTACACGGCTGCAGGGACAAGGCTAAGAAGGCCTGGTCCGATGCTGTGGCTTGCCCCGGTACAGTGGCAGGGGGGGATAGAAGTGGTCAGTCCTGGTTTTTGTCGCTGTCCTGGTCGATGACTTTTGGTTTCAAAAGTCACCGGGGTCCCAAAACCTTTGGGAACTTGGGGATCCTCCACTTAAAGAAACCACCCTACAATAATGTGTTGTAACCTTGCAGTTTTCTCTGGGGTAGGTGAGTTTACCTGATTTTGGGGTTGATTACCTATCTAATAGGTAAGTGGAAGGTGAGGGATTATTGATAATGATAGCAATTAATAAGGACAATGTGGTTGCATGTGGTTGCTCTTGTTGTTGCTGCTGGTGTTTTTGGTTGTTGTTGTTGTTGTTGTCACTCCTTATCGATCCTTATCTATCTAAATTGGTCCAATTTTGCAAAAAAAAACATGCAGCAGATTGCAAGGCAATAATAATCCCTTTCCCGGGGCATTTCATGTTGGGGGAAGGGATTGCTTGGTGAACGAGTTATCTTCATTCTATTCCGGAAGTTCTGGACGTATCCCATAAATATGGGGATTGCGGAACAGACACGGGATCAATTTATATTTGAAAGGCATCTTGCGGTAGATTGGGGTCGCTTTGCACTTTTTCATCCTTCCCACAAAAGAGAAGTATCCAATAAATTGTACGTATACATACTGTTATCGAACAAATCACCTATCCAAATTATTCCACAGTTGCGTCTTGAAGGCATCTTGCGGTAGAATGAGAGTCAATATTGTCTCGTTGCATCTTGAAGGCATTGTTTGTTGAAGTCAAACTTCAACTATTGCAATATGTAGATGCAAAACTTGAAGTCACGATTGTGATACATCAAGTATCTCAATAAGATTCCAATGGTTCATGGGAGAAAAAGCATGTTTCAGTTTTCATGGCAAAAACCACTAATGCCATCCCCCTAATATTATCGTGACTGGTCCCAATAAGTGTAAATACCCTACTTGACAGTAGTTTCTGGGTGGTGTTTAATATAATCGGGGGATGGGATTAATCATAGTTGGTTAATCATAAACCATTATATCCTCATTGATATCCCTTTATATCGTATTATCTCCTACTAAACCATGGTGGCGGGAAGGGATTACTCAACTTCAACCTAACCTTCCAGTTACCCTCTGGTAAACGTTTACATCGTTGTGGAACATCACCATTTTTAGTGGTAAATCAAGAAACTTTCGCCATGTTCAAATTACCAGAGCGTACCCAGATATAGATGGGACATATTATTCATAATACCCAGATGCTCCATGGTGCTAGTATATTTACCTACACAACTGGCTCATAAAAAGTTTCTTTTTTTATGTTGGTGTGCATATTCCGGCACCATGGAGCATATGGGATACCTATCACAATGATTTCATAATCTGATTGATGGATATAATACAGCAATATCTATCATAACATTGATCCATGGCCACTGTCTGAGAAGGTACGGCTCACCCCCGAAACGTCATCATACCCCGTACGTCACACTTCCTTTCAGAAGGTACGGCTGGATCGGTCTGTTGATGGGTTATAATACTGTGGAATTCTGTGCAAAAAGTCAGGAGTGAACCTCCTAAATGGCCATGCTGGGCCATGCTCAATAGCGAAGGGTACCCTAAGATTGGGGGAAGGGATGATTTTCCCAGCCTTCTTCTTCCTCCCGGTGCAAAGGTGAAGGCTCTGTTGAGGGAGAACCCTCTGGAGGACCAGCCTGCACCCACGGTGCGGCACACCCAGCAACGATGGATCAAAATGCTGGGGAAACTGATGGAACATATGAACAATGAGGGGGACAAATGATGGAAAATGATGGCTACATAGTAATATATTGTAATTTTATCTGCAAAACCTGGAAAATCAGTGATTAAATCTGGAAAGTCAGTGATTTGACTATACAAAAATCTGAAAAAATAGTGATTTTATCTGCAAAATGATGAGAAAATGATGGAACGTGATGGTAAATTCAAATAATATATTTTGCCCATCCAAAATCGGTTGATGCATGGACAATTGGTTATTTGTGTCATCAATAATAATAAGCTAGGAGAACTTGGGATTGAAACAACAATAATGACTATATGGATGTAAACAGAGAAAATAATCATGGTTTCACCATCAGCAACGGGGATTTAAGTAGGACAGATCTGAATTGCCTTCAGATAATAAAAGTGATCATGACTTGATCACACTAATTCTGTATATATACGTATATATATATATATAGTATGTAGTTGGCTATATATGTTTTATATTAATCCACACATTCAGATGTCAGAAGAGAAGTAGATTCTCTGAACAATGCTCAAGTCCACGATTATCGGCCGCGACGACTAACTCTGGCCGTTGATGGTGAAGTTCCAGTCCGCAGCTGTTTTGATAAAGGGTCCGGTTGCTGCAGTCCACGCTGCCCGCCGCGTGTGTTGGGCAAGGCCGCGCTGATGGCTTTCGGATCTTAAGTTTCGTTGGGTTGTCTCAGTTGTCTCAGGATTTTATCATATCATTTGGTGGTTTCAAATATGAGGTTTGTGTGAACATGCTATCTCCAAAATGGCCTTTGAAATATAATGATGACAATCCCAAGCCTGGCCCGGTTTCCAGCTGGAGCATCCTTTTCGTTGCCCAGCATTTCTTCCTAAATGATCATGTGGGGCCCCATGCCATTGTCATGTAATGTTCCTATATTATTCCCATTGTGTTCCCTGATGTTCGGTATAGCATCCCATCTTTAGAATTTTAGATGGGTATCTGGTCTTAATATGCTTTAATCACAGAGGTTCTATTCGAACGTACGGGGATTCATTCCATGTACAGAGTTGCCACCACTGCAAAATTAGATATGTGTTGGTTAGTTGGTTATATATCCCAGTATTGTCCCAAAACGTCTCCTCATTGATAGCAGTTCAACCCGCAGAAATCCCAACCTTTCGCCACGCTCAGATGGTAGGCCCCAGGCTGTCCCTTTCAGCATGGCTGAGACCTTTGTGTCCTTTGGCCAGGCACGGAAACCAATGTTTTTGGGGACCTGCAACTGAGGGGACTTCCATGCAATCATCCTGAAGTAGATGGGATATATATCACAATTTCAACCAGATTCCCAGTTGTGGGAGATGTTGTTTGAAATGTCCATATTCGATCTACTCCAGGATGACTTTATGTGTATATCTGGAACTATGTATGACTAATCTATGTAGATAAACTTAGATAAAAGCTAAAATGTATGCATAACAGTCAATATATGTGTAACAATGTAAATATGTAACACGGTGTGCGCATGGCTGGTCGAGGGTTTCAGGTACTCTTGGTGTTCCTCTTATTTGGGTGGCTGATCCCAATTGTTTTAGGAATCCCAGGAGTCTATATTCAAAAAGAAGGTTTAAGGATCTCGCAGATGCTGTTTACCTCATCACTTTAAGGTTTGTTGGGGAGCGGTAGTGCAAGCTGCTTGTTGGCAGTGCTCAATTTCAGGAAACAACATTGATGGCCGATCATTGTTTTGTGTAAGTGTGTCTCTTTGCCCCTAGTGGTAGCATGACAACGCATCACTTTATGACATACAGTATGACACATAATACTGGCTGGTGGTTTGCAACATGTTTTATTTTTCCATATATTGGGAATAATCATCCCAACTGACTAATATGTTTCAAGATGGTTAAAACCACCAACCAGGTATAGTCCATAGCTGCCATAGCTATACTATGCAAACCCAGAAGTTCAGCAACCTCAAAAAATCCATGGGTCAATCCGGCGTATCCAGTAGGTCAATGGCATCCATGAAGTTGGCAAATCATCACCATCCTGGTTGCACACGTTTCGGCATCGGCGTTTTGCTCCACGAAGGTGTCAATGTCCCGGGTTTTGTCAAAATCCGTTGGGCATTTTTTTTTTGGAAAACGGAGAAAAACAACGTATTTCCACCGGAACTTTCCCTTATAAGTAAACCAATCCATTGACAACAGAACCAGAACATACCAGAACGCAATGGTTTAAAACCTCATTTCTCACATGGAATTGCAAATTTGAGAGGGGTAAATGTTCATATTCGGACAAACCCAAGCTAAGGAAATTCACTAGGTTTATCATGTTTGCCCTGTTCGAAATCATTTTGTGTTGGATATATATATATATATATACACATGTTTATATATATATACATATTGATATAGTTTTTAAAAAACTAAACCACCATTTTCAATAGTTTTTGCTGCCACCATTCTCCAGCAACCGACTAAAAAAGCAAGCGCCTTTTCGCTGTGGAAGGCGCCCACACCCAGCAGTGTGCGGGCACCACACTCAGGAGCGGCTGCGTCGGCACGTCTAGCCCTGGACCTATAGTTTTCAGGGGGGTGTTAGTATATATATATATTATGTATATTATATATATATATATAGATAATTATTATATTCCTATGGATCCAAACACTGTCTGATAAGGTACTGCACGCCCCTAAATCATACCCTAAACAATTCCTATGAAGGTACTTGGATCAATAGGGATATATATATATATACATATACTTGGTGGACCATCCCACTTACTAAGTAGGTTACATAGATGTGTTATATTTAAGTAGAGTTAATTCACTATTGTTATAACCTACTTAGTAAGTGGGACGAGCCACCAAGTATGTTTGTAGTGTTTCTCTCTTTCGCGACAGGAAATTCACACATTTTAGGGATCTACTGATCTACAGGGCATGTTTTTGTTGGAAGGCTTCGGAGCTTACTCTCTCAAATTATCCTGGAAAACATCTCCTCCATGTTCCCCTTTTGGTTTAGTTAAATGAAAAATCCTTGCGTTCGTAGGTACATTAGTTAGATATATTCATGTTGGGATTTTGGATAGTTTGACTGTTTTAATGCTTAGTTCACCCATGTGATCTCCACAGTGCCAGTTTGCAAAAATTAGATCGGTCTTACGGGCCGACCTCAGCATAGATGGCTAGCAAGGGAGGAATATAAGATTATATCTCCAACAACACTTTTTTTGAGTGGTATTCACTTACTAAATAGATCCATGAGATTCATGATGTTGATTTCCTAGTTAGATCTATTTAAGCTAACATTTATAAATACCATATCTCATCATAATCTGGTTGGTGGTTTGGAACATTTGGATTATTTGTCCATATATTGGGAATGTCATCATCCCAACTGATTTATATTTTTCAGAGGGGTAGGTCAACCACCAACCAGATAATAGTGATATAAATCAACTTAACTGTGGAAAATCAATTGAAAATCACTATTTTTAATGGGTCAATCAACTATTTCTATGGCAATGTTCAAAAATATTTAACCAGTATTCCACTTCTAACTAGGGATATAACCTACTTAGGATTCGTGAGATGATCCCCCAAGCCCTATAAACATAACATTTCATAATACCCTCTGGTAATTTAACAGTTCGCTATTGAACATGGCCCAGTCGAAATAGTGGATTTACCCAGCTAGAAAATGGTGGATCTTTCCATAGTTATGTAACAGTTTACCAGAGGCTAAATCCACATTGAATCCCCATTATATCCCATGATATCCCATGATATCCTATCAAATCACCATTAAATCACCATTAAACCACCATTAAATCACCATTATTCCATGATATCCATAATAATTTATTGGAAGCCTTCTATTTATGATGTTCATCCCGCCGACACTCCAGGAGTCCAGCCCGGAGCCCAGCTTCCAGCGCTGGCGCAGAGCAGTACCTCAAGGTGTGGGACCCGACCGATTTGACGAGGAAAACCATGGGGGTCTCAACCAGCAAACAGTCGGATTTCATGGGAAGAATTGGGTGATTTTGGCATTGGTTGTCCAAGAAAAAAGACGACTTGATGTTACCCTCTGGTGAACTAACATAGCAATTGAAAATTGCCATTTATAGTGGATTTTCCCATTAGAAATGGTGATTTTCCATTGCTACGTTAAATTACCAGAGGGTACTGGAAATGGCGACATGACATGTTTTGACTGCATCAAATAAGGACTTAAGTAGGAAAAGCATAGAATTTCCTTCAATTCGGCTTGTCAAATTGTCATCTACTGATGGGAAGTTGGTTGTATAAACCATGGGATTCTCGCATACCCCAATTTCAGACAAACCCAACTAGTCTGGTACTCAACAACATGGCAGTTTCAAGCGGAAAAGAATCTTCGGAACCCACATTTTTAAGTTTTAAAACTGCGAAGTTAAAGTGGTTTGGACGAGCAGGACTGGAAACACAGCGACAACTTGGTTTGTTTTGGGTAGTTTTTTACCTTTGTTTTTCTAGGGGCTCAAAGTGCCAACATGATCCAACATGTTCATCTGCAAAGGACCTCAATCAAAGAACCCAATGGGCATATTACGAATCCTAGGTTGACATTACAATGTAATCATGTAAAAAAAAACAGTGTCGCCAAATCGTCTCCAAAAAGTTTGGTTGTTCCGCAAAGCCTTTTGACGTGGCTTATACGCGGTGGGCCGCGGGACGCTGTTGTTGTCCGCATCATTGCTGCTTCCTCTTTCTCAATATGTATGCTAAGTTTTAAAGTGAAAAATATATACACCTATATGTTCATATAGATAATTACACGATGCGCGGTTATGCACGTCAAATCAGTATATAACATTAATATAACATTATAGTTATTTTTAACACATGACATTGGTTTTACAATCATATGGATGATCATCCATCCAAATATATACAATACTAGGACCATGGTATGTTTGAATTGTAACAGACACGTGTATGTAGATCATATACATACATGTTCATATATATATATATATACATATATATATATATATGGTATATACATATATATGCTATATATGGTGTATATATGGTCCCGTGTCCCGTGTTCCCACCCCCCCCCCCCCATGGGATGGGGGGGGGGTATGATGCCCCTGTGGTGGTGTATATACATACATACATACCTACATACCTACCTACCTACCTACCTACATACCTACGTACATACATACATACCATTACATTACCTTACCTTACATTACCTTACCTTACATTACCTTAGATACCATACATACATACATACCACATACATACATACATACCATACCTACCTACCCTTACCTTACATTACTTACCTTACATTTCCTTACCTAACATTCCATACATACATACATACATACATACATACATACATACACATACATACATACATACATACATACATACATACATACATACATACATACATACATACATACATACATACATACATACATACATACATACATACATACCAACATACCAACATACCAACATACCCAACATACCACCACCACAGGCCACAGGGGGAGGGGGACCAGAAGAACCATACCACCACCACAGGCCACAGGGCGGGGGGGGGACCAGAAGAACCATACCACCACCACAGGCCACAGGGGGGGGCCAGAAGAACCAGACGATACTGTCCACCCATACCCATTGGTGGGGGGGGGGGGGGGGGGGTGGCCAACGCTGCACCATATATATGGTATATATGGATTGTAACTATACACACACTCATGACAAGGAACACTGCCCAGGTGTGCTGCCTTGAGCCTGTTGGGAGCTGCGGCTGTTCTATCTGCGCGAGGTGGGGACAATTCACTGCGGCCAGCGGTTTTGGGCCGTTTGGGGCGCGATGAATTTCTTGCGGTGATTGGTGACACATAGGAACTTTAACAATAGTGGATTAACCATACTTAATTATGTGTGTATATACCCTCTGGTTATTTAACATAGCCATGGAAAATCACAATTTTTAGTAGCTAAACCAACCAGATATCTATAGTCTATATATATATATATATTACTGGTTGGTGGTTTGGAACATGAATTTTATTTTTCCATATATTGGGAATTTCATCATTCCAACTGACGAAGTCATATTTTTCAGAGGGGTAGGTCAACCACCAACCAGTATCCCACTTCTAACTAGGGATATGACCTACTTAGGATTCGTGGGATGATTCAGCAAGCCCTATGGATCCAGCCGTGCCTTCTTAGGAAGTACGACTGGGGTATGATGACTAGGGGGTTAGCCGTACCTTCTCAGACAGTGTTTGGCTCACGTCATGACCGAAGCCTGGAATCATGGTGAATGTTTTTCGGGGACTCATCTGGCACTGAAACAGAGTAGTGAAATATGGTAATTCGGATGGGTGAAATTATTAGTAACCATATTACCAATCTAGTAATAATATAGTAATGTAGTAATTATTAGTATATAGTAATTATTACCTAGGTCTTCAAAAGATCAAGAAATTTTGGTCGACCCCTAGTGTTCTACTTTTTCTGGATGCTAATTCAAAAAGTAGACGTTTTGGTCGATATCTCCAAAAACCGGTCGTGAGCTTTATGCCCTCCACTGCAACCTTGAATTTTTTTGTCATTCCCCGACCCCCTGAATTGATTATAGATTTCGCTCATGGAAAAAGCCTGGTTTCAAATGGTCTCTCACAAAATAAGTCGTGCATCCCAATCCGCATGGTGATGTGCACACACACGCACAGTGTTCAAACTTGCAATCATGACCATGCTTCTTCCAAAAACATAATTGCGTGAAAACTCTACAAAAAAGAAGCAGAAGGCTTAAAATTTCCACTTTTTTTGCATATTGCCGAAAACATTAAAACACAAAGTGACCTAGTTTTTGGGATTTGTAGGCGTTTGATGGTTTTTGTAGTCGTTTTGAAGCTTTTTGAGGGAGTTTTGAATGTTTTTGTAGGCGCGAACGTTCGCATAAAACGTGCACATCGCACACAAAAATGAACATAATCTAAGGAATGGTGAGCCAAAGAGTCTGTTAGTGGCACTTCAAAGCCGATTGACCACCTAACATGGCTGGTCAGAGTTTAGCGTTTTGATTTTATTCGCCTATGATGGATAGAGGGTAGGTGGTGGTTGACCCTGTCGACTTGCGGGCCACTTGTCATTGCTTCACTTAGTTTTATCAATGGCCCACATTAGGGAATTCAACTGACATAGGATTGAATGAGGTTGAATGCGTAACATGGTAATGCAGCATGAAATGAAACCAGGGAAATCATAGGTAAATTGCAAAAGTAGGCGCTTTGGTGAACTACTTTTTCTGACCGATATCTCAAAAAGAAGTCAACAACCTAGTCTCCCAGAAAAAAGTGCTACGAACGAAGACCTAGGTAGTTATATAGTACTGTTACTATAATATGATTATTATTGAAACCACGTTTTTCAGATGTTTATTTGTAACCAAATAGGAATCACCCAGATGATCAGATGTTTGTAATCTGGTTAGTGGTTTCAAATACAGTCCTTTTTGTTTCTCAATCATACTTGGGATGATTGGTTGAAATGCCGAAGTTCTAATTTTTCTGGCATGGGTTAAGACCACAAACCAGGAATCATCTATATCTATAGTTTTTTTAGCTGAATAACATGTACATTACATGTATATATATATATATATATATACACAGCTTATAAGTAAAATAATACATACTCTGTAGGTTGCATGAGCATACTTTGTAGCTTGAAATATACATTGTATGCATAAATGTGCAGTGGTAAATGAGATCCTTTGAACATGGGTTTAGAACCACTGAAATATGTTCATACAGTTGTTTATACAGTTGTTCATACAGTGTTACAGGCAAGAAAGTAAGGCGAGGCAACCAAAGTTCGTTGATACCGATACCTAGGTCACCGTGATAGGGAAAGTGAGGAGCTAAACATGCCCACTAATCTGTAACCTTCGAGCTACCTCTGAGATAGGTAGCCACAGTGATTTTACCTCATGACTTTGGGCTTCGTTACCTGTTTGCAAAGATCTTGATGTGATCAACAATACTCATAGCTGCGTTTTTGTTAGTCAACATGGCCCAAGCCACATCCAAAACGTGTAACAACATGCTGAGTTTCTCCCCCCTTTTTTCCCTCTCCCTCCCCAGACCATGTTTGACTTACCTTTGTTTCCAGATCATTGTGGCCGGCTCAGCAACTACTGTCAATTTGGACGAGCCAAAAGTTCAGTTCAGGGCTAAACTTGTTGGCTACATCCCTAAGACGTTATTAAGCCCGATTGTTCCATTAGTTCTATGGGTTAACACATGATCGCCATATATCGCCATACTTTCCCCTCGTACGACAACGTCGTGGCGTGGCAATTTGCTCCAAAACAAAGGCAGCAAAACGGCAAGAGCCGCCAAGGCCAAGGCCAAAAAGAAGGCGCACACCTGGAAAGCCTGGGAATTGGATGGCTAGTTGCTGCACTTTCTTGATCTTTCGCACGGCCGTTTTTTGTAGGTTCTCGATGTGTAGTTTAGTACTAAATGACACTATTCTATGGGAACTTAGGAATGCGTTCGTTGAAATTTGGCATGTTTTGCATTTCAATACATAAGTTCCCATACAATAGTGTCATTCTATAAGTTCCCATAGAATCTATAAGTTGGATAAGTTGGCATATATATTTCTTGTTGTTTTTCAATGCCTATCCAATTGGTGGAACCAGGCAAGAACAGGTTGAGGTTGGTGATGTGACAGCGAGCTCCGTCCAGGAATCGCTTATGTTGTTTTCTGGTTGGTGATGTGGAACATGAATTTGACCCTCTGGTAAACTAACATGGCTATTGAAAATGGCCATAGAAATAGTGGATTTGCCCATTAAACAAGGTGATTTTCCATAGTTACGTTAGTTTACCAGAGGGTATGTTCCCCAATAGTTGGGATGATGATCCCAATCTGACGAACTCCATCATTTTTCAGAGGGGTAGGTATACCGCCAACCAGGTTTGTTTTTTATTTGAGGGTATCTAAGATTGGCGTTGACAATGCTCATCCAGCAAAGCTTCGTGGATCCCAAACATATTGGCGTTGACGATCATTTTCCGCTGTGGATCAGCACATCCACTCCATATGGGAATAGTGTTGCCATTTCATGCGCATCTTGGTTGCACGGTAAGAACTAAAATTCTTTCAATGTGGATATATATATATATATACTGTAAATCTATCTATCTATCAGTCTATCTATCTACATATATATATATATATACACATATAAATCAGTTCACTTTGCAGATTATGCTTCCAAAAGTGATCCATGAAATTAAAAAAGTGATGCGTGTGCATATGGATGTGGGTGTGTTTGTGTGTGTGTGTGAGTCAATGTCTTCCTTGCAGAAATTGAGCTGTTTGGTTTGCCGCACTGCCGTTATTGTTAAATGGGGTTGACCCTCACCAATTCCATTTTGCTAGGCCGGTTATTTCCAAACTTTCATTATATAAAATCCTTGAAGGATGCGACTGGAACCATTTGGTTACTAGTTGATGAGGACCCAAACATATCCAACATGACAAATGGGAAATGTGAGAGCACACTTGGAGGACCATTCCACTTAGCAATTGTTTAATTGATTGATGAGTGTGAGCCATTTAGATTGTTATGTTAGTTTACCAGAGGGTAAAATACCCGTTGTACTCTGGATTTTGGAAGAAATATCCGGTGTTTTCTATGTAATTTGGACGGCATGCGGCATGCTGACCCCACACAGCAGTTGAGCTCCGTGTTTCTGATTCCAATCTATGTTTAATGATATTGACCTTGCTCTGAGAGGGTCTTAGAGTTATTGATAGATCAAGTACATTGGCTAATAGCTAATTGAGCATAATTCGCCATTTTTTATTATAGTACTTGGTTACCCTCCTGTAAACATAGATCTGTAACAGCCAGCATTTCTAAATCATGTTCCGGGCTTTGTTTCCCCTGGAAAGCCCATGGGTCTTCCGCGATGCGGAAGTGCTTTGTCCATGTTTGTCCCCTTTGAGACCTTGACCATCACCGAAGAATCCTTCGAAGAACCCAACGAGGAAAGCCGCGGGATTCATGGTGGGGAACCACGTTGATCCCTTGAAATACCTCAAGTGAAAAGGCCATTGGGAGAGATGAGCATGGCCAGCTGGAGCGATGACCGGTGGGTCTTGTTATTGTTGGGGCGGTTCCTTTTAGACAGACACGTGGATGATTGGTATGTACCTAAGTAATTTATGATCATCTCATGAAAATTGCTTTCTTGAAACAAGCGTGGAAGCGGACGAGGACCAACTGCAAGATGGTTGTCCTATTCAAATGTGGTAGTCGTACTTCCATGGTAAACACATCCTTACTCTTTGCGGGAGTAAAACAACCAAACCAGAATGTCGGCAGACCTACAAAATGCTGACACCTTTGTATTTAATTGATGGCTTCCTCCTGGCACACGCCGAAGTCGACCAGGCAAGGTCGGGTTTGCATGGCACGTGTTGGTCACTGAGTGGTCTTTGAATAAATTATCATTCTGCTTGAACATCAACCAAAAAGCCGGCCCATGCATGGCAACAACGTTCACATGTAAAGAGTCATGAAACTGATTTTGCAGAGGTGAGGTACAGGTTCACTCTTATTGTTGGAACCCGAGTGCAGACAGCCCCATGTGCCCTGTGCACTGTGCAGTCTGGAGATTTCTCGACGTGTAGCGATCGCTTCTTAGTTCAGAGTTCAGGTTTTTGAGAGATGTTTGTTCCTGCTGCTTATCCCCCCAAGTGACATGAGCTGTTTTCTCTACTTATTTGTTTTCGGGAAGTTCCTACGTGGTTTTAGCCGTTGTTGATTGTCCTCCAATTGAATGGAGCAGCTTCTCAGAAGCTGCAAATTTCTCAGAAGTAGCAGAAAGAGAAGGTGCAGCGTAAGCACCAACACAGAAATGGATAGAGATGGAAAATCCATGTTTTACTCCAAGAAATCATCTACATTCATGTCAGCTTTTCTAGGTAGTTGGTTCGTGGGCAACCGTAGTGCACACGGACCAACTGGACATTTTTCGCCCGGCTTCGGTACCTCGAAGGACGTGGTGATGAAGAAAAAAACGAAAAAGAAGAAGCAGCGCTTTGACCCGGTGCCTCGTCCCGAAAAAGAGCGGTTCACCCCGTGTCGGACATCATGATCTGATTGATTTCGGATATCCATAGTGTAAACGTTTACATAACCCATAGGATCCATGGTGCTGCTATATATGGTAACATTTACCATCAATATACCCCCAATGTTAGCATATATACCATACATGGATCCTATGGGTAACTATGGAAAATCAACTCATTTTTAATAGGTAAATCAACGATTTCTATGGGCCATGGCTTCAAGTTCGCAAACCGTTAGTCATTACCAGATGGAGGATGACACCATCTGTGAGTCGTTGGAGGCTCCATCCAGTCTCAAACACCGTATGCGAAAACCTCACTGGCCAAGTGAAGCAATGGCATGCCATTGGTAATCACTAACATATACTGAATTAGTAATGTTAATAATGTTGTAATGGTAATGTTATTAATGCCAACACCGGATTAATAACCCCCCCCCAGAAGGTCAGGGTAGACCTTGTGGAGCCCCCCTTAATAATAAGCATCTTCTGAACCATAAAACTTGGATATGGCTTACGTCAATTAGATCTTCATAGAATTCCATTGGATTTGATAAGATTTGATTGTTAAAATCTCATGGATCAGAAAGGGGGTTGTGATTACTAAGGGGCAAACCCTGGTTATTATTATTGGGGGACATGGGCTCATGGGGGTACCCCCTTTGGGAGCTATCCAAACTGATGATTTTTAGAAAGAATTTAATTAGAAATCGATCATTTGGGGAATAGTTGTTTTTTGAAATTTTCAATGATCAACTTAAACATTAAGTATGACAATGATGAGTTCTGAGATTGATGAGATAAAAAGAATTGGACATAACAATTGTTGGATAAACAAATGAGACTTCAACATTAATCGGGGGTATGCCAAAGTGTTTATTAATCTGGGGGACCACCTGTTTTTAAATTGCATGTTTTTGGGGGGAGGAGGAGGTTGAATAATAACGGGATGTTGATTAATCCTGACTTGACATTAATGTTATTACTAACTAATGGTAATGTTTATACTAATATTAGTAATAATATTATTAATAATCAATGTTTGTAATGTTGCAATATTTTTTGTAATGTTAGTAATGGTCATATTATCATGATGAATTAAATAGGAACTATTATGATTACAATGGTAATGTTAGTTTACAGTATAAGCATTACTGCGATCTCTAAGAGTACCATTACAGTAATCACACTAACATTAATGATATTCATAAGATTTAATCAGAATGATTCCGACTATTAGTATATGTAACAAAAGGTTAATCCCAAAATTGGCTTAGTTCAACCTGTTGCAATTTGCACAGCTTCTAAATCGTTCGGTTTGCAGCTGCCATTCGACCGTGAAGGTGGTACTCGGTGTTGTCCGGTACCATCGATTAAAAATCCATCCTCTTCAGATGGTGGAGTTCAAACTTCTTGTTGATTCTTCCCCCCTAAACATCATGAAGCCATACAATATCTTTTTCCCTCCACTTTGACCATGGATGTTGCACCTATGTAAATTTGGGCTGGGTGGCTCAACTACCATAGCGCCATGGCGAGCATCCCGAGATATGCCGAGGCCAACGAGATTGGTGTCTGTGCGCCCCTGGGTTTCTTTGATCCGCTCGGATTTGCGCCAAAGAACAAGAGGACGAATCGGAAACAGCGGGATCCACTGAGCATCAAACATGATTAAATCATCTGTGGCTTCCCATAAATGGGGGTACCCCAATAGCACGCTGGATGGGGAAATTCAAGCAAAATCCAGTTGACATGGATGATCTGGGGGTATCCACATTTTAGGAAACCTTCATCAAAGGATTAAAACATAGGGATGATTGTTTCATATTGATTTATCTCTTCAGGGAACCGTTTCCGTTTTGTTCCTGTTATATACAGAAGGATTGAAGAATCACATATGTATGTCACACATGATAGAAACATTACCTCTACAACTGTGGTTTTGTTTCCGCAGAGATCATTTCATCATTTCCAGGTCATGTTGGATATGATTCTCTTGGTTGAATCCTGTTGAACCATATAGTTTCTGCTGGTTAAATCATGAGTCACATTGAGTCATGTTTTTTTTATCATGATCGACATTGAATCACAGTGGATCATATCCCAGATGCGAACCATGGTGCTAGTATATTTATGTATATTTACCTACAAAACTGGCTCATAAAAATGGGGTTTTGATGTTGGTAAATATTCCAGCAGCATGGTTCGCATATGGGGGTATTGAGTCAAAAATCGGTGAATGGAATCCCCAATTCCGTTCATCCCAAGTCCATTTCCGGAGGGTTTCAAGCTGGGGCCCCTTGTTATGGTTTACTTTCACCTCGTTAACTAGTTCGTTACATCATCCAGAGACTCATTAACAGTTAACTATGACAGTTCACTTAAGTTGAATTAGTTTGTTACCCTAAGTTAACGAAGTTAAACTAAACTTAGCTAAGTAAAACCCATTAAATCCTATTCAATCACAGTAAAATCCCATTAAGCATCACCGTTCAAGTTCACTCTCTATTACCATTTTTCTTGTAACATCACCATAAAATCACCATGTAAGTGTTGGTTAGATCACCATTAGATCACCATCAAATCACCCCAACAATCACCATGTCACCATGAAATCACCAAAGAAATAGCGATTTCATGGCGATTGAATGGTGATCTAACCAACCAAAGAAAAAAATCTGCCATTCCGAACTGTGATCTCCCACCTTTGTTGACCATTTCGCCGAAACGTGTGAGTTTTTTGTGAGTCGCCGTTAGTGGAGGAACAACTTCAAGAACCTCAGAGCGATGGAGATCAAGCACGGCCGCATCGCCATGCTCGCGACAGTGGGCAGTGCCCCTTGGATCCCAGCACGGCGGAGATGGCGATGGAGAGATGATGGGGAGATGTTTATGGTATGTCTGGTTGGTGGTTTGGAACATGGCTGGATTATTTTCCATATATTGGGAATAATGCTCCCACTTCACTTTCATATTTTTCAAGATGGTTAAAACCACCAAACAGATGTGGTTAGATGTGGTTAGTATACATATATATATATATTATATATATATGCTTGATATTATGGCTTTGGCGTGGTTTTTTTCTCGGAGATTTTTCTCGCTGTTTTTTTAAATATGGCTGGGAACATCATCGAAGTCAATGGGTGATTCTCCCGATGTTTGATGACCAAAAAGGGGTATGGGTTCTACTGTATGTCATAAATCAATATAACTCACCGATCCCAGATAGGGACCGCACATCCAGCCGATCATCCTTAAGTTTTTTTGCTGAAGTGGATTGAGTTTTTTTGGGAACATCTTAACATATCTTAACCGGTTTCACATCCGCAAACCATGAATTTTTAGAGCAGAAAAGAGAGGTGTCTTGTGGTTTTTCCTTGAACTACTTTGGTGGGGCGTGAACTGCCCAGTCAACACCTTGGGTGCTTTGCTACGACTTCATTTTTGCAACAGAGATCTATGAAGCTAAGAAAGACAACTCACCTGCGTATCCAAGATAGGCCCATGATTGCACTTCGTGTACAATTAAATGATAATCAGATATACATGGGATCATCAATATATTACCCCCTGGTAAATGAACAGTTGGACCCTGAAAATCACCAAGTCTTAATGGACACATTTGTCTTCCAACCCCAACAACTGCCAGGGTCCAACTGTTAATTTACCAGAGGGTATAATAAAACACTTTGAATGATCAATCCCTGTGGGATCATCAATGGAGGCTACATATTTCTCTTTCCATATCCCTCTTTTGGGATAGCGGCGCTAGCGGCAAAGGGAAACTCTGAACCGGTTTCAGCATGGTTGTTACCACCACTTGGCTTGAGGCTTTCCTGACAATGTTTCCCATCGTCTCTGGAAAACCATGACTAGCAACGCACATCAGTGCATAAGATGGAACTATTTTCATGAGTAAGTCTCCTGGTCATCTCAGTTGCTGTTTTTCCGCAGTGGCTTTAGGAGATGCCCGGGCATTTCGTAGAATCCAGTCGTTCAACTGCAGGTTGTGCAGCACTTTATTCATAGACCGGATCTGCCAGAATCTGGGCTGTGAGTTGGGCTTAAGGTTGCAGCGACCTTTTTTTGTCAGACGTTATCAGCCCAGTATAAATATATAGTGATATATTTTAATATATGTATATTATATATTATATTATATTATGTTATATTATATATTATATACCTATAGAAAAGATAGAAACCTGAACCCCAACTTCAGTCTGTCTATGAAAATGTTGAAGCCTCCAAATTTCTGGGCAAAGAATGGGAGACGACCCCAGCCCACAAAGCGAGTTTCTATGTGACCATAGCGCCGGGTACTACGTCGATCTACGTGCATGTATTACATCTCTATATATATATAATATTGTACACATTATGTGTAAATATGTACATATATAATCAAATATTCATATATATATATATAGAGATATGTACATCCACTGATATTGGAGAATCATCCATTGGCAAGGATTATAAAACCTCTATATATTGGGCTATGTATTGAATTCTCTCCAAACACATGATGCAGAATGAATATGGATGTGAATGTGGACAAGGATGTCACAACCATTCTGGATCATGTCTGTTGTGCCTTTCACGTTTCACCATTCCACGTAGCCTCCGGTAAACTAACATAACTATATGGAATATGGACCATGTCTAGATGATTTACCTATTCAAAGTTCGCTATGGTGATATTACCAGTGATTTTTCCAGTTGGTGATAAAAAATAGGTGATCCATCATATTTTCATGGTGATATTACCATAAAATACCATGTCTAGCCTCTGTGATTTTCCAGTTTGCTACTGTATATTAAATTACCAGAGAATATGGAATATGGAATATGGACCATAGAAATAGATGATCTACCTATTCAAAATGGTGATTTTTCCAGTTCGCTATGTTAAATTACCAGAGGCTATTTCAGCTCAGGAGCCATGGCAGACCTACGTGGGACCCGTGAATCCAGTTGGCATTGGCGCCCTTGCCGCTTGGAGCTCGCCGCCACCCTGGTGATCTGATCTTGGGAAAGGTGAGCGAAGTGGATAACTCACCACTCAAATCATAGGTAAATACAGAGTTTACCACTCAGTGGCTTACTATTGATGGATTAATGGAATTTTATGGTGATTCAGTGATTCATAGGGATTTAGCCAACAACAAATTGGATATTTATGGGAAATACATGGAAATAGCCTCTGGTAAACTAAGAGTTTGCTATTGAAAATGGCCATTTAGTTCGTTGATTCATCCATTGAACATGGTGATTTTCCATAGTTATGTTAGTTCACCAGAGGGTACATCATCTATTTTCATGGGCCATTTCCCAAAGCTATGTGAAATTGCCAGCAAATCGGCTTACAAAAAACTAGGAGAACGAAGGGTTGACGGAAGATAGATGAAGATATAATATATCTATAGTTAATATTAATTCATTGGGCAAATAAATGATGTGTTAACAACAATAATGGTGATGTGACCAACAAGAAATCTGGAAGTGCTTGAACTAATGGGTAAATATAAATGTCCTTTGTTCAAGCCGCCAATGCAGCCTTTGTTTATATCCACAGTGTTGTGCGTTCAATCCTCCAATTGTGTTTTCTGAATCCAGACACAAGTGATACATCGATGCTTGATAAACCACGATATACCAATTTCATTGAACCCAAGAACCACCAGGTGTTCTATTTTCACGATGCCATCATACTTTTGAAACTCAAAAACTTTTATTTAAACCTGGTGATAAAGTCTCATATATATATATATATATATTTACTGGTTGGTGACTTCAAACATTTTTTATTTTCCACAATACATGGGATGTCATCCTTCCCATTGACTTTCATATTTTTCAAGATGGTTAAAACCACCAACCAGTTCCCCAATATGTAATGATAATTAATAAAAAATAATGATTATTGTGATGATCATTGTGATGAAGTTTCATATATAAATATTCACTATATATACATATATAGTATATATACATATATAGTATATATATATATTATTATATATATATACTAAATATACTATATATATGCCATTATGCTATGATTTTTCTGTCGCTTTCTACGGTGTTTTCTGCGAGACCGAATCATCGAATTTCATCCATCCAAGGCCATTTTCTATGGTCCTGTGGGCTTCATCCAGTTGCACCTTGGCCAGAAGAACCCGGCCGGTTTTTGATGGTGAGATGATCGTTAAATACTACAAGGTGGTGCCCCCAAGATAGCTAAGTTGGTTTATAACTCCAATATGGTACTTATATCTATAGTTACTGGGGCTTATAAACCAACTTAGCTATCTTGGGGGCACCACCTTGTAGGATTAGCCTCTGGTCAAGCTAACATCAATGGGAGACCGTCTCGGAAAATGGGATGGTTTATGGAATATAGCCGCTGGTAAAGTAACAGTTTGATCCTGAAAATAAGCAATTGTTAATGGACACATTTTTCTTCCAACCCCGACAACTGGGAGGGTCGAACTGTTAATTTACTGGAGCATAATATGGGGCAAACATATGGAGATTTCCTTAAAAATAAAAAAAGATGGGACCCCCAGTTATCATCCATTTTTTGGATTTTCCATGAAATAAACCATCCAGCGTTTTTGGGGTGGGGCCCCATGACTAAGGAAGCCCACAAAAAAGGGTAAAATTAGGTAAAATACCATTTGTGGGTTTACAAGTGAGAGGTAGGTAATTGGTATACCCACATCTTTCAGTTACCAGTGAGACAATATAGGTAACTGCACGGTGATTTTACCGGATGACTTTGGGGGTTGCTTGCATATCTGATAGGTAACTGGAAGGTGAGGAATACATATGTGGCAGTCGATCTAAAGGTCCTTGTAAGGAGTTTTAATTGCGAAAGCCGTGCGTGTTATGTTGGAAACCCTCGCGAAAGTTTTTGTTTTAGTTCGCGAAAGGTTTTGTTTCTCGCGAAACTTTCGCAAAAGTTGGATATTATGAATCATTATCATTGTATACATTACAGCTTGTTAAGGGCTACCGCCTCCTGCCGCCCGGGGTCCGGCAGGAGAATGGTACCGCACCATAGGTAGCAGCCAAGCTGCCGAAGGTGAGCCAAATACCATGGTCTTGAAGCACCTCCTTGCACCTGCCGCTGGTACTGCCTAACATTGCTTTCTGAAGTCTCAAGAAACAAGCTCCAAATGCAGCAGCCAAGCTTCCATGAGTGAGGCTTTGCAAGAGCCAAACACCAAGGCCCCTGGTGTTTGCTTTTCCTCTGATGCGCCCCCTGCTAATGGCTGGGGTCTGCGGATAGGGGTATTTGCGAGAAAGTTCTGCGAAAGAGTGGGCGGAAGTCAAAGTGCATTTTGAAGGGAGTGGCCCAGTAAGCCTTGCACAAAATTTCCTAATCAGCAACAACTTGTCCTGAGAAGGGGATTCCGTGAGTTCGCGAAAGACAGTTTTTTATTCGCAAAGAAAGGCCATTCCCGGATAAAGGAATTTCGATCAAATATCATGTACATATATATATATATTTATATTTATATTTAAATATTTATTTATTTATTTATTTACATATTTTGCATTTTTATTTATTTATTTATTCATTTATTTATTTATGTTGTTTATTTATTTATATATGTATGTATGTATGCATGCATGCATGTATGTATGTATGTATGTATGTACGTATGTATGTATTATATCGGTTTATGGTATTTTTACGTTGAAACATTTATGTATATATACATACTATACATTGGGTCAACAATTGGATTAGTAGAATTCAGTAGAACTTGATGTTTTTCTCCCAGCTTGTTTGGTAATAGGGTTATATAGGGTTTGTGATATAGCTGACTGGGATCCCCGACTATGGATCAAGCTGGTTTGACCAGTCGCCATATGATGCGTGTAGGGCAAGCAATCGCAATGAGACTGGCACGGCGGACCATAGTTGTATGAATGCAGCTCAAAGTGGCGATAGAACCAGCAATCTTGGTGAAACTTTGTCCCACAAGCAGATATGGAAAGAACCAGTAACACTGGCAGTAACGGATAATCCATATCCAACTCGCTGGGGTCCCGAGTTTGTTGTTTATCTTGAGCTATATAAGGGTCCGATTTTTCCACTTTGGGCGTGGCAAACCCCGCTTAAATCCATGGATGCTGGTCTGCCTTGGATTTGTCCCTTATCATTTGTAATTGTCATCAACTAGTAAACCAAGACAACATCCCAGGATTGATATACAGTGTAATTGGTGTATATATATATATATATATGTGTATATATATATATTTATATCCAGGCACATTGTGGTGTCAAAGATGTTGATACTGTGCCCCTTTTGCGACGTGAACAAGACCTGCTTCGCCAAGGTTGGGAGGCCTTTTCGGAATTTTCATCTTCGAATGTGCCTTGGCTTCGCCAGCTGCACAAACTCATCCCAGCAGTGTCGGTGCAGCAGATGTATCTGGGTACATCCCACCTGCCCAAGGTACCCTCATCATTACAAGATATGCATCCTCTTCTTTCCATTGCTGGCTGTTGTACATCTTCTATTTGCATCCAAGCACGCAAAATGTTACAGGTTGCCTGGGTGTGTTGTTTTTCCTTCTTCTGATTGCTGTTTTGTCAAACCTTGGGCATCCAGGTAGTAGTGAAGTTCCTTGAGGTTTCAATTCATGTTTTTGAAACTCAAACCCAGGGTCTCGACCCGAAACCCCTCCCAAAAGTGGATTTTGCACAAAAACCAAGGGTTTTGACCTTAAACCCAGGTGCTGCACTCCATTTTGATACTAGCCTTCCAGCCATGAGGGTTTAAATATACATATGACACCAGTGACTTGACCCAGTCCCCGAAAAGACCTATGGGTCCTCCTCTCCCAGAAGGGAAAAAAATGGGAAACCGGATATTTAGGGGTAATTCTCTAGAGAACCCTGATATCTCTGGGGACTAGGGAACCTAGGTGTGGTAAAAAAAGTATTCCTCTAATCCCATCGGCTGATATCCCTCGATCACATTGAGGGAACTGAAATATGAATGAACGGATACCCCAAAGTCCCGCGGTTGATCATCATTTTCCACATTGAGGTGCTATTTTGGGGGGTACATTATTTGTATGTACACATGTTTCATATTAGGGGGAAAATAATATTTTCCCCCTAATGTGAAAAATATATCTCACTTGGTTCCTTGCACCAAGCCTCCCAGCGGTTCTGAGTTTTTCTGTGGTTGGAGCGAGACGACAGAGACCCTGGTGATTACGGGCCGGGGCGGCTGGGGGCGGCACCATGGTACTGGGATAGTGATCCTGGGTAAGTGGGAGGAAGCCGGCTTGTGGCTTGTGGCCAGTGCTCTTTTTTGAATGACCTAAAAGAGATGGCTTTGTACTTGGGTGCAGTTCCATTTCATTTGAGTGGGTAGAAATATTTAGAAGTTATATGATGATACCCCACGTAATTGGGGTTCTTAATTAGATTGGTATACGTACATTTGTTTGTTGCTATCGGATAAAAATAGATGGTTATTCGACGATTATACACGTGCCCAACTGCACAAGACACCGCAATAAATTGGCCAAGATCCACCCCCCATTTCTGGATACAAACCCAGATATCATATTTATCATGTTGTTGGCTATGTTTGTATATATATATATAATATATATATATATAACACACACACACACACATTCACAGAACAAATCCACCATCTGCTGGGTTTTATACCCTGTTTATCTTTTTGTTGGTCTTTACATAGCCAGTGTGATCCACTCGCGCAGGAACCCCTTGAGCATTCCCTTGGATACCCCAGAGATGCGATTGAAGGACCCTGGAATACCCTGGCCTTGTTTCGTCGCTGATGTTTTACCGTCCCCAGTGCTTGGATTTAACGGGATTTTATGGTGATTCAAATGGGATTTTTTTTATGGTGATTTGATGGGTTTTCATGGTGTAATTTAATGGGATGCTATGGTTTTCTAATGGGAAATTTCATGGAGTTTCATGGCACTTAATGTTAGCTGCATAATAGTAAACCCCCCCCGTAAATAAAATAATTTCGGGGGAAAATCCAGGGGGGGTCAGCATTCCAATAGTAAAGTCTTGGAACCTTATGGCTGGGATGGAGGCGAAGGAGGAGGACGAGGAGGAGGAGGAGAAGAAGGAGAAGAAGGAGAAGGAGGAGGACAACAAAGTTGGAGTTGCGGAAAAAAGTTTCCACTATTGCCATGCCTGGTGCAGGTTTGTTATTGCTATTCTGGGGCTTGCAAAGAGGGTACCCTTTGTGGACCTGTTTTCTTGCTTTTTTTAATAAGGGTTTTATAAGGAAATCAGCTGTTTGGTAATTGGATCAGATTTCTGGAATCTAAGCTTTTGCTAATCAAAAGTGAAGGCTGCTTTGAAAAGGATTTGCTTTACTTGACTCTTTTGGCAATACTAAAAGTAAATGGAGCTAATTGACTTTTAGTATTGGAGAAAAAATTGGAGTTGGGAAAAAAGTTTCCACTATTGCCATGTTGGGTCCACTATTGGCCATGCCCTCTGGACAAGGTCTGAACATGACTCTTTTGGCAATACTAAAAGTAAATAGAGCTAATTGACTTTTATTATTGGAGAAAGATTGGAGTTGCGGAAAAATGTTTCTACTATTGACAAGAGATCACTATTGGCTGGACAACATTAATGGGATTTTGAAGAATTCAAAATCATGGATGTGCGGGGTCGATGAGAAACTTTACTTTCCCGATGAGAAACACACCAGAACTGTGGAATCAAAAGAGCTTTGGGGCTTTGAGGACCTCTTAAGCGAATCCAAGATTCTGGCGGAGTTTGGATCTGACCAGTATGTTTGTTTTTTTTGTTTTACCAGATTGTTGTTTTGGGGGGAAGGAAAATCATATTTCCAAAAAATCACTAGATTTGTGTTGGTTCAAATTTTGAGACACACACAAATCTTGGGAACATTGCTATTGTTAGCGGAGTTTTAGAGATATGTTAAGGGTATACCTCATTATTTGGAGAAAGCCGGATGCGGAATCAACAGGAAAGACAAATCCTTCAGGTTTCTAAGGTGGAAGAATCAAATCCAAATGCATTTAAGAAACTGTGGGAACCTGTTCAATTTTACCGTATTTATTTGTTTTTGTTCATCTTTTATCCTTCTTTATTCTTACTTATTTATCCTTGTTTATGCCTACGGCTGGAAAACCTTACGTGCGTTTTGCTTCTTTTTTGAGTATTGCTCTTTGTCTTGGGGTTGGGGTGGGGTGGGGGGGCATGTTAACGTTCCTTGTACTTCGTACAGGATATATTGCCATGTTGCTGAGATCTCTGGGATCGCTTACTACGTGACATGTTGCTACGCTGCTGAGATCTCTAGTGTGGGTTGGGGTTGGGGTTGGGTGGGGTGGGGGGGCATGCAAACGTTCCTTGTACTTCGTACATGATATATTGCCATGTTGCTAAGATCTCTGGGATCGCTTACTACGTGACATGTTGCTACGCTGCTGAGATGTCATGCTATACCTGCGGTGCTGGCAGTGGCATTATGAGTGCCATATTGGCAACTTGCTGTCGAAGACAGCTTCCACACTGATGGATCGCTGAGCCGACGAAGAGTGTTAAAAAAAATCTGAGCATCCACGTCTGATGCACATGATGTTTACCTGGATTTGTCAAAAATCAATAGATTTTGCATCCACTTTTTTTAACCAAAATTCAGTTATCCAAAGAGTTCGGAAGAGCATTTTATATTGTAAATTACAGGTGATTGTGACTCTCCTGGAAGCAAACAATCAAAACACTCGCGCGGTTTCCCATCCGCCGGGTTGTTTATCCTTATGTGTCCTTATCCATCGTTTGTTTTCAGGTGACTCATTAAAACAGCTCCATGTTGATTGGTTATTAACTGGTGGGTTATTATGTAGTCTAGCTGGTTTATTGGGGACAAATGTTACTCATAGTACAGATATCCATTCACCAACAAGTATGATGGGATGGGATACATGTATTTTTCATGTCTCATGTTGGCAAAATATATATCCCTATGGATCCAGCCGTACCTTCTTAGGAAGTGTGACTGGGGTATGATTTAGGGGGTTCGCCGTACCTTCTCAGACAGTGGGCATGGATCCATAGGCTATGGAATTATCATGTGATAATAATTGGTATACCACTAGGATAATGATATATAAGATTGGTACCATTATATCATTAGTACCATTCCATTACCCTCTGGTAAGCTGTCACATAACTATAGAAAATCACCATCTCTAATAGGAAAACTCACTATTTCGACTGGGCCATGTTCAATAGCTTTTTGTTAACGTTTACCAGGCCGGGTATATGTTACTTCTATTTTTCATGTCTCACGTTGGCAAAAAATACACCGATCTATTTAGATCTTCTTCTGGCCAGGCCGAAAGGTGTACCGAAAGGACCAAGTTCAGAAAGATTTCTCTGACTTCACCCATTTTTTCCCCCAAATCTATCCTGGATCTATGGAATCTATGCATCGGATCTATTCATTGAGGAGGTATACCATATATGATCGTTTTTTTTTGCAATTTGCAAATGATCACTATTTTTTTGCCTGGCGAAATCATCGTTTGCACTAGTTAAAGCACTTTCCAATCCGGAATGTTCACCGTAAAATAACCTAGATGTAGGTGAAGAACATATAATTTTACATGTGTGGTGTGCACTGTAATCAGGGGAAGTATATGGTTGACTTTGGGCACTTTGTTTGCTTTAAGTAGGGGTAGATTACTAATCATAGGTCAACATCTGTTGTGTACCAATATAGCAACCCAAAAAGATAGAAAGCACAAATTCGACTCAACTCATGGTAAGTTCCAAACATTTTTTTCCAGGGGATTACTTGGAGCATCATTGCACTTAGAAACTGGTTAATAACATTTAGTAACCCTGCAAAATTTACATCTTAGTACGTCATCATTCAGTAGGTTATCCCATCTATAAATGGGTGAGTTGTAACTCTGGACGTTATAACCACTTCCGACCGACGACCGTGGGATGATCCTCCAAGTACTTAGAAGTTTCTAAGTTGGTTTGCAAAGCCGATTTTGTAACTACGCATAGTTATAAATAATATACAGCATATAAGTATCATAAACAGTTATTATTGGAGTCATGTTCACCAAGTAGAAGTCAAGAATTTGTCCCTTCACTTTTAAACCCTTCCAAAGGTATAGGAACAGCCCCAAGAATAGACAGCATAATTGATTAGCAAGTCCTTAGAATCCTGGTGATTGGTGGTTAAACCCAAACAGACAGCCCCGAATGATTGGTTAAATATGCTTTATGGTAGATATTCTCAATATCTTCCATTCCATCCCCGCCCAAAAAAAAATCAAACAAGAAAACCAAAGATTTCGTATTATCAGATCATTGGAATCGTTGGAGAATATCTGGTTGGTGATTTGGACATGTTTGGAACATGGCTTTTATTTTTCCATTCAGTTGGGAATAATCATCCCAGCTAACTTTCATATTTTCAGAAGGGTTCAAACCACCAACCAGTATTGTAATCCCTGAAAACTGGGATATATGATTGTAAAGCAATAACTGGGCGCATTACACTTATTACAAGTACAACCTGATTATGTATTATTGGTTACATATGTGGGTGTTTCCTAAAATAGGGAGGTACCCCTAAATCATTTATGGATTTTCCACTAATGTAAACCGTCCAGCTGTTGGGGTACCACCATTTATGGAAACCTCCATATATATATATACATATATTATCAGAATTATTGTCATTAATTACTTATCGTTGGATATATATATATATATATAACGTTAATATATGGATATATATATATGGATATATATGGATATATGTATATATATATATGGATATATATATATATATATGAATATATGGATATATATATATATGGATGTGTATATACATATATATAATATATATATATATTTATGTATATATATATATATAATTATATAGAAACAAACATGTATCATTAAAGGCTGCCACCTGCCACTGTCCCTTCCGTTTCCGTCGCGTTGCTTGCTCCACGCGTCCGGGCGAGGAGTTGAACAACGGCCGCATGGCCATGATCAGCATCGCGGGGATCTGGGCGGCCGAACTGGTCACCAAGAAGGCGATGCGGCGGCCGAACACGCCATTTCCGTGGAGAAAAAGGGACATGTTGGGTAACTTCTTCATGGTTTTTTATGGTTTATGTATATATATATATATGTGTGTTTAAGATTTTTGTCATTTCACCATTTTTTGGCATATGTTGATTCAGAAATGTGAGTTTTGTGCTCATTGAGTTCATGGTTTTGGAGTTCATCCAACCACCAAACACATGGGAAAAAACAGGAAAAATGAAAACATATGGTTGATTGCTTATTGTAGGGTTTCATTCTACCGGGTTTATTTGGTTTCATTGAATGACCCTTCTTATGGGTGCCTATCAACCAAAAACGGTTTTGAACATGGCTCAAGTGGTGTGTTTCAGAAATGCTTGATTACCATCAACATGATATACATACTTTGTAATTTTTTTCTTGTTTGATTTTTGGGGTGTTTCTTTAAGATTCACCGTGATTTGGGAGTGAATATGTTTCATGTAAAAGTTGGGTGGGAGTGGTGGACAGAATATGTATATGTATTGGTTTATTTTTTTCCAGTTTCTTCTGTTCCTTCCTGTTTTTTTTGGGTAGGCTGTGTAATGACCCCTCTATGAATTTGCTGTCGTACAATGTACACATCCATATCCCATCGGATCCATGGTGCTGCTATATATGGTAACATGGATCCCATCAATATACCCCCTTTATGTTAGCATTTTTCTACCAGCACCAGCCGGATCCTATGGGATATCCTTGTTGCTTGAAATCCAAAAAACGTTACCCAAGGCCGGGCCTCATCCATTTTTTATTGGTTCATCCCCTAGGTCTCAAGGTGGCGCCCCCCCAGTTATGTTTGTTGGTACAATGTGAGGCCCCCGTGTACGATAGCGTTCAGTTGGGGTTCACATAGCTCCAATTTCACTATGGTTTAAGGTACGCAAATAACGAACTAGTTACTGGGGCGAATCTAAACCAACTAACTTATAATTGGGGGGGGGGCACATTGTATGTAAACCAACTCCCCCAAAGCCAAGTTATTGAACTTATAAACCAACTTAGCTAGCTGGGGCACCACCTTGTAGGATATTCACATATTGACAGCTTTCGGATGGACACCGCCCTGTGCTGGGCGACCAGGACGCGGTTGAGCAGCTGATGTTCTGGGCGTGACCAGGGCAGGGCGCGCGTTCTCTTCGCAAATGGCGGTCTCTACGGGGCTATCCCCATTTCGAAATGGTTGGCCGAAGAGTTTTAAACAAGTGGCAAGATGGGTTGAATGGATAGGTCTAAAACAGGTTTTTGGAGAACCAAATCAGCAGGGCTTCCAGCGTAGCAGGGCTATGGGTGGTGAAACACACTTTTTCCACCCGAGCACTGATACAAAACAAGAAATAGCCGTTATGTGGGAAAGTACTTGTCCCGTGGTCATGGCAGATGCCCATTTATAATTAGGGCGGGAAAAACAAATCTTGCTTCCCTTAGGCTCACTTTTCTGCTTAGTTTCAACTTTTTTGGAATGTGTAGAATGAGAAGAGGCCTCGGACGGTGCGAGGTAAATGATGGTGGACACAACGTTTGTGGGTCATTAGGCCATCGTCGTCCGCGGGTGTCTTCGAGTCGGCTACGAATCAGCTAGTTTTTGGCATTGTTCCCGACAGAAGTGGACACAGAAGACAGCGCGGCAAGCTCAGCAGTATATAAATGTATTATGTTCATTGATCATGTGGTTGTCCGTGTGTGAGGCCCTGAAAATGTTTTTAAGTTTTATCTTTCTAGGTGCTGGGAGAAAGGCTTTATTTCTTGCCATCAGCATGTGACGATTTCTTCTTTTGAAAGATTCTTCTTCTCCCGGTGAAAGGATTCCTCCTTCCCGGCGCCGGGTTGGGAGGATTCTCTTTTTCCCGGCGCCGGGTCTCGCCCCCGGCGCCGGGTCTCCCTCCCGGCGCCGGCTCTCCTTCCGGCGCCAGCTGAAGCCTTCCTCCTTTCCCAGTGCGGGGTGGAAGCTTTCTTCTCTTGCTGGCAGAAAGACCAGAAACTGCGGCGACATACAGTATGTTTGCTGATGAGCTCAGGGCGTCAAAGTCTTCATTCCCTTCTAACGGCGCCACGGTGACGAGGAGCGCGCTTCGATTCAACAATGACACCCGGATACTCGAAATTCAAGGCGCAGATCAGCTTTAGCGTGGAGAGATGTATTTCGGCCATGAGATGGAGGATAATTAAGGAACAGCAAATTGTTGACTGTTGCTAGCTTTTCGCTTCCGCGCCTACACACCCGCCCTATAGGTTTCTACGGGGCCTCATGCTATGCCGGCAGCAGACAGACGCCTACCCTGCCATTTTGAAAATGTATGTATATGTATATCTGGTAAGAGGCATGTATGCTTTTAAATATTCCCTAACAGTCGCACCTGCACCAAGACAGGGATGAAATAAATTCCGGCCATTGCAGGCACCAGGCGCCAATTTTCAGTGCAAATTTTCATTTTTGAAAACGTACGAAATCACCTCGCACAGCCCCGATGGCTTGGCTCCACCCACTGCCCCGCTCAAAGGGCTAGCGGCGGCCTTCCTCCGAATGCCCCGTTCAAGCTCCTTACCCGTACAAGATTCAAATCTTCCTCCCAAAGCCCCGAACGAACCATTTCCACCCAAAGCCCCGATGAAACCATTCCACCCAAAGCCCCGATGAAAAATTACACGCAAAAACGGTAAAAAAAAACAGCAAAAAAATGTGTTTTTCTCGTTTCTGGAAAGGGCCTAGATGCTTCCCAAGTCTCGGCTGAAGGGCCCGCAGCAAGGACTTGCTTGAAAACCCCAAAAGACTGGATGGCGGCATGAAGCAATCTTGAATACTACTTCTACTACATCGGCACTAATGCAAGCCTAAAAGGCTTGAGGTCACGGGGTTTTCCTTCATTCCATCCGGTTCTGCTTCTTGCATCAACGCGTCTGCCAGGCATATATGGAAGCAATGCAGAAACAGACTCTGGTCCCTGTTCTGTTCCCGTTTGAGACATGCAAAGTTCAAGGTCCATCGTAGCAATGCTCTTTTTCAACCAGCGTTGTGCAAAGCTTTGGCACCCAAGCCGCTGCTCCTGTTTGCTCTTTGCTGTGGCCTTTGCCTTTCTAGGGCTGGCCTGTTTTAATTTCCCGCTTAGCAGGCTTAGCAAATGAAAATGGAATTGGTAGTGTTCTGCAAGCCGTGCTTGAAACAGCTACAGGACTGAGCATGAGGGTTGAATGAGAGGGCATTGCTGCAGCTTGCTGCTCCCAGTGGCTCGGGCGTGCCTTGACGGCAAGCTTCCCCAAGTTGAGAGCTTTCCCCATGAAGGCAAGGATTCGAACGCCCGTGGTGAGTTGCCATCTTGACGAAGGCAACTGCCGCTAATGCTCTAGGTGTTGCCTGCGTTAGCCTTCTCCGCGGCGTGCCCAGCGCGGGGTCGACTGTGAAATATGGCAAAGGGCGTTTCGCATGCTACTGGCCTGGTTCTAGTCGCAGGAATTCAAGGTAACATTGCGAAAGAAACAGGTGGCCACTGAGATCAGGTTGTACATACGGTTTCATACATATTGATTTTCACAGGTACATGCTGTTGAAGTAGCCCCCCAAGGACAAGAAGTGCCCAAGCGAAGGCTAAGGATTTGCTAGTGCTCAATTGCATGGGTCTGTCCTGTATTGGCCATTGCTTGTCATAAAACAAACTTACATTGCAATAGCAGAGGTTGTGGTTGAACCAAACTACATGGGGTCTTGAAATGTCTTCCGGTAGAAGATTCAGTGAACGTTTGCAAGGCTATTTAATCAGAAATATCTGTTCAATGTAGCTAGGTGGGAAACCCCCCCCACGCCCCGCTCCACCCAGTGCCCTGCAAATTCTTTCCTCCAACGTTTTAGCTGTGTTTCTGATGTTTTTCCTGCAAAGCAGTTTCTACTATGCTACATACTACATCGCAGAAAGTTTGCATTGTTGTTGTGAAATGTTATTTTCAAGGTAGAAGCCCTCGGTTTGCAGCTGGTAGATGAAAGATCCTATTCCGACAAACCAAGCTAGTTACTGTAAATCCAATATGTTCAAGTTTCTTTCCTTATTCAGAGACACTTTTTCCAGTCGACCAGTATGGTTATTAAAAAAAACATACTTCAACCATCTAACAGATCTGACACATGGATATACATACACGGAGACATTCATGGACGTTCCATTGCAACACTTGGAGAATTTGCCGCCACATGACCCAAACCAGCAAATGGCATGTTTGCTGGGATTTGGAGGTCCACAGAGTGGCCTCCCAAAACAAACCAAGGACCCCGCAATAGGACGAGAGCAGATCTCCCTGGGAATATTGTATGCTGGTTGGTCCAAAAAGTGGCCCGAATTTGCCATGAATTGAGAAAATGCGGAACATGTTGATAAACAAAAAATTGCCAACTCTATTCTCAGAGAAACCTATGTACAAAGACGGAGATGTGTCAAGACCAGTCAACACCAAACTGCGAGAAAACTGTACACATGAGAATGCCAAATCAATCTGCATGTTTCGTTGTTGGTATTTTAGGTGCCAGAGTTAATTAATTCTATAAGATGAAACATGATGTTCAATGATTTTCAGACAAATACACTGTATATGTTGTAGATTCCCAATGTTGAACACCTTTTAATTAATGCGATCGGGCCCCCACGTGGAATTCCCAGGGAGAAGAATCGGGCAGGGTATCAATTTTCGCGGCGAGACACAGACGAGATGGAGAGAAAACTGGTGCCCCTGAAACTCATCTGGTTGGTGGTTTGAAACATGAATTTTACGACGTTCCATTCAGTTGGGAAGGTCATCATCCCAACTGACGAAGTCATATTTTTCAGAGGGGTAGGTATACCACCAACCAGTCATATTCCCAGCCTTGTATTTGGGTTGTCGGGAACCCTGAACATCAACCATTGGTACCCTCCGGCAAACATGGCAACGGGAAATCCGCTGTTGTTTTCGGCCAGGACTGAATAGGAGCATCATGGAACTCAATGGTGGATTTTCAATCAAGCCATGCTTAGCATTACCGGAAGGTAAATCTCATTTACCCTCTGGTAAACTAACATAGCTATTGAAAATGGCCATTTATAGTGGGTTTTCCCATCAAAAATGGTGATTTTCCATAGCTACGTTAAATTACCAGAGGGTATACCGTATAATACCACTATTTTTTGTTGGTTAAATATCACCATTTTTGCTGGTCAAATCCCAATTTTCGTTGTTGGTATCACCATGCTTTTATTATCACCATGTTTCTTGTTTGAATCCCATGCTTGTTGGTTAAGCTTCCAATTTCTCATGGTTCAAATGTTCAAATCCCTCTTTCAGTGACCATTTGCGATACTCAGGTCGCTGGCTCTGGCTGCTCAGCCTGGGAATGGGATATGTTGCCAGGATAGTGGGTGAAAACATGCGCCATGAACAAAGTACTTCTCCCTATGGATCCAAACACTGTCTGAGAAGGTACGGCTAACCCCCTAGTCATCATACCCCAAACACTTCCTAAGAAGGTACTTGGATCCATAGGGTCTGTTGATGGGTTAGAATACTATGGTTGTGTGCAAAAAATCAGGAGTTAACCTCCCAAATTATGGGAATTTATGTGCAAATGATGATCAAGCAGAGGATCGGGGGCACCCATATGGGGGGTAATACTAATTGGAGAAATGTTAGTAAAGCAACATATGTTGATAGTTTATACCACCCATATAAAATAGTGAAATTGATTGGGGGGATGGTTTATGATTGCTTTTCTAACATTATTGGGGATCGTAACCCACAATATTGCTAATGTATGTACAATGTGGCCCCCCCAGTGATGTGAACGTTGGTTTAGATTCGCCCCAGTAACTAGTTCGTTATTTGCGTACCATGTTTACCATAGTGAAATTGCAGCTATGTGAACCCCAACTGAACGCTATCGTAAACCGGGGCCTCACATTAATCATTGTACCAACCAAGCAGTAGAACTGCTCCCATGAATCCCACTTTGGGTGCATCCCCTGTGGGGAGACCGCGTTTCAAAATGGGCCATGGTTATATATAGGTGGTTGATAGGTGGTTTATTCAGAGCTTAGCACAACCAATAAGAAAGTCTGAGAATAAGCAGCTATCATCAGGACTCAGGACCCAAAAATAGATGGTACTATACATTACTATACCATATATAAGGCCATGAAAAAAACCCAACTACTTGGGGTCATGGCTAACCTCCAGTCTTCGGGGCCCAGAGTCACTTTGCGTTGAGCTGAACTCTGAGGCGTCTCGCCAGTGCAAGTGCGTGGTGGCCGCTGGTACTGTGCCATGCTCCAGCACACGGAGGAGTCAGGCTGGGACCAAGGGAATCCAAGGGATACAAGGTGGTGCCCCCCAGCTTTTTCAAACCTCCTTTCGGTGGTTTCTCGACTTTCGCAACCACAGTAGTTTACCAAGGTGGAGTCCCCTATCAAGGTGGACCCCCAGTGATGTTGGTTGGTTTATAACCCCCATGGAAAAGTATAGGTATATCTACCATAAACCCAAGTGAAACTGGAGTTATGTTCACCTAGTTAGCGTTCACGAGCTGTGGCACCACCTTGTACCGGACCGGGACCAGAGCATGGCTGGGCAAGCCCACCATAGATCGGATGGGGATAGCCATCCAAAGATTACTCAGCGTACCAGCACCGCACCGCTGGGAGAATTCAGGGATCTCATTGAAACCCAAAAAAATATGGACATGCGAAAGCCTGCCAGCGAATGTGCGTGTCATAGCGTGTCATTTGCGTTTCATTGTGTTGGATCATTTTGAACAGCTACTCTTATGGAGAGCTATCCCATAAAAGTGCTAGTTTTATCAGTTTTATGGACAACTTATGATTACATCCCGACAGTTATTCTTCTTGGCGGTTGTTGTTTATCGGGAATACTTTTTTTGTGTGTGCAAACTTGGGAACATTATTTAGATATGATTAGTTTGGATCAAATTATATTAGATCAGTATAGATCAGTTGGAGAAATAGATAGACCATTAGTTTCCGATCTATTCCTGTAGTATGAGGGTACTTTGTTTCCAATATGTCAATATGTGTCCAATTCAGCCATTCCAATCTAATAAATAGGAAAGAACAAGAAAGTTTCCAATCTTTTGATCGTACCATAGGTTAGAGGGGATTATGTTAGATTCAATATTGGATATCGGAACTGTATGTTCGATAAGATTGAATTAGTGCTGTTATATTTTGATAGACCACACTTTCGATCTTATGGTCTTATGGTTCAATTTGTTGGATACGATCGTTCTTTTCCAGATTTGATAGAAGGTTTTCGTTAGACTATAGACTGTATACTGCGTTATACCTCATGAGAATTGAAACACAATGTGTTTAATTAGTAGATTGGTACATCTAATTTCAAGATTGGAAAAGCCACCATTAAATACCATTAACATTCATTAACATACATTGACATCCATTAACTAGTTCGATATACCATAAAAATCATATAAAACCAATCGTTCCTGGAGTTAGGACGTTTAACTCAGCGACCAAGGATCCCCCCTTGTAGGGGAAATCATCCCAGTTCAATCCCCAGATGGAGAAAATCTCTGAACTATGACCCAGATGCGAACCATGGTGCTGGAATATGCACACCAACATAAAAACCCCATTTTTATGAGCCAGTTTTGTAGGTAAATATACTAGCACCATGGAGCATCTGCATGAGGTATAAAATGATATAAACACTTATCGGCGTCATCGGCTTATCTTTGGAGAGAACGGCGCATGTTTTAGTCCGCAGGTGGGGTGACTCGTCAGTGTGGACCTTTACGCCCGGCCCACAGAAGCGAACGGGAGAAGCTGCGGCTTCAAGAACGGTGGTTATTGCCATGGAAACATTCGGATTTCATGTGATTCACTGTGAAAAATTGGGATTGAATTGAACATATTGAAATCTGGACAAACATGTGTTTTTTTTTTCTGGGGGGCTTGTGTTTTAAGATGATTTGACTGCATCCATGTACTGGAGATCGTTCAGCAAAGTGTATATGGTCCATAAAACTAAGATATGTATGTTCGAGTGTATTTTTATGTATTTTTGCTGAATTGTGGCCAATCAATTATGGGTCCAGTTTGAAGCTGATCTTCAACTTTTAATGGATCATTGTATGAAGGTTCCCTGAAATAGGGGTACCCCTAAATCATCTATTTTGATAGGATTTTCCCTTACAAATCATCCATTTTAGGGCACCCCCAATTGAGGAACCCCCATATCATTTATGATTTCCCATTGCCATGATTGATTATTCCAGAGAATTCTTTAAGGAACGGCCTCACTAGCCGACCAAGTTTTGTTTTGTAATGGTCAGGAGAGGGAAAACCATCCCATATGTTTGTTTAATTGCTGGGCAGTTGCCATAATATGCCACAAGAAAACGTCAAGACTCAAGACCCAGAAAACCATTGACGATGCGCTCTGTTCATCTATAATGAAAGACTCAACCCTCCTGAATTGGGGTACTTGTGGTGTTTTCCAGCTACAAGGTGGTAGTACTGGAGGTCAAAGTTTGAGAGTTGGGCTTGAAACCCATTGGATCCGACAGCAAGACCCAGTTACAAACCAAGGACTCCGGTGCCTTAAAAAATTGTGTTTTAATGTTTTACCATTGCTTACTAATGTTTATTCCATAATCTGAGTACCTTTTGCCTACCTACCTTTACCGTATTTTGTTGGGTATCAACGGAGGGTCAGCCATGGTTCTGATGTAGCCAAGGCATGAGCCATCAAGATGCAGCCGCTGATCTCCAGCGCTTGCAGGAGGCGCTTGGTGATGGATGTAGGGTTTAGTGGCGGAACATTACATGCATCCATTCTGACACGACTTATATATACATCATATATATTATATTATATAATATGGTATATACATGTATTATATTTTATTATATAATATTATAATATATTATATTATTTTATGTATATATATAAATATATATTATAATATAGGTTATATTATATTATATTATATTATATTATATATTATTATATTATATATTATCCATTATATATATTATAATATATTATATATAATATGATATGATATAATATAGTACAAAATCGTGATAATGAACATCAATAGTAAAGTATTATTATATAGTTATTATGTAATGTATGTATATCTATACAGAACCTAGGTGCTGCCACCAAAATGTCAGCAGATTCTAAAAAAGAGCCATCGAACAAAATGTCCTGGTTGATTGGGTACTATGATACTATCTCTGGTTGGTGGTTTGGAACATGTTTATTTGTCCATTCAGTTGGGAATAATACTCCCAACTGACTTTCATATTTTTCAGAGGGGTAGGTCAACCACCAACCAGGATCTAATTTACCGGGGAGTCCGGGATTATGATAACCCATAGTCGGTAGGAAACCTATTAACCAACTAGTATTAAATTTGACGGGATAGAGGTATTTTTTATGGCTCAATTGCTGTGAGGATTTGTTCCATGTTCTCCAACATATATATATATATTATATTATATATATATTACATGTTTTCCCCAGGATGACTACCGTTTGACCCTCCCTTTATACCCAAAAAACATGGTAAAGGTATCAAGAGAATGGGGTAAGACACCATGTTTGAGTGTATTTGGAAGGTCTAGGGATAAGATATGATAAAATGCAATTTTTGAGAATTGACCTTGGACATGTCAGCCTTGATTTCAGACATGTTGAGTCGGACTTCACATGTGCCTTCCAAGCCCCACCGTTCCAAATGTCGCACCGTGAGGCAAAGGACGAGAATCTAAAGAGAAAGTCGGAAGCTCCACAAGAGGTTCGATTTGGTGCCTTCTGTCTATAGGATACGTCACTATATTTCACAAATATGTCCTATGTCATGATTTACCTTGATAGTTCATGGAAAATCATTTGTTTAAATGTGGATCCACACATTTCTCCGCACACTTTACATCCAAGCGATCTGCCAGGCTGAACCCGCGAGCAAGAAGGGCAAGACCAAAGACTGATGCGGCGTGTCTTAAGGTGTTGCTATGTCGATTTTGTCGTTATTAATGTAATTCATGTATGTTTTGATGTGTCTCATCAAAAGTTTCATGTGTATCTTGTTGATTATTGCAATTTTTATCGGCCCGGCAATTGACAATGGACCGGTCATCATCGGTGATCCAGTGCTGGGTTGGTGTGCCGCCACCGTGCCCAAAAAAAGGGCACTGTAGGAACAGAGGATTCGTGCTCTGCAATACTGCCATGGTCATGGTGTTGTAAATCCCATAGATGTAGCCAGACCCTCAAAAGAGCATAAAAGATCTCCCCATGGCAGTTGGGTCCTAAAATTTATGGGGTAAACAATAAACAGTATTTTTGAGGGTACAAACAGACGGTCTGCTCAATTGTGCAGTGGCTGCTTGGACACCCTGTTGGCTGATGATCAGGCCTGGAGGTTTTACTACCTGGCATGTCGGGGATTATCATCGATTATCATAGCCCATGAACTGACCGAAATACGGCTCAATTCCTAAACGTTAGTACTATATAAATACTTACGACTTACCATGTCATTTCCATGTGTCATAGAGGAGTTCAAAGTATCTTTATGAAGGTCTTTCATAATAAGTACTGGTTGGTGGTTTGGAACTTTTTTTTTTGAACATTGTTTTTTCCATTCAGTTGGGAAGAATCATCCCAACTGACTTTCATATTTTTCAGAGGGGTAGGTCAACCACCAACCAGAGTAATTAAATACAGATAAATACAGTACATTGAACAATTTTCAGGTTTCGATCTTTGGTTTCGGGTCAAACAGAGATGGCCCGTGGTTGCGGGTGCTCGCTGAGTGTATACAACAGAGAAAGCACCTGCTGTAGCCTACATTGTCTACAGATCATATGATTCTACATGTCCATTTAGATGTTGCTGGTGGTGACTTCTTTTGCTTGGCAAAGCATAAAGTGATATCTTCAGTTTTTCCAGATCCTTTTAGATCCTGAATAAGTTGCACACATGTTTCTCTCATTTTTTTGGGGGCTTTTTGAGTCCTTCGATGATTGGAATTTCCCCAAGTTCGTCATCGACTCGCGAATCCCAACTCCCCGCGCCATATGGGGTGCTGGTCGTGGGGGAGCGGAGCAATTTCTCACTGCCGCGGACTGCGTGGTGGGAGCAAAAAAAAATGCGGCAGTGGGAATCCATCGAAATCCCCGAAGTAAATGGAGGTGTTAGTGGGCAACTCAGCGAAAAAAAAGGGTCTAGTTTTCCAGCAAGCCATGTTTGCCCGAGGGATCCCGAGGGTGTCTCAAAATGTTGGAACCCCATTCCATCCCACGGACAAGTCCGTGGTCCTCTGGTGGCATTTTTGATGGGCGAATTCGCCATAAGCTGCGTGAAACACCACATAGTCATTGCCTCATCTGGTTGGTGATTTGGAACATTTTTTCCACATATTGGGATTGATAGTCCCAACCGACTTTCATATTTTTCAGAGGGGTAGGTCAACCACCAACCAGTCATCTTCGTAGCTGTAAGTGCTTTGGAATGTTTTAAGTAATTAGCCAAGACCTGCCAACACATCATCCTGATCTCCTGGTTGTCTCAAAGGTGGGTCGAAACTAGCAACCCATTTCTGGCGGGGATGGTCGTTGGGTTTACCACATAGCCCCTGGGAAGAGTGATCTAAATTTCGTTGTTCTTAGTCTTGTTTGAACACCATATTAAAATATGATATGTGTATGAAACTCTCCATACTTATATAGTATAGTTCCTAGTGTATATATATATATAATATTATATACATATTATATATGTTCTTCTTATTATTATTATATATATAGCCTACCTACCCTACTATATACTTCGACGGGCCATGGGATTAGCTAACTGGTTGGCAACTGGGTAGAAACAACTACATCACCACCAAATCCCAATATATATATATATATGATCCAAGACTAACTAGTTCACTAACTCATCTAAGTACAAATTATCTGTTCTCTCATGTTTGAGTACAATTTTTCTGTGTCATCTTTGTTTCCGGTTTTTCACCAGCTCCCCATCATCGACCCTCGGTGCCTTCCGCCAGGCCTCGTACATCTGCACCGAGTGTGAGGACGCCCTGTGCTCTCGCTGTTCCGCGCAGATCCATCGCGTGGGCGCGCGGCAGAACCACACTTTGTTTGGCCTCCGAAAGGCGATCGGAAGCTAGAGGTGGATGGTGCTTAAAGAGATGGCTTCTTTGGATATATATATATATATATGTATACTGTATATATATATTATTGTACCTGAAGCGTTTTTGGATATAATATAATGTCATATGTTTTTTTTATATGGTTTAATATGGTTTGATATGGCTTAATATGGTCTAATATGGTTTAATAAAGATTTAATGCACTAGCTGAAAGATAAGGAAGATGGTGGATTTGACATGGGATATAATGTGGTAAAGAATATTTATTAAACCATGCCATTAAGCACCCATAAAACGGGAATCAACCACCCAATAATACATCATCCAAGTGCTACGGTATACCTAATAATAAACCTCCTTTGCATTGGAGATGGCTTATTTTGGGTTTCCCTGATTGTGATAGATCAAAATGTACGGCTCAGGGAAAAGTGGATTTGCTTGTTGGTTTCAGTACTGACCGGTTTATTGTTTCCCGGTATTGAAATTTGGAGGCCTTAAGATCATTCCAAACGAAGTTGTGGTCGAATACCAAAGCTGACAACATGTGCAGTCTGCCTAATCGCCTATCTCTCAACGAAACCCAAGTGGAAGTACTTTGATGATACACTGATACACGTGAACTAAAACCCAAGTGGAGGCACTTTGATGATCAGTGATACACGTGAAGTGTGCAGTTGGCCCCGAAACAGATATGAAGGCAAGCCATGATGATGGTCGCAGCTGGTTTCCAGGTCTTATTTTATATATTATAGTTACGATCCGATCCCTCAAACTAAAACATCATATATAATTTATGTCGTTGTGTACATATAATTATATTTTATATATATTATAAATACATATTCTATATATATATTATAAATATGTACATATTGCTCACATGTTCTTAACAGATCCCTCATTGGATTGTTTTTTTTTTGGGAAACTTGTTTAACCGCCAGGCAGCCAGCTAATTCGATGGTTAAAATCATGGGGAAACCATGGTGTGCGGTGAAGATTTTCCCTTCAACTAATCCAATGAATCCCTCCGAATCTTACTAAAAAAGGGGTGAAAAATCCCAATATCTGGAGGTGGAAGAGAACTGTGGGAACTGGCGGTTTATATAACCATGGTTTAATAGCCCTGAAAACAAGAGAACACATCACCCAACATTTTTATTGGATTGGTTGACCGGAAAATTGAAACCGGGTAAACTTCCGTATTATCCCTTACCCATAGGATCCATGTATGCTATATATGGTCACATTTATCATCAATATACCCCAGTCATGTTAGCATATATACCATACATGGATCCTTAGGGTTTTAAAAAATGGTAGAAACCCATGGTTTCCGGTGCAGATTTTCCCAAGCAATCCATCACCCATGAAATCCAAGTGTCAGGCCGCCTACAGCAAGCGCCTCTTCGCCGACAACTTGGATCGCCACTTCGAAGAAGTGTTAGGATCCGGGAAATCATCCCCTTCTATGACCGAACTATTCAGGTGAGTGAAATATTGTAATTTAGCCAGGTATATATATATATATATACATAATATCATACATAGATTAATAGTGGTTAGTAATGGTTAATAGTGGTTAGTAATATGTATATATATATATATACATATTATAAGCATATCTGGATATCTGGCTAAATTATGACGACCTCACTGTTCTCCCGAACCCTGGAATCATGGCTAATAAGGGAAATCATCCCCAAATGGCCGAACTATTCAGGTTAGTGAATTATTACTGTATAATTTGCCCAGATAGACGTATTTTATCACCCTCAAGTAGATATATGTATATATATATAGAATATGAAGGAATATGATATAAAATTGTATGTTCAATTAATGTTCCCATTTCAGTGTTTTTGTTTAATAATATGATATCTCGAGGATGACTATAGGAATGGATGATCACCATTTAGGCAAATCTTCTATGAAAAATTATCTATGAATGGGCCGTGTTCATTGTCCATAGCTGTGTTAAATTACCGGAGGTTACTTGGTACAAAAGTTCATGCTAGTTTAAGTATGTACTTAGATTGCGTTCACCGTGTTCACTTGCTTTTCATACATAGATCAGGCGTCAAAGGGGTGTCAGCCACTGTATGACATGAAAAATACCATGGCAATCAACATATTGAAGCCATTCACCGCATCACATGTTTTGGGTGTTATAAGCAAGGTGTTATAAGCAAGATATGTTTGAAACATTCCCCTTGGAACACATCTCATTTCCGACCGGGATTGTTCTTTCTCTTGCATGGCATATTTGATTCTCTATAAGCCACATCACTCAAGTTGGATGGTTGAACATTATTTGCATTTGTTTTAACTCGCGCTTTTCTACCACACACGGGCTACAGTACTCTCTCTATCATGACAATTTCATAAGCGTGGCCTTTCTTTCCGCTACCAAACATGTATGATTCTTTGGAGTACTCTGAAACTGGCTTCCAATCCAGTCCATTCATTTACTGCACCAGTGTCCATATTCAATTAGTCCATATTAATCCATATTAATCCATATTCATCCCTATATTTATCACATATATTTTTTCACTTCAGGCTTTCCTACGTTTTTCACCGCTTCCTTTTGGGCTCAGCCTGAAAGGCGGCGTCCCCTCTCGGGGAAGCCGCCGGGGCCGCCATGGCCGCGGCCGTGGCCGCGGCGGTGCGGCGCCGCGATGAGAATCGCCGGGACGGCGACGACGGCGACCCGGTGGTGCGGACCGCGACGAAGACCACCGTCGTCGCAGAGGATTTGCTGCCACCGCGGCTGGGTGATGGTTTGTGGGGTCCCCAAACAACGGAAGATATACCATGACAACGAAGTAAATTGTAACCATAATTGTTAGGGTTGGTTTATTTGGGGTCCCCCCGTGGAAAACCCATAGATAGGGATTGATCATGGGATATAACTAGTGGATAGGCACAAATTGGTGACAAATTGGTGAACAACATAATGTTGATATGGTTTACAATAGTTTTACAAACTCAAACTGGTTGAAAAACCAACGTATACAAGTACATTGGAGGATCATCCCATTCTCCCACGGTCCACGGTGAACGTGGTGAAAAGAAGTAAATATCTCATATATATATATACAGATACATATCACATCATATAACTTGATGTTTAATATGCACATTAATTCAGCATCTACTAAAGTGGGATGATCCTCCAAGTAAGGGGAAGGGTTTTGTGGCTGTTTGCTGGAAGAATGTCCGAGATTGTAAAAGAAAGAACATGAATATTAGTGGGTGGGAAAATACTCAATCGGTTTAGGGATAGACAATGATAGACAGATTTGGCCCGAAATCTAAGGATCATCAACAAATGTTGTCAAATCTTGTCAAATATGCATTTTCCAGGATTATTTGAGGTGAAATCAATTTCCATGTTCTCAGCCCTGTTTGGGTGAGGTCGTTGGGCGGTGTCCATTCTCATCCAACCCTGTGTCGAGAGGATCCATCTCCAAAACTCCAAGCCCCTACTGAAACAGATGTGGGTAAGATTATCAGCCATCGGACCTCATTTTTCTTTACACCACAAATGACTTGTTCATACTTGTTCTAATAAAATAGATGGTTATCATGCCGTTAAAACTCCCCAAACAAAAGCCTTTTTTGGTATTGGATCTACTCATGATTTGGGGTTGCCTATCGCAGGATATCGTCCAATTCGGAATAGGGGATTTTTTTGCTTGAAAGTATACGTTTAATATCGTTTAATGTGGGTTAATACCAACAATCACATGTCTTTGATACCAAAAAGGATACCAAAACTTCTAAAACCATATTTTTTGGTGTACCCCATCTTTGACCCATTGCCTGAGACAAAGCGTGCCTTTCCAAGGAAGACGGAGTCTGGTTTTTGGAAGTACCAGCGAGACTTGGAGCGTTTTCTTTTTTTGGGTTTTTGTTCGGGCGCCCGAAATGATTCCTTGGATGTTTGGGTGTGGGAACGCAGGAACGGTTGATACCTCCAGATGTTCGGTGGTCAGTGAATGTATGTGAACGTTGTTTTTTTTTCGCTGACGTCAAGATGTGTTTGGCGTCAAAAGGGGGCATATTTTGGAAAGATCTGCATGATGTGTCAAGTTGCACAGCACAGACGAAGTGGCAGCAGATTCCCCTCCTCGGCACAAGGTCCAAGTTATCCTAGGGATCTGGTGATCAAACTGGTTCATACATGGCACATTGTGGAAGAAAATTCACCACCATCCATTCGCAGATTCCGAAGGTGATCGCGGTTTTTTCATCAGCGCAGTGACAAAAGATGGACGGGTTTTGACCTTGATCCCTCGAACTCTTGCTGCTGCTGCTGCGTTTTTAAATGTACTAAACCCCAAAAAGAGTCAACAGATAGAAACTTGCAACAATTTGAGTATGATTTTACTTGTCTATCTTTTTGGGGCGTGCTATTTTTGTGATTTCCACCTCGCTTCCGCTCAGGAGAGGCAGCACGAGTCTACTTGGGCATTCGCGTTCAGTTGACCGTGGCTGGACTTATTGGCGGAAACTTCCTGATGAACATCATTGAGAATCTGGGATCTGCAAGAACTTGGGAACTTGCAGTTCCACTCTGAAGAAAATTCTGAAGTGCTTCAGATAGTTTTAGAATCAGGATGTTATAGGGTGTTATAGGGACTATATCCCTTATGGAATCTTACGGAGGTTATTTCCAGTTATTACCCACCTTGAGAATCTGGGATCTGCAAACAGCGGCTTGGTGGATGTCTAAGGCTCAAGGCTCGGGTCCCGGAAGGGCTAGAATCTCACCAACTGTCATGGTAATTTATACACTGGTTCTTTAACATAGCTATGGACAATGGCCCATTTACAGATGATTTTCCCATTAAAACTTCCATTTACAATGGATTTTCCATAGTTATGTTAAATAACCAGATGGTATTACATTTTACTATACTACTTCTGGATCCAGCCGTGCCTTCTGAAAGGAAGTGTGATTGGGGCATGATGACGTGACTAGGGGGTTATAAGTACCTTCTCAGACAGTGGCCATGGAATGAATCCATACGGATACTACTTAAGACACTTACAAGGTGGTGCCCCCAAGATAGCTAAGTTGGTGAACATAACTCAAATAACTATGGTTTATGGTAGATATAACTATAGTTACTGGGGCTTATAAACCAACTTATAACTGGGGGGCCCCACATTGTAAGTATACTTATATAAGTTGTTGTTTTTTCCCCTTCTGGGACTTTTTTTGCATCACGCTCGACAAATCTTCTGTAAAGATTTTTTCCCCAACTGTAATGGCATTGGGAGATAATCACTAGATTCTAGATATGGTGGGTGGAAGAAATCTTGCACCACCTTGGATGGTTGAAAACCTATAATTAATGGGATGTTTACATGTTTACCACCTATCAACTGCAGCATTTCGCAACTACAGTACCTTCATAAATATCCGGATGAATTTCCCAGACGTTTGCAAGGAAATGGATCGATCCAGAGGGTGATCAGCACCCGGGTGTGTGGTTGGGCTTCGATATCTTCTTCAACGTGAGCTTCACCATTGAGCTGTTGCTGGGCGGCAGCTTAGGTATAACGGGCCGCACATTTTGGAAGGTATACTCTCTGGTAAACAAACATAGCCTAACATAGCTTTTGAAAATGGCCATTTATAGTTGATTTACCTATTGAACATGGTGGTTTTCCATAGTTATGTTTGTTTACCAGAGGGATCCAGAGGGTAACTGGCCGACTTTCTGAATACGGTGGTGTTTAGACGTTTGGTCATATTTCTTTGAGGTCAAACATTCACTAAAAACATCCAATTGCCCAATTGCAATATGAAATTCCCATATTAACTATACATAACTATACAATGGTGTATCCCCCAAAAATGGCTCCAACCAAGCTACACGGATCTTTTGAGTGGTTGTTTAAGATTTGCCCTTCATAAGCCGAACCATTCCCATGAAATCTCCAGGATGTGAAACAGGTGGAACACTCCCCTTGCAAGTTGGATTCTCAACCCGAACTTTGGATGTATTTACCATAAAACTTTGTGAAATTGGAGTTATGTTCACTGAACTTCGCCAACATAAATCAATTACAGTATAACATATATCATACAATCCGCATTTTTTGCTGATATTTTCCCCTATGTTCAGTGCTTAAATTGCCTGTATTTTTGTTGGGGGCACCACGTCTTGCATTATTGTTGTTCATCTTTGGTGCTTTAAAAACCTGTTAAGAAAAAAAACAGGATGTGGATGTTGATGGTTGATGATGTTCTCCCGAACCCTGGAATCATGGCTTATTTGAGGGAAATCATCCCTATGTGGGCCTTACGATTCAGGTGAGTGAATTATTCCCATTTGCCCAGATAGACGTATTTTATCATCCTGAAGTAGATATATAGAATATGAATGAATATGAAATAATCATATATATATATGGTTGGTGGTTTGGAACATTTTTTTATTTTTCCATATATTGGGAAGAATGATCCCAAATGACTTTCATATTTTTCAGAGGGGTAGGTATACCACCAACCAGATATTAACATATATTAACATACATTGTTCATCATCAACCAGATATTAACAACTATAGCTATGAAGTAATATATGTTGTTAATGTCCCATTTGTTAATATTTGGTATATATGGATATAGCTATAGTACACACACACATATATATATATAGTATACATATATATATATATAACATACTATACATATATATATATATACTATACCCATTTTTTGAGGATCATCCATAGATCCTTCTGGCAGGATGTGGAACATGTATTCCTTCTGGCTCTGTCGGTTCTGGAAATCCGCCTGGAACTGTTTCGACGTCGTGGTGGTCTCGATCGGGCTGATGAACTACGTCCTGCCAGACCTGCCTGGGCCCTTAGGCGCCGTGGAAACGACACGGTTCCGTGAGGAAAACTACCACGGATTTATAGATAGAATGGATTCTTGATGGATATATGATGGATATATATATATATTATAATTATATATAAATATATAATCATGTTTATTTATTATATATATATGTATATATACATATATAAATATATTTATATTGTGTTATAGTTCGATGGGGTTACAAACCAAACTTGCAACCTAGATGTTGCCACAATTTAGCGATGTGTGGTGGTTTAGTAATTGTATGTAATTGTGGTATATTCCAATAGATCCCAGTACTCACTCTACTCACTTAGATACCACTTGTTCTGGTTGGTGGCTTCAAACATACTTTATTTTCCATTTCATATATGGGATAATCGTTCCCATTAACTAGTATTTTTCAAGATGGTTAAAACCACCAACCAGTGTTTGATTGTGGCAACATCTAAATAATGATGACATGCCAACAACAGCTGCAGGGTCTCCGTAAAATTGAAAGATGCTGCGGATCACAGTTTCAGCTCAGTTTTTTGTTTCAAACTGGGTGATGGGCCACCCCTTATGAACATTCAAAGATGACTTATGATGAACTATTGGATTGTGGAGTACCCTATATGCTACATCCTATATGTGTTTTTCCCAAGAAGTGATGGTTTTACATGGTTTTACCACGTTTTACCCAATGTTTACCAACCTTTTTTTCGGGATACAGCTCCATTTTGAGACCAAACACCTCGCCAAAGCCGTGGCCACTTTCACCGCACCCACGCCAGGGCTGCTACGGATGATGCGCGCCTTCCGCGTCTTTCGACTCTTCAAACGTGTGGAGTCCCTGAGGAAGATCATGCAGTCCCTGGGCAAGGCGGTGCCAGGGGTGGCCAACGCCTTCTTCATTCAGGTGGGGCTCGGGTCGGGTGTGGGGGTTGGTGATACCCCAATAGCATAGCTGGAGGGTTTATTTCATGGAAAATCCGAAAATGACATGGACGAGCACTGGGGGTACCCCCATTTTAGGAAATCTTTATGTGGACCTTGTGGAGGTTGAAAAGGCATCAAAATCTCTAAACAAAAGTCTTGGGAGATACAGTATCACGAGGATATTCTATTGGGTATATGAATTAATTGGCAATGGGGTTAGCTCTGGTTGACTGGTGGTGACAACTGGCAACTGGACTCCTTCATGATCATACATGGAGGATACTGATTGTCATAGGTTATAACCCAGTTTTAACTCAGTTCTGGTAGTCAACTAACTGTGGTCCGTGGGAAGTGCATAGGAGATGCCAGGCGCCCCCTGGGGTGCAACGTGTCCCACGCAACGTGTCCGTCCCAGGTCTTAGTGATGTCCATCTATGCCATCTTGGGGGTGGAGTTCTTCATGAACTACGGAGAGACTGGCAGTTACACCAATGAACTGGGAGAAGTCGTTGAAATCACTACGGCACGGGATCTCCAATATGGCGCCTTGGCCGCCTTGGCCGCCGCCCTTTCGGTTCCGTGTTGATTTGCGTGCAAGGCTTCCGGGGATGTTTTGTGGATGGTGATTTCGACTGAGATAGTTATTCTGTTACGTAGATGTACCTATAATACATGTGACTTTTTTTGTTAAACTGAAATGGATATATGCACAATGCATTGAGACTGGACAGATACTATGTGATATGCTGGTTGGTGGATTCGACTGCAGTTGAGTTTCCCAATGTTCATCTTTGCTTGAGGTGATGAGCCTCAACTCATGTTTTCTATTTTCTGGTGATTAAAACCACAAACCAACATGGAAATGACCAGTATTTGAGCATTTCACAAGGAAAAACACCCTGAAAACTCTTCAAAAAAGGGGATTTTCATGGATTTTCCATATGTTCCATGTCGGAGGTGATTCCAGGTGACCGACTTCTTGCACCAGTGGTGTTTTGTGTTTTTTTTCACCGGTGAAGGTTACGAGTACTTCGGGAACTTCGGGAAGGCATTGTTCACCATGTTCCAGGTCCTCACTGGCGAGAGTTGGTCAGAGGCCCTCGGGATGGGCTGTGCGTCATGTGACATGACGAAGAAATGGTTGTTGCTACTTAACAAATATATATATATATATATATTATATATATATATGTATATTGATGTATATATAAATATATATATATTTATATGTGTATACATATATATATATAGTAACCATGTAAAGAAGAATTTTAAGCAGGATGTCCAAGATTGGCTACATAACTTGGCGCTTGAACTTGGCAACTCTGTGGTGTTCCAAATCTATCTTCAGGTCCTAAAAGCAGATGATTTTTATCCCAGTTTGGGACCAGCCCGACCGGCTTGGTTTATCGAGCTTGCCCTAAGGTGGTCACAAGGCCTATGTTGCATACTACGACTCTGGGCGAAATTTGATGACGGGAAAACTTAAGTTGTGGCACATGTTTCTTAAACAAGGAAAACGGTGAAACCAATTGATGGCTGGTTTCAGAATGTTCCATGTTTTGTGTGTGTGTGTGTGCTTTCCGCTTCATGCCAATTTTAATCCAAGTTACACAATTGTTGAAACACCATACGTTCAGTTGACAGCTCTTGCCATCAACACATGTTCCATCTTTATTTGGGATGATTATATATACATATATATCCCAACCATCCCCACCATTGTTTTAACCATGCCCCCAAAAACATGTTCATCAATAATGTATGCAATGCAACATCATCTTTGAACCAGCAGCTGTTCTTTCCCATTTGGGTATGGATCAATACCTATTAATACCATTTTTTAGGGGAATGAACATCCATTTACCATTTACCAGCTATTTTGATGTTCACCAGGGGTACAAGGTTTTGACACACTGCCATTTGACCTGAAAAAAAGGTTGTAGCTCGCCTCAGGAATCCCACGCAAGCGATCGGTGTGTCCTTTTTCTTCGTGAGTTTCAACTTGGTCAATGGCATCGTGCTTATTAACGTGGCCATTGCGGTGCTGCTAGAGAAGATGGTGGACGATGAAAGCGACAAGCATCATCATGAGGTACTAGAGGAGTCTGACAGAAAGTGTTGGGCTGTTGCGCTGTGGTGTTTTTGTTTTTGGGGACTATCACCATTTTCAAATCAGAATTGGATTTAAGAGCTTAAGACAAACTGATTTTCTGACAGGACCTATTTTTTGGGGTTCAGGTTGAAACTTGCGGGGGTGTAAGGCTGGAGTTTCTCGCCCAAGATGAAAGCCTGTCACTATCGGTGCTTCGCTTCTAAAATCTAAAATGGAGGATTGATTGAGACTTCCCCTGATCTGAGAACCACCTACTTGCATGTACTCGCCATATCTTGCAGCAGCACTGAGTGTCCAATTGCTGGGTCATTTGGGTTACCATCAGGTGGTTAGGGAGCTATGGAGCTGTGGCTATCCATTTTCCCTCTGAAAAACGGGGAGTCTTTTTTTAAGCAGCAGCTCTACTAAGAGTTTCCCAAGCACATGATAGATTATTCATGGATATTCATGGATATTCATGGGAATTCATGGATATTCATGGATATTCATGGATATTCATGGATATTCATCGATATTCATGGATATTCATGGATATTCATGGATATTCATGGATATTCATCGATATTCATGGATATTCATGGATATTCATGGATATTCATGGATATTCATCGATATTCATCGATATTCATGGATATTCATGGATATTCATGGATATTCATGGATATTCATGGATATTCATGGATATTCATGGATATGTTCATGTTCATGATGACAATGGTCGTCTCAACATAGTTACGGTTTCCTTTTATCGGCCATCCCCAGGAACCGGAAGAGTCTCCCTCCATCGGCTTCGACGAAGTCCGAGCCTTCGAGGATGACGACAAGGTCAGGAGTTCTTTCGGGGGGCGAAGTCCTGGGGAAATCCTGGGATCCCCGAGATTTTCCTATAGAAATACCCTGGATTTTATAGTGATTCAATGGGATATTCATGGGATATACCCTCTGGTTATGTCAAAATAGCTATGGAAAATGATGGCCTTTTCGAAATTTCGTGAGTTTTCCCATGAATAGCATGGTGGATCTTTCCATAGTTATGTAAACGTTTACCAGAGGGTAAGATGATCAAAATGTATGAAGCTGATTGAACCTGAAAAAAATATTTGAATCGAAATTAAAATCCATGTAAGTCCATTAGCTCATTTCCTGGTAAAAAAAATATGTGAGAAATCACCTATTTCGAAGTATTTAAAACCAGGATCACCTTAGAGGGATACAGTTTTATATCAAATGTTCATAGTATATGATTTAATATATATATATAATATAATATATATATAGCATTTTAACTCACGGATTCAAAGCGTTGGTTGCGAGAAAATCCAGAAGCAAACTGCGGGATTCAATGTGATTCCTGGGGAATTCTCCTCGTACCTGCAGTGGAACAGGATGTACTATATATATATATATTCCTTATATATATATATATAATTTATATATATACATATATATATATATTGTCATCATACATATATATATATATATGAGGAATACATATATATATATATATATGTGGTGTATATTTGATCGTCTATGTGTGTATGTAGACGATATGTATATATATATATATGTATGTATACACTACATCGGTATATATAGTTTTATATATACATCATAATATGACACCATAAGACATCATCTCCATGGCTCAGGTGGCAGTTCCTGAAGACCCCCCAGCCGTTTCGACCATGGCCGCGAAAGCCGCGAAAGCCGACGGCCAAACGAAGGCATCGAAGGTGGCCAAGGTGGCCAAGGGCGATGGGGTGCGACTCGATGCCATCGGTGCCATGGAATCGGAGCCTTGGAAAGATGAGAGAATTGGATCTCTGGATTTTTTGGGTGCCATGTTTAACTGGACAGAAACATGTTGGATTGCATGTGCCCAAACTATACATATATATATATATGATATGACAAACTTAGCGTACTTGGATAGGCAGTGTGTGGCATTTTGATGCAGTTCTTGCACGTTTGACGTGAGGATTTCCTGAGTCTCAGAACTGACATGGCCAAGATCAAGTTGCAGATGTCGCAGCTCCTCACGGTGCCATGGGCCGCTGGGGGGAATTGCGAAGGAGGAGTCAGTTGCGAAGCTTATGCAATGGTATGATTTTGAATATATGGAGGTTTCCTAAATGACCCCTAAATCATCCATTTTATAGATCGGATTTTACCTGAAATAAACCATCCAGCGGGCCCTGGGGGTATCCCCATGACTTTGGAAAGCCCCAGGGCCCACCCATGTCATCATGGTGGCCATGCCAATCCTGTAGCCCCAAAGTGGCCACGGGGCATCGCGTTTTGGCGTTGGGCTTTACACGTGGCTCCAATTTTGAGTTCACTTTACTATACGTATAACATCCTATAACAGCTTATAATATCTTATAACATCTTATAACATTTTATAACAGCTTATAACATCTTATAACTATATATTAGATCTACTGTATATAGATTCATATGTTCATGTGCTCTTGATACACCAACATTGATATTTTGGGACAGATAAACCACCATGTTCTCTTCATGGTCTCTTGACGTCGTCCGAATTTATGCTGATCTCAGCCACATGCTTTGCTCTAAACCATAGTAAGATCCCATCACCTCCCCTGTTTTATTTGTGAACCCTATAGATAGTGCCCTTTTACCCTTCAACCATGGTAAGCGCCTGTCAAACCTCTTTTTTGTTGAGGAATCCAGATTCATTGCTATTCTTTAGCAAGGTGGGATCGCATCACCCTACCGTTTGTTTCTTTGATAAACCCCGCGTTTCTGTTCCGTAATTTTGCATCACGTGAGAATTAACATTGTGAACCTGCATTGTGTTGTTCACAAACCGTTTTGTGTTTATCATTTCGTTGTTGAAGCCCGCATTTCTATGCGTTTCTGGCTAATTATGCATGGTAAGATCCCAAGATGGTCCCATGAAAGCGGACATTCTGTCTGTTGCTGATGTTATTCCAGTTGTTTTTTGCATATACTGGAAATAATAATCATCTATAAATGGATATCATCCATAATAATAATCATCTTCTATATATACTGGACTGTTGATCGCCCAGAAATGAGGAATCCACTGGACTTTCTTTCCAGGTGTTGAAGGAGAGACAAACGAAGGCCGGCGCCGGACTTCCGAGCGACATGGAGGCGACGCGTGAGCAATGTGAGCAGCCGGCCATGCAGGTGAAGAGTATGTGATGCTGAGCCGCCGAGCTGGTGGCTTATGCGTCCGAATTAATTCCAGGGAAAGTGATGGGTCAATTCGAAAATTCCAGGTGATAGTGACTATAAAATACTGTGTATAAACATGCCATTAAGAATTGATAATTTATGTTTATATATATATATGTATCTATCTATCTATACAACTATATATATATGTAGTATCATTCAGGTCATGCGTAAGCCCAAATGACAATCCACTTATGGCGGCGTCTCAAAATGTTATCGCTAGTGTCACGCAAGCAAAGTTGGATAGAAACTGAAATCAACCTATAGTTTCGGGGGCCAGCACAGCCTTGGCAAGATGATTACTGCCACAGTTTGTTTAGGAAGCTTACCTGAAGGTTTGCACAGCCACAAGTCAAAAAGACTTTGATCTGAGAAAAAACACATCATCATTACCTTGCAGCAGGAAAGGCTCGTTTGTTTTCCCTATGAATCGGACAAGGTTTGAGATCTGAGATCTTCTAACTATCCTGATGTATCACGCTTGGTACTTGGAGTATGGCAATTCATGGTGATCGTAAGAAGGGTATATCACAATACATCTTACTGTAACTACAAGGGATTACAACCCACTAACTAATCACTTGGCCTGATAAGTTAGCCTTTGTTTATCTTTGTTCACCCATTCAACTGTAGATAAGTCCGGTATTAATCCAACAGTTATTGTAGCTGTATATAAACCGATCATAAGCCATCAGCATGTCTTGAGATGCCAAGAGAGCAGGGAGTGTCTAGTCTGCCGACTGATGATAGCAGCTTCGGCCGGAGTCATCTGCCAAGCAGAGGCGAGTCGGTCACAGCTAAAAACGTTCGCACAAAGGATGGGTGCAGGAGGTGATAGAAGCAAGCTGAAGACTCCTCCATAGGATCAATATATATATATATATATATGTAGGTCTCGGTCATGGCTGGTCAGCAACAAAGCTGGTGAAATCCTGTCCATGATCAGTATGGAAGCAATGACTGAATGAACATAGGTGCACATGGTGTTTCTCTAAATTAGGAACCCGTTGATCAGTGGATGATTAATGATCATTCCCAAAACTATTCCAGAAACCAATGAAGACCATAGATGCCCGTGGATGAGCGATCTCATGGTTGATGTTGTTTTTTTTGTGTTGCACCACCCCTGGTCCCTGGTGCAACAGACATCGCATCTTGGTACGTGACATCGCCAGCCTCTGACTGAGGTTTAATGGGAATCCTTCAGCGAAACATTGAACGGTCTTACGATCTGAGGTGAGGCTTTGGAGTGTTTGGGAATCTTGGGTCCTGTCAGTTTTCAGGTTCAAATTGTTTTAGCTTCCATCTTCAAGGAAGCTGATATGGAGTTGTTTCTCTCAGGGCCTAGGGGCTCAGCTTGAAAGATCAAACATGCTGCATTTCTTGTCCTCAACTTGCGTCACTGGTTGGAATTGGGGATACCCTCTGGTTATTTAACATAGCCATGGAAAATGGCCCATTTATAGATGGTTTACCTATTAAAAATGGTGATTTTCCATGGCTATGTTAAGTAACCAGAGGGTACTGTATCTTACTGTTGGAAAATGACCATTTTATGCCACTTCTAATATGAGGGCGTAAAAAGATGCTTGAAGCCTGCACTTCCGACATCTGACAAAGATGAAGAAATAGCCTCAGGTAATTGGAAATACCCAAAGTACATGGAGGTGTTATACAATTGGCAAGACATTGAACTAACTATTTCCAGCAAATCACGTGGGAAATACTCTATAAATCGAGGTGCTAATTGGAAAATCAACTACACAATGGCGATTGTCCATTGCCATATGTGATTTCCGGAGTGTCATTTGATGTATAATCATGTATAATCATACTTTGTTTGTTGGCTTCAACCTGAAGAAATTGGAAGGAGGTTTACCCATCACTGGTTGGAATTCCTCACATCGTCACCCCTCGTCACTTGGATCACTTGGATGGTCTCTTTTTTTATGCGTCGCCAGTCCTTGGTTCATCTTCTACGACCAAGCCTTAGCACCTTCCTGGTACAACTTCACCAGTTACCAGATGGTCCGGGGACTCAACGGGCGGCTGGTGAAGCGCAAGAGTGACGACGCAAACACGAAAAGAGGTCAGAGTGAATCGAGTTTTTAAAAACTCTGACTCCTCATATCACTGATCTCGTTTTAGGGTCTAGATCCGTGGGGTTTACATCATCCACCTTTTTTTAGCCAAAGTAAGATGTCTCAAAGCAGCCTCAATTGAGAACAGTGATCATATCTTCTCATATAAAAGATGGTTTTGAACAACTTTTACCGTGAAATAACATCGCAATCCTCATATCTGGCTTGGAAGATGGTTTTTTGGGTAGCGAGATGTCACAGAATGTCACAGCTTTAAAAAAGTTTTGATGGTGATTGGGGAAAAGAACCAATGGAAAAGATGTAACAAATAACGAACAGAAAGGATATCTGCAGTTATGGCCCTTAACAGTTATAAATGGGAGTATTTCATGATATATACCCTCAGTTATAGGATTTATAATCCCATTTATAACTGTTAAGGGACATAACTGTGGTCGGTGGGTTCAAATATGTTGAAATATTATTCCCTATGGATCCATGCCATTCCATGCCCACTGTCTGAGGGTTGGTACGGCGGGGCTAACCCCCGAGGAGCTAGTCACCATACCCCAGTCGTACTTCCTAAGGCACGGCTGGATCCATAGGGGTTTAAATTTCAGTAAATCCCATTCATAATCCATTCATAATCCATTAAATTCCCTTAATATCCCACTATTTGGATCCATAGGGATTGTTTATGTTCAACCCTATTTATGATGCTATTATTGTTCCCATTGAGACACATATGTTGTTTTAGGCTTGACCACCACTTATCCTGGGCAGGTGATGATCTTCCAATTGATGTTGATCCTTTTTGAACTGGGGATGTGTTTGTTTTTTTTCCAAAACATGGGAAAATACATACCCTCTGGTAAACCAACATAACCATGGAAATCAACATTCTTCATGGGTAAATCCTATAAAGGGTCCATTTTCCATAGCTATGTTAGTTTACCAGGTCTACCAGAGGGTATGTGGATCAACACATTTAAATATGAATATCATTGAATATCAATGAATATTAATACATATATATATATATACATATAAACATTGATATATTAGATGATCTCTAGTGATAGGAATCCAATTCGATTCATGTCTCACTTTCGACCTCATCAAGCCCCAAGCCTGGTGTTCTTGTCTGGCTGCAACGAGGTTCGTGCGGACCCCAACAACTTAGTGAATCCGCCCATCGAAGAGGTCGAAGGCGATGACTCCCCGCAGAAAGAAATCCAGAAATCCAGGGGCTTTCCTTCGGACATGATCTACTCATGATGGAATTTGATGCGGATTTACCAGATCTATGTTACTTTACTGGAGGGCTACTGGTGTGTAAGAGCCCTAATGGTTTTTGGGTCGGAAAATGATTCATGGTATTAGCTGAGAGAGCGTGGTGGCCAAGTACCTTTTCGGGAAGTATTTTAGGACCCATGGCTCAGGTTGAAAGCAAGTGCAAAGTGCAAGTCTTGTTGATGGTTTCGAACATGAAAAGTGATGGTTAATAGTGGTTAATAGGCTATAAACCAACAACAATGGGAATATGATGGTTACACTGGTTGATGGTTTCGAACATTTTTTATTTTCCCATTCAGTTGGGAATTTCATCATCCCAACTGACGAACTCCATCATTTTTCAGAGGGGTAGGTATACCACCAACCAGAAGTGGGATGAAATCCAAAGTGAACGCTTGATGACTGGGTTGCAACCCCTCCCAATTGGGCGCAGAACAATATAAAAGGATTGGTACATTGTTGGATATTGTAAATTATTATTATCACATGATTGTCGGGGATAATTAGCGCATAAATCATTATCACATGATGATCGGGGATAATTAGCACATAATTAGAAACATTTGTTATGATCCATCTTGGGGATGGTTTAATATAATATATGATCACAATATGGGGATGGTTCATTATCATAATATTATATTTGGGAAAATTGGGGATGAAATATGATAATACACCTCTATTGGTGATAATTATACATGTCCATGATGATTATGATATATTGTAAATCAGTATAATCACATGATGATTGGAGATAATTATCACATAATTCATCAACAATCCCCAGTATAGTGATTATTTGTTACACCTCCGTTTTGGTTGTTCTTACATATGGCTATTCATAAACAATCATCATGTGTATGTTATTCTTTATTGGCATGCTGGTTTATTATGTAGTTATCACATGTTATCACATAATTCCATATTATCCCATGAATGTTATATATTATCATGTGATAATCATGGGATAATCATGTTCATAATTCCATATTATATCATATTACCCTCTGGTAAACGTTAAAAACTATGGAAAGATCCACCATACTATTCATGGGAAAATCCACTATTTCAATGGTGATTTTCCATAGTTATGTTAGTTTACCAGGTTTACCAGAGGGTATGTGGATCAACCCATTTAAATATGAATATCATTGAATATCAATGAATATTTATATATATATACATAGACATATAAACATTGATATATTTTCCCATACATTGCATACATCTTATATATTCTTTAATTGTCATCTCCCATGAAGCCACCTCACCGGGCCCATGGGCCAGGCATCCCAAAGAAGGCGGACGACCAAGTGCTGCGCGGACTGCCAGGCACCAAACAAATTTTCCACGGAGACCTGGAGGAAACTCAGCCATGAAACCAATGTCAAAGCGAAGCTGGGATTCTGATACATATGATATAAATATAGATAGATATCATATATATATATATACATGTCCTGGAATATGTTAGTGTTTTTTTTTAGAACAAATAAGTGTATATACATATTCCAGAAACATGCATCATACATCATACTTAAGTCATCCATCATAGCCACTTTTAACATACCTGGCCCCGTCTCGCACTTTGGCAGGTGCCACCATCTTGAAGGATACGCACGTGGCACAGCTCACTG